TTCATTTTCAGCACAATGCCTTTATTTCGGCCGCGAAACTGCTTTGGTTGCGTACCTCTCTATCATGGTATGTTCAAGTATAAGTTTGATCAATGTTTCTGCGAAATAGCAACTCACTAGCGTCATCTTCATCCGATACCAACATCAGCCGCCATAATTATAACCGTCTTTGGCATGGTAGGTGCCTTTCGACCTTAAAGCTTGAATACTACCTTCCCTAATTTCATGCACATTTCAGCTTAACAAACTAAGCGGTATATACGGGTTTATATCTATGGATTTCCAAGACCCTCTTGCGTTCATTTCGTATATTTACTCTCTATTCGCCATTGCCGCTTTCGCTTATGGTGGCTATGCTATTAAATCGGTATGCATCGTTAAGGAACGGGTTGAACAGACATGACGTTAACCGCAACTTATGCACAGGACTCCATCGTTGCTCTTCGTAGATATACCATCTTTTACTGGGCAGACCTTATTTCAAACGCTGTTTTGACTGCGTTATTCTCTGTTCGATGGTTTGTTTTCACCGACCACAGTCTTCCAGAGTCTGCCGAGGATCAGATTAGCGAAGAGGAACACGAAAAAAGTTTCGCCATGGAAAGTGCCGTCAGTATCGCCATCCTTGTAACATTATGGCTAGTGCACGTAAGTCAAAAACCTTGTGTGGCTCCCTCCCAAGGCAGAATGAACCAAATTCAAACTCTCTTGTTACAGGTATACTTTGGGTTTGTTCTCACATCATACTACCATTCTATCAAATCGAGAGGTTTGAAGGCTGTACCAGTGTCTTTCGATCGAACATCTGGAGGTTTTGATGACGAATATGAGCTGGATGAGGAAGCAGAGTCAACTTTTAGAGGATATAAGCCTGTCAACACGGAAGATTCTAGAGCGAATAAGCTCAACTGAGCTACCTGTCCTTCAAGTACAATGGCACTCGTGTAATTGACAACTTCACCTATATTTTGTTACATGTACAATGAATACCTTGTAAACATATAATGCAATTTGTTTGCTGCGGCCTAGCACCACAACTCTTTTGCTCGCTACAAGCCAATGCCTTCAACTTGATCATATAAATGCATAAAAATGTAAATCGAAACAGGCCAACACTTAGAGTTAAGATACATGCATGAAAAACCAGCTATATGTAACATAAACGGCGGGCGTATACATGACCAGATTGCCAAATGGAGTTACTATATCAAAGCGAAAAGCAGATGTGATATGTAACCTCGTAGCTGTGCTTTATATCACTTGCTCCCACTGAAAACATAGATAGCGTTGATTATCATTTGTATCAAATTGCATACCGAAAAGGGCGGGCTGTTCTAGCTGCAGGTTTATGGCATACTTTGTTAAGAAAATACATTCATAATAGTGCCACAACGCCTTCCGCTAATATCCATTTCAAAGTAATAATTCAAATTTCTCCAGTAATTTCAGTATACTTATTTCAAAATATGCTTCTTATAAGTAATCTTTAGTTATAACTAGGTCTATCAGTCTGTTTGTTAATCTGTTCAAGAGCTAAGTTGGTGGCTATATACTTCAACGATAGTACCATGTTCACCTAATTCATCCAACCACTAAACTTTTCCGTACATGACTGATCAAAACCCAATTTCTGTACAATGCTATTGCTGCACCTTTGCTCATTGTACGATGATCCTTCCTCTGAATAATCACATTTTAATTGTTGAATGTTTATACTTTACCAATCCCGTTCGCGAAGCAAGCTTCGCTAGCGCAGTTGGCAGCGCGTCAGTCTCATAATCTGAAGGTCACCAGTTCGATCCTGGTGCGGAGCATTCATTTTTGGTAATTTTGGGGACTGAAAAATTGCATCCGAACGAGTGAATTTTTGGTCGTGATTTATGCTATGAAAATATAGAGGAAATCGTAAATTACAGTGGTAGTTCAATGGGAGGCTTCTTTGCAGTCAAAGCCACTTGAACTGATGTTGAGTTGAGCCAACATTTTATGAATATATGTACCACAAAAGGAAGACGACCATTATACAAGTCGGTACATTTGCCTTTCCAAAGTTAGATGAAATTTACTATTGAGCTGCACACCTTCTCACAAGTAACACTCAATAGACAGTCAACAATCTCTTAATTGGAAGCAGAGGTGAGACATAGATAAAACAAGCATTTTCCGATGCATGATACGTCAGTGGGATACGCTTACTAGTATTAAAGGATGTAATAACGGTAAGATGGGTTCGTCGTGGCGCCTGTATTTGACTCAACATCTAGCAATACTCCTTCTCGTACGAGGCAAAATAGCGGAAATCTGTAAAATCTTTTGTGGCCAAGCACTAGGATATAAGGTTACCATTTTAATCCTATACTCGTACTCACAGCTTAATCAAGAATGGACAAAAAGTCCATACGCCAAATCGTTACAAAAGAGAATTGGACACAGAAAGACTTTATCGAATAAAAGGAGAATGTAAATCATCTAGTAATAGAGCTGACCGGCAAATTGCTAGTCAATAATGAGCTTCAGAAGTTATGAAATACTCAATAAATGATCAGGGAGACCATATTTCTGCGGAGCGCACGGAGGCATATATGAGTGATAAATGGATGGGAATGTTGCTGCAGCATTATTTTTGAAAGCAGACGCTCCATAAAAACAAATCGCCTGATTGAAGACAACAACACCTTCCACGTCCAACAAGACGCCACGTTCAGTGAAAGTTCGCAAACGAATATTTCAACCAGTTTGGTGGATACGAAAAAAAAAAAGAGTCGGGTCGAACAGTCAGAATCTATGCGATTGCTGAACACCAGACCACGCGCTGCATAGGCAAGCTTATTCGGTCAGTGTCTCCATAGACCCACGACGAAAATTTGTAAAAAGTTCTATTTACGCCAGAAAATTTTGTTGATGAGTGACAGTATCAGAACGTAACAATAAGAAAAATTCGATTGGGCGATGTCTTTGGCCCCAATTTGTAACATGCCAAATAACACCATCTTTCAACACCCCATCCAACGAATGCTTGTTTTGCTATACATTCCTACAAGCCGACTGTGCGAAGATTGAATTCTGATCCTGTGCGTCTTGTGGGAAAGTATATTTCGTCAAAGGCAACAGGTCGTACTTGCTACGGCTATGCCTAAGTTGTACGGATACCATCGAATGTGAGATGTTATTATAACAGCGGTATTCATTCCCACGGTTCTCAAGGAATCTTCCAAGTGCAGGCGTTAAAACAGGGAACAATTGTGAGACGCCAATAGGCGTGGCCTGGCCAGCCAGCTCGGCGCTTGAACATCAATGATGTCGTTGTCTGCTCATCGGTGACTGTTTCATTGGACCCGCACCAAACACACCGCGAAGACATTTCAAAAGGGGGAAATGCGGAAATATGGCACTCTTGTTCAACTAACAATGAAGATTTTATTGATATTGGCTCTTCTGGTGGAGATACTTCCTGTCTTCGCTCTAAAAACGATCATTGACGTTTTGGCTGGTGACTCTCGCTTTAAAGAGTTTCTTGGCCATGTACGACGCACGGGCCTAGCGTCGGAAATAGACGACCTCCAAAAGGCTACCGTTTTTGCGCCTACCAATGATGCTTTCAAGGATTTTTTCAAGGATAACAAGGATTCCATCACAAAAGAGCAAATACTGTACCATTTGGGTAGAGACCAGATTACAGGCAAAGACTTCTTCAACGGCCAAATTGTCGAGTCGTTGTATATCCGAGATGAATATCTTGGCAGCGGCGACGAAGGACAACGTATTCGAGTCACTCAAGAAGGCAAGAAAGGAGATATCTACGTCGGTGAAGCCAAAATCACGGATTTCGACTTCAAGGCTGCCAACGGTGTCATTCATGCTATTGACAAACTCATGCCATTGCCAAGAACCCTTAGTAAGTGTCGGAGATTATGTACCCACTCAAAGTAGAAAGCCAATTTACCGATATGTCCAACAGCCGATTCCTTGAGCAAGATCGATGACTTGCGTGACTTCAGTGACTTGGTTCAAAAATCAAAGGTTTCAGATCTACTATCTGAACCTCGTCCCTTCACCGTTTTTGCCCCTACAGGCGATATTTTATCAAACTTCACTTCCATCGAAAAATCATACCTGCTTTCTCATGAAGGTAGAGAAGATCTAACATCGATCGTCGAAAGACATATTCACGACGGTGCATTTTATGCAAAGCAGTTCTCAAAAGGTAAAGGCTCACTCGATTCCATTCAAGGCGAAAAAATTCTGCTTGATGTCAAGGACGAAAATGAGATTTATGTTGATGGAGTGCGCCTAACTTCTAAAGATACGATAGCTGCGAATGGTAAGTAATTGAGAAGCCAAGATATCACTTTTAATGCTCTTTAATAATTCCTTTTTGAAGGTGTTTTCCACGAAATCGAAGATCTGATTATCCCTAAGGCTATTAAATTTAATTTGCGCAAGCATTTAATCGGCATGAATGCTACCAAGTTCGTTTCGCTACTGGACGAGGCTGGTTTGGGACATTATTTGGAAGACAGTGACAATGCATACACCATTCTTGCTCCACTCAACGAAGCTCTGGATCTCGATGAAGTACCTAGAAAGTACTTGAAGAATTGGCTTAGCTATCACATCCTGAAGGGTCAATGGATGCCAGACAATTTTACCGATGGTCAGTTGTTGAAGACAGAGTCCAGGAGCGACGAATTGGATGGTCGAAAGCAGCGCCTAAAGGTTTATGTGGAGAACAGTCGTCTCAATGCCGATGATCACAAATCCATCACATTTGGAAGATCTGGCGTGGCCACTGAGCCAGGTATGTGTTACAAACCAATTCCTGGCTGACAATTTTTTTTTTAACTTACATATGAGTGCTAACCACCGTATCCTTCAGCCAAATCTGGTGACAACGTAGTTTACTTACTATCAAGATCACTGAAGTTGCCTGAGGATATCATTTCCACTTTACCTCTTGATTTGGATCTCTCAACCCTTGTTGCTACCATTTACGCCACCGGTTCTCGAGATATCATCAATAATGCCAAAGGAATCACTCTATTTGCACCTTCAAATGCAGCCTTTGAGCGACTGGGCCTGGTAACCAAGTATCTATTGTTGCCGGAAGAGCAGAGCAAGAAGAAGTTGCAAACTCTGCTAACGTTCCATGCCACTAAGGAAATCTTTTATACCGATTACATGAGAGTAGGCGCTGTCAATGCTCAGACTTTGGCTGGAGCTGACATAACAGTCAACAAGACCGAAGATGGTGAAATATTGTTACGAGGTATTGGAGCCAAGGATGGAAGTGACCGGTCTACCATCGCAAAAGTTTTCGAGGCCGATACCCTTGTATCCAATGGTGTTATGCATAAGATTGACCGAGTTGAGCTGCCTCACAACATCCAAATCTCAGTGACTGATATCCTCAAGGGAGTCGAATCCAGTACTTTTATGGCTATCATGCAGCAAGCCGACCTCAGTGACCTTTTGGAAGACGACAGAGACTATACTATCTTGGCACCCACTGACAGAGCATGGTCACGCATCAACTTGACTGCGCTTTTGACTGATCATGAAAGACTCCAACGTGTAGCTCGCTTGCATATCTTGAAATCACCCATCAAGAAAGGAAACTCAGATTCACTTCTTGGCGATGATCGCGAGTACCCCACCTTACTCTCTGACGACGACAAGATTGGTGTTCGACAGGTTTCTGAAAGCCATTACGTACTTGATGTCAAGGGATCACCTGGAGGTGATGGCAGCAGCAGCAGAGTACTGGGATATGGCCAAACCACATCTGGTGGTGGTGTTATCCAATTGGAAGAAGTGTTAATTCCCAAGGATGAGCCTACCTTGTCACCTCACAAGGGTCTCAAGTGGTGGCAGATCCTACTGATAGTGTTAGGAGCGATCTTAGGTTTGATCCTACTAGCAGTCATTGCATTCTTTGCCTGGAAGTGGTACCAGAAGAGACGTGGTGGCTACATTGCTCTGGGAGAGGATCATTAAAATATGTTCTAACAAAGATGATCATGTTATTATGAAAAACATGCACCCATTGTTATCACTTTTAACCAAGTATGTGAATAAACCCTTCATTCAAAAATTCTTTATGCAAATTTATACATTTTTTCGCCTTTACTATGCTAACTGTATAGCTAATGTTCTTGGTCAACATCAATCAATAGCTTTGATGCTATGTAAACTCATCTCCCTAACAGTCTGTCGTTCTCTGGCTCAGTTGAGTCTGTTTGATCAGCAGGCACATCTGATGTATCAACAAGTGGGTCTGATGGATCAGCAGGCGGGTCTGATGGATTAGATGGCAACGGTTCTCCTGCTGAGTTATTCATGCCTTCTCTTTCAAGAGGAACATGACTAGCACCATGCTCTTTAAACTGGCTGTATTGCATCCTTTCCAAAGTTGGGGATTTGATATTAGGTTGAGGTGTGTACTCAGGTGGATGCAGTGCTGCTAGTGATTGCTTCATATGATCTTTTCTGAGCACGTTCTTCTGATAGATCTTAGAGTATAAGGCTGACCGATTATCGTACAGATCACGATTTGTATCTTCAGTGGGGTCTTGCTTATAAAATCGGTATTTGAAATCGGGCACCATAGGTTTGTACTCTTCTTCGACGTCTTGCATAGTCTGATTTATGCCACTTACGTAATCTGCATTGAAGTCTTGTAGTTCGTTAAGATACATGCGCAAAACAAAGAGGCAAACAACCTACAAGTTTCCGTTAGACGTTACAAACCTAACGAAATGTACAGGTAATAACAAGTAAACGAAGCATACCATGATAAGTAAGGATGAAAGGAAGCCTGCTGTATATACCAGGATTATATTGGTCCAATATCGGTAGCAGCCGGCCTGAACTTCAAGTGCAGCATTAACAGAATTCGTCAGGTAGTCCAGAGTGGTTAGTTGTTCCATATGTTTGTACTGGCATTCCGTAATGATGGCACTCTTCCTGGTGGTGGCTAGGAAGATGATACTTATAATTTCGACGATAATGATAATGAAGATATTGATATAAAGCCATTTAAGAGTTTTTGCCAATCCACGTCCATCCCTCTGTGAAGCAATCACCTTTCAATATGAGAGCCATATAATGTCTGCGCATAAACGTCACTAACCTGCCCAATGGTTGCAATCCCTATCGAGGTCATAGCTATTATAGGGGCGTAGACGCACAGGTGTATAACGTATGTTGTCAATGTCGAGTTTAATAGAATGGCTGGAAGTATCTGTTTGTTAATTTTGATACATCTGAAAGGTATTCAAATGCCCTACGCACCTGTGCTGTAAAGACCACTCAATACGAGTACGACTATGCTGATGGTCTACATGGATTCATTAGAAGAGTGTCTCATTGGAGAATGCTACGTATATATGACACATACCATTATGACCAGTTCTGCCAGAATAGCGGACCATCGAAGTGATATACAGCCACAAATTGTTCTTTTCTCAGCCATTAAGAAGGTATTTTGACAAAACAAAAACGATTGAGTGAAAGAAAAGTACTGATGAACAAAATTGTACACAGTTTCTCTCTTTTGTCACGCTCCCATGGGTAAAAAAAAAAAGTGAAACATGAACGGCAAGTTTTACAAGAAGATTTTGAACTTGATAAAAAATATATAATCTTCGAAAAACTAACATTATCGGCCACGATATAGGCCGATTTCCTGGAGCATTCCACAAAATGCTGCGGTAACGCACGGAACAAAGTAGATGGTAGCTATTGTTATGGTAGGATCCTACCATGATTTGGTCTTTTGTTTCATCATATTATCCTGCATGTGGAGAGGAAATCAATTATACAATGATGCAATTGCGAAGATAAAGTGAGCAGTTTGCTTTAATCTCTTTCCTTGGCGTTCACATGTGAGAAATGATCGCTTTGAAACATTGAATTAAAGCGTGCATTCGATTGAAGGATGTTTACGACAGAATACCATTGCTATCTAACACTGAGTGCACTGGGTACATTATTTATTAATAGCTTTGAAAATGAGGTGTTGCGGTTGAGGATGTTAAGTGTGTGTAATGGAAAATGAAGTGCTCGACACGGTATGCTGGAATTCACTTATCGAAAAGAATTTCGCATTTCCCTGAGTGAATGTAAAACTTCAACTGGGTCTGATTTTCCAATCGCCATCTTCAAGCTATTCTCATTGACCCGCAAGAATGGATTGTACATTTTTTCTTGCCCAAGAGTCGATGGCACTGTCACTGCTTTATCTTGGCACCAGGCCCATTTTGAAAGTAGCGCCTCATTGTTGGGATCCACTGTGAGGGCAAATTTAAGGTTTGTCTTCGTATATTCATGTCCACAGTAGATCCAAGTATCATCAGGCAGTTTCGAAATAACGTGAAAGAGAATTCGATACATGTCACGGGCATCTCCTTCTAGGAAGCGCCCAACTCCACCGATGAATAGGGTGCTGTTGGAAGCAATGTATGTGTTAATGGACACAATTCCAAAATATTCATACTCTTTCTCAAGAACCACTCACTCTCCAGTAAAAACAGCCTTTTCTCCCGTAGTAGGATCGACGACACTATAGCAAACGTGCCCTTTAGTGTGGCAAGGCGTGTGAAGCGGGGTAACTTGAAGATTGCCAAGCTTGAACTCTTCTTGGTCTTTGCAGACATAATTGATTTCCGGAATTCTAGCGTCTGCGCCATATACTGCTAAGCCTGGCTTTTTGGCTACAATTGGATTGACGGCATTTTTTTTAGCATGAATAGATACTCCAGATGAACAATACTTTGTGATTCATACCAACTAGTTCTATGTTTCCTCCAGAGTGGTCATAGTGGTGATGTGTGATGAAAACACTAGCAAAACAATAGAAATACCGGAAAAAAGTTAATCGACCATAAACAATTGACAGATCGAAGTTACAGAAATACTGGCTGCGCACTATAACTAAATAGCATGGCTAAAATAGTATCGCCATTATTAACTGCGGCCGTATATTTGAATTATTTACCTGGAAAGCTTTGCACCAGTCTGGCTCAGCACATTCAAAATCTTGATTGGTTCCACAGGGTCAATGACAGCAGCCTCTTTCGTCTTGTCGTCAATGCAAATGTAGGAATAATTGTCTTCCAACACCTGGATGGGAATGATTTTCATTTGTAATGGTGAAGGAAGAAAAACGAAAGACAGGAAAGCGGAAGGAAAATGTCCCTATGTGTATCTGGTTCGTATGGAATATTCCACAGAACGTCTCCCTTGCCTTTTTTTAAGCCCGGCAGATATTGTCTAACGCGAGTCCCATCCAGACATTTAATTTATTTCATGACCCCACCTAGAAATACTCAAAGAAAATTGTATAATTGTTTGATTTTAATGGTAGTTTTTCAATAACAACTCTCTAGAATTTCGTCCTCTCTATTCCTCAGTGCGAGCCTTTAAAAAGAATAAGATATTAAATTAATAAAAAATGGCGTATGAGGACAACTTGAAAAATCTGGAATTCCCTTCCATCCAAAGGCCAGTGATTTGTTTACTTACACCACGTTCCTTGATATCCCCTTCGCGAGCACCAAGTTCTTGCTTCAATCCTCCATAAGGATAGGTACGAGGAATCTATAGAGCAAACAAAAAACGTTATCAGATATAAGTATTCGATTCAGCTGTATCACGGGAACTTTTGTATTGCCACTTTTGGTTCTAGCTTGCAGCCAGTCCAGAAGTATGAAAACTGCCTATATGCCCCGTTCAAATCGAACTACTTACGGCGGTCTTTTCAGGGTATGTCTTATAGACCAGATATGAGAATGCTGAAATAACGCCAATGAAGGCACCGAATTGTGCGAGTGCCTTGTATGGGCTGTATGTGTGCAAATCTGGAGCCCAGACACCGAGAACTTCGTCCTGTTCGTTCAGCTGAGGAGATAACCATTATATTAGCGAATGATAACATACAAGGGAGTCACGCTGGCGTGCATTTGTGTCAAAAACGCAAAGCCTGATGATCTTGGCGTCATTGCTGCTGTTGTTTGCATATGCATTCTGTCGACAGAATATTCAATGTATAAACGGCTGAGCTGATAGGTAATCATTCGATCTCATAAATTATCCATCTGTCCTTTTGGTGCAATTTACCGCGCATTTGACGTCTGACGAGCATATTATAGTTGTTCTTCGCAATCTCGAAACAAGTCTCTACAACGGTCGAAGGTTGTCGTTTTCCACATCAACTGCATCACTTGGGTAAACACTTACAGGTTCTCCAAAGTTTCTTCTATCTTGGTTATCGTCCCATCCGAAGGGTGATCGGATTTGGTTGCTGAGGTGAGGAAGGTTGGGATAATCTCCAATTTGAGGATCTTCAACAACTTTTCCAGTAGAGACAGTAGATTGGTTGCGAGATGCTGTGACAGAGGCAGGAGTTGCTGCTACTCGAGTCAGCAACAAACGGCTGCTGAGGAGCGATGAAGGAATACGTGGAGCCATTTCTGTATTGAATGAGTGGAAGCTTGCTTGCCTTGCAAGGTTATTTTGGTAGCGACGCCCCGAGTAGACGTCATCAATTTGAAATTTTCTGGCAGCCGCTCACCTAACAGTGGCATGGACAAGCTTAAAATTTTTACATGAAACTTTGGATTTATTTATAAACTGAAGGAAACCAGTGTAGGGAATGGATTGTAGGGAATGCGATAAAATACGATACTTCTAAGCTATACATGACACATCTATACAAGGGATGAATAAAAAAAGCACTCAATTGCCATTTGTGGCAGCTTCTGCCTGCCATTTTTCTATTCGCTGCTGTCGCCAAGTTGGACCCCACTTCAGCAAGGGCAAGACCAGAAGACGACTAGGCAGCAGTGCCAAAGATACAACAGTAAATCCCTTAAAATTTTCATGTCAATATAGCTGTATAGAACATTTTCCCAGTTATGAGACAACTATGCACTTACCCAACCAACACCAAGAGTCTCTAGTGCCGGATCGATCAGCACTGTGGCACCAGCTCCAAAGAGACAGCGGACCAAATTGTTACTAGCCATGATGGAAGCAGAACGACCAGGAAACATGTCAACCATCAGGGTTTGTATAGAGTTGGTATTGGCGACACCAGTTACTCCAACTGTAAATTAATTGAATGAGAAGGAATCATGGCAGAACACTAACAATTGAGCCAACTTACGAATAAAGTGTAAAACAAGAACAATTGCCAGATGAGCCTTGATATACAGGCACCAGCCATATAACACTAAAATAACTGCGAATTTGATGTGCGTTAAGCAATGTTCAAACGGCTGATATCTCAGTCAACTTGTACTTACTATTAAATACCAAAGCGTGAATCCAGGCAAGCCGTAACCTTGCGTACTCCAGAGGAAATTCTGGTGTTAGGTTCCCACCCTTAAGTTTAGCAGGATCCATGCCATGCTTGATGGCGATTGTTCGGAAATTACGATCCAAAAGTTTTCCCTGCACAACAGAGCCAAAAACGCATCCAAATCCGTTAGCAAGATAAGTCAATCCGATTTGCATGTCGTTGAGTCCGTAAATTTTCGAGAAAATAACTGGCACGCTAGTTGTAAAACAGTACATTCCGCCGTACTGGAAAGCGTAATACAAGACAAGAATTGCTACGTCTTTTTCGCGCAAATACAATAGACTTTGGAAAGGATTGAGGGATTTTCGCTTTGCTTCAGGAAGTCGGACTTGAGCATGTTCTTGTGGACCACTTCTTCTTCCGTCCCTTCTGCGCTTCAACCATTGGAAAGGTGTAGGATTGGCATATCCGCTGCCATTTCCAACTAGAGAACGAAGGGTTTCGTTGAGGAACAAAAAAAGGACGGTAACTAAGGCACCTCCTAACATTGCTAAAACCCAGAAGATCCAACGCCAGCCCAGAGCCTGTGAGATAATGCCACCGATGACAGGACCTGTAACAAACGGGATTAACTTGTTTGACACAGCGTGACAAGTAATTATCAACAACATGACTGGATATATTACCTAATACAGGCCCACTAGTAGTGCCAAGGGAATAATAACCCATGTAACCTCCACGCTCATATGGAGTACAGATATCGGCTAAAAATCGATGAAAATAATTTAAGCATTAGAAAGAAGGTTCTGAAACGCATGGTGAGCCTTCTGGCTATGGTATTATGAAGTTCAATCGTGGCGTATCATAAAATATGGTAAAGAGGCGTTTCTCCGTAATTTTGCTGAAAGCGTGGCGACGGAAAAAACCACAAACGTGGCGCAAATATAAACAGGTCTACCCTTACCTATGGTACCTGCACCTATGGCGACAACGGAACTTGAACCAAAAGCTTGAATCATACGCCAAACCAGTAGTACCGGGTATGATTGCGTCATGGCCAATCCTACACACGCACCTATGTAGACAAGCATAGTACTAAGATAAACCGGACGACGTCCCCAGACATCAGAGAGTGCACCCCAAAACGAAGGGGAGATGGCCTAAAAAATAGTGAGAATCAAAAATGGACCAAGCTCAGTTGACGGTGACAGGCACATCCATACCTGAAAAATCATGTAGACTGTGACACCGAGTTTTCTGAAACAGGAAATTTTCCGGTTATAATCATTTTAAAACGGTTGACATGGTAATAAACAATCAAAGAGATTACTTACATTTCCGTAATCGACACATTAAGTGACTAGAAAATTCAGAAATAAAAAAATTGTTAGCAATGAATGAATTGGCATTTTGGTATCTAGATATAGACCTACTTCTTGCATGGAATTCATGGCGGGCAAAAATATATTTGCTGTAAGTGGAGAAATAAAGGTGGCTACAGCTGCCATCATGACGATAGCCCACTTCTTTCGCTTGGAGAATATGCAGTAAGGTTCTGTTTCTTCATTTTTCTCCACATTTGGCATTGCGGACTCGTCTGCCAGAGTATCTTCATCGCTATCAGTGGTTCCTCCTTTGTCGACCATCATGTCCTTCACCGAAAGATATTGCCCAAACTCTGGCTTGATATATGCCTTGTCGGGAGAATTGCAACTTATGGTGGCCAAACTATTTTTCCTTGACACATTGGGTGAGCATGTAGTTGAATTATTTGTACTATTTTCCGTTGAGGACAGCACCATATGTTCGGTTGAGTTGGAGGTATTGATTTGTAAATGCATATCCAGATTGGTTGCAATAGTGAATGACAGGAGAGGCAATAGAGAGCTTTTTATATCAATAGATGAGTTAGGAGTCAAGTTGATCCTGTGGTTCTTGGCAAAACGGCAAGAAGAAAAAAAGAATGAAGGGTTGTGTTGGGTTGAATCCAATGTAATGTTAAAAGGGAAAGTAATTAGGCGATGACACCAGACAGGGAACTGTTTAAATTCAAGTACGTTGGACTGTGAATTTTTTTTTACTGATAGATCGCAGTATTCTATAGACTCTAATTAGTTCCAGGTGCATAGCAAGGTGGATGACCTTGGGCCTAAAAAAAGACGGATGGAGATGATAGCGTAATCTTTTTCTCAAAGTTATGATGCAAGGTACCATTTGATCCAATCGATCTAAGGGCAGGTCTCACCTAACTGGTTTTGATTTATAACAGGACCCGGTAACCTGTCAATTCAGCATGGGCCTCGAAGCTAATTATGTTTGGTCATCAAACCAACGGAAGGTACTATCATATCATATATCGGAAATGGTGGTGTTTTTGTCAGTCACTGATTTGCGATACCTTATCTTGAATCTAGAATAAGTGTATGTACACCATCATGAAATAGATTACGCCGATGCCATGTAATCCCGTACATGCGTTCAACGAAAAGGCTTCGAATGGCTATATGGAAAGAATGTTACTTTCTACATTTTCTAAACATTTCATAAAGACGTGACCAAATTGCAATATGGACGTTTATCGTACGAATAGTGGCCGGTGACCAGAATTGAGGGATCAATCAGTGCAGCAAGGGCATGACGTGTTCGCAAGTCATTTTTCTTAATGCACCTGCTGTCCAAGGAATCTTGCATCTTGTCTTCTAATAGTTCGACTCATGGTAATTCGCTTTATTCCTATGAATGTTGTTAAGTCCGCTTTATCTTCGTAGCATACATTCATGAGTGAATTTGGTAAAATAGGAGTTACGTTTAATTTGCATGTCAAAGGCTTTGATGCTGATTAGCGCGTTACTCCCACTCTTATGTCTTGGCAATGAAAATCATTTTTCGGGATCACTCAGCAGCCTATTGGTACGTCAGCAAACTTCAAGAGCCAGCCTGCCTTGAAGTGTCCTAGAATAGGATCGGAAACACCTTACTGCATTACTTTACATATTGATAAGCACCATGGAAATGGAATACCTTCCATACATGTTTTTGTACTACTTCTTCAGCTTTTCCATCTATGAATATAGGTTACTTTGCTTTGCTTTGCATTCGGGCCAAAGAATAATAAATTTAGAAAATAGATCTGCAAAGTTTTCTATCTGAGTTTTCTTAGGAACCGTTTAGCCATGGTGCCTTGAATCAAGTGGATAAAGCGATCTAAACTTATCGCAGTACCATTAGTGGATGCTGTCGAGGATGACACTTTTGGTACATATGGTATTGTACTTTGCAATCGTAGTTTTAATTATAAGGAGCATAAAGTATAACTTAATTGTAATTTTTCTGCTTCGGTTGATCGGCAAAGTCCCCACCGACCAAAAGTTAGAACTGCACTAGCCAATTAATTCCAATGACCCTGGTAGAATACCATTCAAAATGCGTTTAGAAATGGAAGTTTCTAATAGGGAGTATCAATAATATGTGTATCTCGGAAAAAGCATGCAAGCGTCTTTTATTTGCTAATTTTCATCTGTATGATAATTATGAATTTTGTTTTTTTACACTGACTCCTGGATGGCAGGTTCGACGAATTCCTTCTTGATCTTGGTGCCAATATCAGCATCACCAGCGGCATCACCACCGTGAAGAGCAAGGAGAGATTGAACATCGAACTTGGGGCTCTTGAGAATCTTGACCTTACGGACGTAGACGTTTTGCAAGGGGAAGATACCCTGGCAAGCCTTCTCAATGCGGTGGCCAATGATGTCCTGAGCGCTAGGAGATGAGGAGGTGATCAACTTGGAAACCAACTCCTTCAAGTCGCAAGAGGCGGACTCTTGGGTCATGATCTCGAACATCTTCTTGCGGATCTGACGGATCTGGGAAGACTGAGCATAGGTGGTCTTCTTGATCTGGTTGCGGCGGCGAGCAGTGAAGGCGATGACGAAAAGACGAACGAGGTAACCGTCGGTGGTCTTGACATCAATGAAGGCCTCCAAGAGGGATTGCCACTTCTTGACGAGAGAGCGGAGCTTGTCAGAGGTGAAGTCCATACCGTGGAAGTTGGTGAGGCAGTTCTTGCCTTGGATTTCATCAACTCTCAGCTTGATCTTGCGGAAAGCACGGTCCTCATCCTTGGTGAGATCACCGAGGGAGACTTCGAGAACACGACCCTTAAGGTAGTCGTTGGCGTTCTCTAAATGGAGGGTAAAAAGTTTTATACGTTAAGTGAGATGAATGGGGGACTTGTAAAAAAAATTTCAAGGTGACACTTACTGAGACCCTGGGTACGGTTGACAAGAGTCTTGCCGACCTGGCGAACGTCAAACATGGAAGGAGCCTTGATGTCATACCAGTCCTTACGGGTGAAGGGGTCAACGCTGTGGGTTCGATTCATTAGCACAATGTATGATGGGCATGGCAAATTTTTGATAGTTGGAATATGAGGATTAACGGGGTGATGGGTAGGTTGAAAGGTGGATTGGTGGACATAGCAAGGCTTCGAATCAGTAGAAAAAGACGTAGGGTTCGCTGTGCTACTGCTGTTCTATGTGGCTGATGGAATCGCACCGGGAAATGTCATGCAATGTGTGGTTGGTCCATTCCTACCAAGCTGATTTATCGATTGGTTGTATATATTTCGTACGGTGCTGCAGTAATTATAAAAAGTTTTCATATATCTATACTTACACCTTCTTCTTCAAACCCTTCTTGCCTTTGCTGAGACGCCTTTGAAAATGAAGTAAGGAAAAAAATTAGCAAAATAGAACTATTATTGAGAATGTTCGGATTAAATGCATCCTGTAATGTGAAAACTTACTTGTTTTTTCCGACAGCTGAATAGATGCGAGTAGTAGGATGGATGTTCGAGAATAAAGGTCAGTTATGGATGAATCGATGCATGTATGGATGGATGGATAGACATACCCATGATGAAATATGCAGAGGAAGAGCAAGTTCTGTGCCAGCTTGCCAGTACCCTATATCGGTCGGCGGAGCTGCATCAGGGACGGTCGATTTCTCGACATGTCACGTGCGGCGGTTATGTCATCATTGAAAGACATTAATTTCTTCTGCGAAATGCATGATATGGTAGGGTATACAACGACACTTGACTTTCCCTTGTCAAACCTCAATGCAAGAGCAATCGGTTTCTAGGGTATTTTTTAGCTGATAGGTTACTAGAATGATTATATATTTTTTCGAATCATTCTCCATATCAAGCCACTTGTTGGTAGCTAAACGCGTTTAGCATTTATAACAGCATATTTGCGGTCCGAAAGACTTAGAGTCGCTATTCAAATCTTAGTTGCTTTCAGCAGTAACATGCCGTTGGCTCCGCCGATTACGCACCGGCATGAGTACACGCAGGAAACTTGTAGGAGAATAGAAATATTATATAATAGATCTCCCAGGCACAATATATAATGCTTCTTTCTTATGTACGAACTAAAGCATAATGAATGTCCATTCTGTATATGAAACAAATATCATTGAAAGTACGGCTCGTACAGTCATGTCGTCTCTTCTATAGGTGACTTTAAGGAAATATATCTTGCTTATGGGGCGTTCAAAGGTACTTGGTATGCAAAGGGACGGGAGAATGCCCTTCTCCCACGCTTTTTGATATATGTGTTATGGCTGTGTTGCAAGCGGCCATTCTAGCAGCGTATCGCGAATTGGCTCCTTGAGGAATTGGCACAACGCTTAAGCTTTGGAAGACCTCAGGACATGTACGACACCAACTCAACCTACTAGCCAACAGAAAAGGCTTCTGTAGCGTCTGGCCATACCTCTAATAACAAAAGCAACCCCTCAGGATGGCTGATGTTTTAACATTATTTTGAGACACTTCAGTATGCAGTGATAGTTATCTAGATACGGGGTTGCCGAAGTGATTTTTCAGACGGAGATGACATTTACACATCTTGTTTGGACATTGTAAACGTTCTAACACTGACGCACAGATATTTGCAAATGGGTGTACTTTTGCATGCTAATTTTGCAACGAAGTATAGGACTCATGAAAAGTGACTGTTATAAGCTCGGTCATGGCCTGCAGAAATTGGACAGGAACATGGGAATGCATAAGTGAAGCGGCAGTTCCGCTAGCAGAATCATACGATGAGCTGACATAAATGGGTTGTGGCGAACGCATATTTCACTATATCTCGGTCAAAGCTATGCTTCTCCAAAAAATTCGGTCTGTTTCAAGACAAGTACTAAATGCTATATGGTACCAGTGACAATCTACCTGCTTGTCATGAGAATATTCACTGTTAACGCCAAACGGATCACAAAGCTCCAATGTGTGTGTTGCATCCATCGGACCTGTCTTGAATGTGTCGCACACGATGTTGCACCAAGTTTTTATAAAGAAATTTTCTGTCTGCAATAGTACGGTCCTTTCTAAAGGAGAGTGGTATTACATAGGCTGTCTAAGAAATAAAACTGGCGTATAGCGTTGAATTTAGAGATAATGAATGGAAAATGCGGATCAAGTATGGCCGACATTCTCGATTCTAATTTTATGCGCTTGTGCTCAGACTGTACACATAAGAGAGATTTGTATAACCTAACTAAGGGTACAAAAAGTAGAGTTTAAATGGCGTTTTGAATTTTCTGACTGGTGCATCTTACATCTCTTTCTTACTCACAACTATCTCAGAAGCAATATGAAGATTTCAGGAAATACTTTTATCGTCACTGGAGGGTAAGTGAAAGCATAGTTTCTCCCCAGTGCGACCGGGACATTGTGATTGACAAGTTTATTCTAGTGCAAGCGGTCTCGGTGAAAGCACCATTAGAAAGATCGTTGGACAAGGCGCCAACGCAGTTGTAAGTATACGATATGATGAATGAATCAGTCTGAAAAAAAGCTAATGCTTTTGTTTCAAAGGTTATTGATTTGAATGAGGAAGGAGCCAAGAAACTCTCAGAAGAGTTTGGTGAAGATCGTGTTCTTGCTACTGGAAGCGTTAACGTGACCGATGAGGTGGGTCAGCATGGATCTAAATGAGTATGTTATTCAATGTACTAAACGATATTCTATTTAGGCCCAAGTTGAGAAAGCTTTGGCACTTGCTGTTGAGCACTTTGGAACCATCGCTGGAGCTATCATCTGCCACGGTGTTGCTGGCGCTGTGCCATCTATTCCCGGATTCGGGCCCAACAATGCTCTCACTAGCTTCCAGCAAATGAAGTTTGTCAGCGACATCAACTATCTTGCCGTGTTCTGCGTCGCCCAAAAGGTTGTTGAGATTATCATGAAGCAAGAGCCATTGAACGAAGAGGGTGAACGTGGTATTATTGTTATGGTATCCTCCGTCGCTGGTTTGGATGGTAGCACTTCCGCTTATGGTCCATCAAAAGGTAAGGGGAAGATCTAGTGCGGATGACTTAAAGTCGACCATTCGCTAAATCATATGTTTCATAGCTGCCGTTGCTGGACTCGTTCTTCCTTTGGCTCGTGAATGGGCACCTTTCGGTATTCGTGTCGCCGGAATTGCGCCAGGTTACTTCGTCACCCCCATGACCACCAACTTGCCCGAGGAGTACCAATCCATGCTGATTCCCAATGTGTTTCCCAAGAGATTGGGATTACCTGCTGAATTCGCTAATACTGTCTCCTACGTTTTGGAGAACGTCATGGTTAACGGTAGCATCCTTCGTCTTGACGCTGGTGTCAGACTTACATATTAAATATGGAGAGTGCAACAATGTTCTTTTGCGTCGTTTGAAATTAGAAGGGTTATATTTTAGCCCAGTACATCGCGTTTTTTTTGTAGTCAGTGAATAACTACAATTAGATATCTCGTTTATTTAATATGTATGGAAGTTGATCTATAAATGCTTTGAAAGCTTAGTATATCGTTTTCGTACACATAAGTGTCAGTCTCCTGTGTTATGGCGAACTTTTGTCTAATGCTGTACTTTAGTCCATATTTGCTTGACGAAAGCTAGTTTCCAGACGTCGAGAAGAATACAGGTCTGTCGTAAGAAAAAGAGTAATGCCTACAGTGACAAATAACCTCACTTGTTGAATCGCGGTTGCTTTAGCTAGTATCGCCGGGTCCATTATGCCTTTGGCTCTTAAAATGGATTCCATTGAAATCGTGGTATAGCTTTCGTTACGACTTTGATCTGCGAGAATAGTGAACAACTGATGATAAACGTGCCAAAAAGCACAAAAGTGCGCATTTGTCTGATACCGTCATTCCTACACCGGTACATGAGCGTTCCTCTGCAACATTACTTTCAGTCCGATGATGCGTGAGACGTGCACAATGCCTCCAGATGTGATATAGCCCTCTAGTAGATGTGAGCAGCTAGATATCCAGCCGTTCAACGCGTTGACGGTACAGCTTTCCCGGATTCACTGGCAGCAACTCCACATTCTTCTTCACACATTAAACACCTGACAATGTCGGTCCTACTAATATCCGACCACCGCAAAGGTACCTCTTTGAGGTCTCTACTATGTTTCAATACAGGCATCGTAAAAAAAGCTATAGTATGGTTCGAACGATACTTGATCAAATGAGAAAAATAGTCCGTTCTGCTTTCCTGTGATTGCCGAGCATTTTGAGCTGTATTTTCCACTTCGGCGACAGCAACCGATTTTCTATGTTCACGCCACTTTGATCGCTTCGGAAAATGTGTGGCTTACCTCCTCCCACTGTTCATTTGGGTTTCTGTGTCTGAATAACTGTGATTTTGTGCTCCAACCTATATCAGTTTCTTGTTTATAATGCCACTTTGATGGAGCGTACGTGTAACAAGTATAAAGTAGAGTTCCCATGGGAACTCACTACCTTTAACTGTCTTTTTCACTTAAACACAAAATCAAAAACATGAAGTTCTCAGGAAACACTTTTGTCGTCACTGGAGGGTAAGCGATAGTTCCAAATCCAATCACGTTTGGGTATGGACTTAAACCGATACTGAACAAACATTGTAGTGCCAGTGGACTCGGTGAAGCTACCGTAAGAAAGATCGTCGAGCAAGGCGGTAACGCAGTTGTAAGTGCTTTTCTACCTGAGCTAGATTACACTCAAAATGCTGACCGACTTTATGTTACGGTAGATCATTGATGTCAATACGGAAAATGCCAAGAAGCTTTCAGAGGAGCTCGGTGAAGACCGCGTTCTCGCCCCTGGACGAGTCGACGTGACCGACGAGGTATGTGACTGGATAATCATTTAGGTGTACCGTGAAAATCAAGCTAACCAGTTTGATTTAGGATCAAGTTGACCAAGCTCTAGCATTGGCAGTCGAGCGTTTTGGAACTTTGGGTGGTGCTATCATCTGCCATGGCGTTATTGGAGCCCCAACATCCATTCCTGGATATGGACCCAGCAACGGACTTACTAGCGTCCAGCAAGTAAAGTTTGTGAACAACATCAACTTCATTGGCGTATACACTGTGGCTCAGAAGGTTTCTGAGATTATCATCAAGCAAGAGACTGTTAACGACGATGCTGAACGTGGTGTTATCGTTATGGTGTCTTCATCTGCTGGATTGGACGGAGTCCTCTTGGCATATGGCGTTGCAAAAGGTAGGTGAAGTTGGGATGAGTGTGCTAAGCAATATGAGCCTTTATCTGACTTGGGGTAACTTTGTAGCTGGTGTTGCCGGACTCATTCTTCCTATGGCTCGTGAACTGGCACCTTTTGGCATTCGCGTTATGGGCATTGCCCCAGGCGGCTTCATGACTCCCATGGCAATTTCCACAGCTCAGCTTGGCGACGCCTTCGTTGCTCCAGGCTATTCCCCTGGTTTCCCAAGAAGAGCTGGTGACCCTTCAGAGTTTGCCTTTATGGTGTCCCATATTGTCGAGAATCCTATGCTTAACGGTCACGTAGTCCGCCTCGATGCTGGTGTCAGACTTCACTGAAGTGGTACTGTCTGCAGAAAAAGCTTGATTTGATACCAAGGATGTTATGAATTATTTACGATAGCGGTTTATGCTATTTCTATAGCAAATGTGTTTAATTTCTATATTGATTTATAAAGGGTTTCATTATGTGAAAATCGCGAATAGGCTTCATTTCTTGATATTCATTTGAAAGCGCTCGATTCAACGAAGAGGCAGCCATAGGGATTACTGACAACGTGGGACTTATCAGGATGTTTTTGGTATCGTATATGCAGTGCTTTAAAAAAACGAATGAAGATTTGATCCAGTTCATGGTTGTTGAAATGGTTTACCACTCCTTTAAAAGGTCGTTGCGGAGAGCCGAGTAGTTCGTACAACCGTTCGATCTGTGCGATCTTTGTGTTATACTAATACATTCCTCATCTACAAAAGCAGTGATACTGTGGAATAAAGCAAATCTTTGTTTAGGCTGTTCTAAAGAAATAGGTTCACAGAATATGGTTCTGATGACAATATGTCATCTGGTTTTGTCGTCTTGCTTACCGACTTCCCCATTTCGACCTCACTGTTTTATGCGGTATTCTTCGTATCAAGGAAGAAAAATATCAACTCAGCAGTGTGCGGCTCATCACAATCCTACATTGGCCATGGCACAAAGTATCACACAGCTTTCTTTGCAGCTTCATTATCCGCCAGTCTTTGCATTAGAACTCGTTTATAAAAGAAATTTTGTGAATTCTGCTATTTGGTTTGTCACTGCAACAATATACAAAAGACAACGATGGCAGCTTCTGGACATAGTAACGCACAATGATGTTTTGTCAAGCAAGGTTTGTCGTGCTACTTACACTTCACTGCTTCGTTCTTTAAATTTTTTCACGCTTGTACGATGCTTATGTGAATGCACTTTCACTCAGCTTGCCTCTAAAACACCGTCCTTGTGTTGCCCATTTTCAGTGCACAAAAACATAAAGGAAATCTGAAAATTCCCAGCGGCGCCTCGCATCTTGAACCCTTTTCCTGTCTTGTCTTTATCACACGAAAAACGAGCAACATGAAGATCTCTGGAAATACCTTTATCGTAACAGGAGGGTAAGCAAATATGGATGACTTCATGTGAAGTGTGCACAGCGACAATGCTAACTTTATTTCGTACCAGCGCTAGCGGACTGGGCGAAGCTGCCGTTAGAAAGCTTGTGAAGGAGGGAGGCAACGCAGTGGTAGGGATTTCTGCATACACAAATCAGCTCTCATGAGTAAAACTGAACGATTTATTCCACAGATTATCGATGTCAACGTTGATGGTGCTGAGAAGATTGCTCAAGAACTCGGTACTGACCGAGTGCTCGCTCCTGGAAAAGTGGATGTTACTGAAGAGGTATATAATTTATCCAACGTATAAGCCCTGTATTTGCTATATGACGGCGTTAACTGAAATAGCTTTGTAGGAACCAGTAAAGAAGGCTTTAGAGTTGGCTTTAGAGCAGTTTGGATCTTTGGCCGGTGCAGTCATATGCCATGGTGTTCTCGGTGCTCCACCGTCCGTAACTGGTTACGGACCTGGCAACGCTCTCACCAGCTATGAACAGATGAAGTTTGTGGCCGGCATCAACTTCCTTGGCGTATACAATGTCGCTCAAAAAGTAGCTGAAATTCTCATTAAGCAAGAGCCTTTGGCTGAAGATGGTGAACGCGGTGCAATCATTCTGATCTCATCCATAGCGGGCTTGGATGGAAGTCTCGTATCATATGGAACTACAAAATGTGAGTACTTTGTATGAGAGTGACTACCGGAGGATAAGTGCAAATGCTAACCTTGGCAATTTAAAGCTGCGGTTGCTGGAATGATTCTTCCATTCGCTCGTGAAGTAGCACCGTTTGGAGTCCGCGTCATGGGTATTGCACCAGGTGTCTTCCAGACTCCTATGACACAGGTCCTAACTGATAACCAAGACGCAGCCAACTCTCTTCTGCAAATGTTCCCTAGAAGAATGGGTCAGCCTCTGGAGTTTGCTGACTTGGTCGCTTTCATCTTTGAAACACCAATGCTCAACGGCAGTCTTATTCGAATTGATGCAGGCGTTAGACTTCAGGTGTAAAGTGAAGAACTAGTCTTATTGAGAAAGTGATCAAAGTATTCATGACGGGGGCTGAGTTGAGCTCCAAAAATAAACAGTACATTGCATAAATCAGTTCAGCTTCAGAGTGTTATTGCGACATCGGGATCTTCAGTTCTCTCCGGTGTCTATTCAAATGCCTAAGGTGGTACATGGTTATGTGTGTGTGTGTATATGGTATCATGCTTGTAAACAACAAACAAAAAGCATCTTTTACAATAACTTCACTTTTGGCCATTGTATAAAGTTAAAGTAGTAGGCACACGGAAATGGGTGCGTCTATTTTTTACTGTTTACTTTAACATCGATACCTGTGATTGTTTCTGTTATGATAAACACAGTTGCAAGTATATGATCCTTTTGCGGCCGTTTGGAACGAAGTCCGGAGATTGTGATACTGTGACACGTAGTTGCTCAATTTTTTTTTACATGTAGCTTTCCATAAGCCATATATGCAACAGTCGGTCCATGCAGTTTATGGAGCATTTTTGTGTTCCCAATTGGCGTCACTGGACGTCTCTGTTTCTGAAGTTACAACATTGTTACAACTAAGCAAGGTTGCAGCCTCGTGGTTTACAGCTATTGAAATGTTTCCCGTTGATAGACAGTACGCTCTGGTGCTATGGAATAGTAAAATCGCCTCTAAGAAAATCTTGCTTGAATAGGTGCAGAGTGTTATATGAATCCTTGAGACTCATGCCTACTTCGTATTCTTGCTTTCTATGGCTCCTGTTCTGGAGAGTTTTCAATGCTACTAGTTGAAATGGCGACAGTTGTATGTTCGCACATTGGTAATAACCCCAGCATCCTTCGTGTACCTGTGACTACCACCTAGTGTTTTTATACTTTATGTACATAGATAGCGCTGCAGTTCTTATGAAATGATTTGCCGAGATCATCGGTGTGATTCCAATTTGTTTGAGAGAGAATGATATGCCGATAGATAGATTGATGTCACATTCGGTATACTGTCGAGTAATCGAACAATGAGGACTATACTAAAGCTATGAAATAGCGAATTATCATAGCACAAGCTTCTAAATCAGTTGCTCGTTTGAATGCATGGATGTACTTTCGAATGCTTTACAGTACTCAACAGCTACTTCACTATGCAATACTTTTGTGCTCGGAACTGGCCAAAATGCCTTTCTATCTGTTGCCTTTTTGAGTGAACAAAAGGGAAAAATTATCTATAAAGGGAATGGGCATTTCCCATCTGCCATCCGAGTTCTTTAACTCTTTACTCTCCCTGCTCCTCTTTATAAGAAACCAAGACCATGAAAATCTCTGGAAATACTTTTATAGTCACAGGGGGGTAAGTGTAATGCTAGATATGCGACATGACTAGTGTATGCTTTGGTTAATTCGTCTGCTTAGCGCCAGCGGACTCGGTGAAGCTACAGTCAAGACACTGGTCGAACAAGGAGGCAACGCTGTGGTGAGTATCTTACTGCATGGCAACTTGCTAGAGAGTTTCTAACATGCCGCTTGTAGATTCTGGACGTGAATGAAGATGGCGCAAAGAGACTTGCACAAGAGCTTGGCGAAAACCGAGTGCTTGCCGCTGGAAAAGTAGACGTGACTCAAGAGGTAAAGTAGCTTATAAGGTACCACTAGAGCTGATATTGCCCGATGTTAACAAAGATTTTCTAGGATGAAGTTGCTCAAGCTTTAGCTTTGGCTATAAAACAATTTGGTCGTTTGGCCGGTGCTATCCTCTGTCACGGTATCCTAGATGCTTCTCCATCCATTACTGGATATGGCCCAGGTAACGCTCTAACTAGTTACGACCAACTCAAGTATGTGAGCAATGTCAACTTTCTAGGTGCATACAATGTTGCCCAGAAAGTGGCGGACATCCTCATCAAGCAAGAGCATATGACGGACGATGGTGAGCGCGGTGTTATCATCATGGTTACGTCCATAGCTGGATTGGATGGCTGTATATTGGCGTACGGCACTTCGAAAGGTAAGGGTACTGAAAGTGCACACCATTAGTTCAGAAGGAAGATAACATCTTGTCTTCTCATTGCAGCTGCTATTGCGGGGCTGGTCCTTCCCTTTGCTCGAGAACTGGCACCTTATGGCATTCGCGTGATGGGCATAGCTCCAGGGGCATTTGATACACCAATGACTCAAGTTCTACCTAAGGAATTCAACGCAGCTGCTGTGCATCTTCAATTATACCCCAAGCGAATTGGCCAAGCTCAGGAGTTTTCCAGTCTTGTTTCCCTTATATTGGACAACGTCATGTTAAATGGTAGTGTGATTCGCCTTGATGCGGGCACCAGAATGTTTCAATAATAAGATTGTTTGCGAGGTGTCTTTATTATAATTTATTATTGACTATATACAATAGCAGACTAGTTAGTAACAGTTGATCTCAGTAAACGTGTTTTCGTCCCTCAAAACTCTATGCTAGTATCCCTGCATTGGCTGCGTGGCAAGGAAAGGACACAGACCTATGTTAGGTTTTTTTTTCATTACATTTTGATATAAAAAGGGGGGAATAACCACATGGAGAGTGAGCCCCGTTGAGTTAATTCCACAAGCCAAAGGCCGTAGAACCATTCGCATAACTGTGCTATGACGAACAGGTTTTCATAAAGATGATCAACCCATCTGCTCCACGAATGTGTCTTTGCAAGAGAAGTTCATCTTTGGGGAAAACCAATGCCATTCACTGGTGACACTTTCTGCCACTTGTCCGGGGACTTTCCCTAACGCTTAAGGGAAGCACGAGGCTTCCGTGTGTGATGCGTCAATGTAGCGAATCTTCCACAGTGGTTATGTATAAAGGAAAAAAAAAAAATTGCTAAAATTTTTTCTCTTTTATATAAATAACATCAACACGTGATCTCTATATGGTATAAACTTCTTTGTGAACTATGAAACTGGCGGCGCTGGTGATTGTTGTTCCAGCGCAAGCGTTTGTCGAAGTTGGTGAAGTGAGATTAAGGCATTACGCAAAATGGCTCTATTCTGCTCGATCTGCAAGACAATCGACATGTTGACGAACTCTTTTCCTTCTTGACTCATGACCTTTGCATCGCTTGTGAACAGAAGCGAAGCGCTTTCGAGAATAGATGAGTAAAATTCACAACCTATTTTTCGGAAATGCTCGCAGAGCTTACGCACGGAGAGTGTGATTATTTGAGATTGTTTTTGTTGTTTTGTGCGATAAAGACCAAAAAGCAATGGCTTATATGGACGTCGGACTTTGACAAGATCAGGCCATTGCCATTCAGCGGGAGTGAAGTTGGGAATATTGTGAGTAGCAAATCTAATGATTTCAGTCCGATAATTGTTGTTGATGATAGGATTACGTGGTGACAATTTCTGAGCCAGCGTTCTTATCTTTAGCCTGAGACTGACGTCTCCTTGGTACCGATAACTCTGATCTAATCGTTCTAGGTTGTTTCTGGCATTTTCGGCAAAGATGGAGGAAAAATCGCCCCCAATTTGGTCAACCAGTTGACGAATCTGTTCTTGATTGCAGGAGTCAAAAACTAGATACTTTTGTCCTAGTTTGTGGGGCGGTAGACCTAATTTTGCGTAATTTTTCTTATCCACCATCACCAAGCGCATTGGGCTGGGTTGATCCGCGATGATAGTCGTGACGATGTTTTCAATATTTTGGGGTCCTTTCCATTGCTGTACCAAGCCAGCCAGTCCATCATGCATACTTTGCGCGCTTTCTTGTTGTTCCTCTGCTTTGGTGTCAAAATCTTGCTCGAGTGTTTGCCATTCATCACTTAAATCTGTGAGTTGATGCTCGGACAATTGAGTCACGCCGAGCTGGTCAGCTTTACCACGAAGCTGTTCCGTAATTTGAACACATACTTGAACCAACTCATCTATGGTAGATGATAGTTGATCGTCACCTTTCTGTAAGCGTTTGAGAAGATGATCTAATTTCCTTGGGTATTGCCTTGATATTATTTTGTGGTCGATGAGGACCTTTTGATGTTCTTCAAATGAAAGTGTGGCCAGTAATGGCAGCAACTGGTGTTGCAATAATAATTGTGGTGATCCATTCATTGAATGATTTGATTCCTTATCCTGTAAGAACCGTGTTTACATCACCCACCTTTGAGGTGAGAAGAGAAAGATGTCCAGCAAGGGTGTTCCCGAGTGCTGCGATGAGTATGGAAGAGCAAAGCAAAAGAGGAAAAAGACGAATATATTGCCTTATAGCAATGCAATTTGAAGAAATAAGGGGGGAACGAGTTATCCAGAGAAGGAAAACAAGAAACAAGACAAGACAAGGCTTCGTAAAGCTTTTCTTTGCTTGCTTGTTGAGTCCGTGATTGGTAATTTTCTGTTCGTTGGTGGAATAATTTCGAAGAGGGAGCCAAGATTGTGTAGCGCGAGATCGAAAGAGAAAAGGGGGGAGGCGCGGGGGGAGATGTTTAGGTTCATTTGAGCACACCTCTTTTTTTTTTTTTTATATACATATGCATTTTATAAAAGAAAATGTTGCTTCTTTTATTATGTTGAAGCATGTCCATTTGCTTATTTCGACAGCTAATTTGGAAGAACCAGCTGATTTTTTTACATTAACATGATGTTATTTGAAGGGTATTCCAAAAAAAAGCGGGAAATATGCAAAAGGAAAGCATCAGTCAGACCCGACCATGCAAGAAAAGCCATGAGAAGGACCCCCCGGGATTTCCTCCTTGAGCATTTTTGCGTACGTGGAAAGAACGCTTGAACATTTATATATTTTTTTTCTTTCTCCATTCTTTGCTATAACATTACCCCATGACCCAATGAATTCCTGTGTTGCTAGGAGACGTAACGCTAGTCAAGAGGCTGAGCTAGACTTGCTTTTAAAAATAAAAAGCTTATATATGCAGTGCGCTGAATATGTTATCAGCGACTGACCATAGCTTTTGACGTATCATCGTGGGAGACATGATAAAAACGGATCGATTCTTGATAATAGCTCATTCAAAAAGAGGTGGAGTGGACTTGTGTATGTGGAGACAAGGCTGCCATGACGTATACCGTTAGTTTTGAGTTTGCGGATGAAGGAATGCAGCTGCAAGAGATGTATCCCTAACCCGAGATTCACCTTTTAGCGTAAGGCCCACAACATTCAGATTTGCCCGCGGAGGAAAAAACCAGTTACCTTTTTTTTTGGCTTTTGCATTGCTTCAAAGTTACAGACTCAGACATGCTTGGTTATTGTTGTTGTGTGGTGGTGGGGGCATGCTTAGCCATTGATATCCCTTCTTTTTTTTTTTTACTCTGCAGTGGGAACGTTTTTATTTCATTTCAATTGATCCACCTTGTTGCTGTCTGTGCGTCCCCTGAAAATAAACCTCTTTACAAGCTGAAACGATCGTGGGGCCAACCCAGCGCCTCTCATCTCTATTCATGGTGTCTTCCCCCCCAATAAAAAAACTTTTTATTTTTGGTGTGTTATTTTTTTACCGCTCTCTCCTACTTGCCTCGCGAGGCAAAACACAATATCAGCAGCTGGCATTAGGATAGTAAACGATATTCCTTCTTTTAATAAGCAAGAAAAAATTAGGCTGTGACCATTAGAAGAAAAAGATAAAAGAGATCTCAAGTTGATAATAATAGTGGATAGGAAAGGAGAGGACAACGCTGTGTTCAACCCTGAATAAATTTCACGCAGGTCAGAGAAAAGAGAATATGATATCAGAAGCAGGTTATCACTTATTCACTGCTGACGCCGCCATTGCTTCCAACTGGCATTCATTCGGCCCGCCGAGGTGTTAAAGGCGGTGGCAAACTGGTCCCAGTCTGCAGGCCACTAGGTTGATTGAAGGTGAGGCTAGTTGTTAGGATGTGAAAAAAAAAACTTGTTTTCTGCAATGCAGTTAGTCATAAAAGAAAGGAACATAACAATTTACCTCGGCTGGTGTTGTTCGTGTACCTGACTATCGTCTGAAAACGGATCAAATGGATCACTGTTATTATTGTTGGTAGGAACCTGTTGGGAACTTTTTGAAAAAAATGTATAAGCATGTTTGTACACAAAGATATTGTTTGTTCATATCCCCTCATCGTTCGTTAACTACCCCTCCCTATTTTATCCTAGAATGGGGCCCTTGTTTACGTTCGCATTTACACTTACGGCGGCGAAGGTGGGTACTCCTGAGTCGGAGTTGGGGCACCGAAATCGATCAAAGTTGCACTCTAAAAGAAATACATCGTCAACATATGTGTGGTATTATGGTAAGCTGTGGAAAGGAATATACGTTTACCGTGGTTCTTTCGTTGAGATAGGGTGCAGCCAAAGCGTCTCCTTCACGGCTAATCGTCGCTGTTTGTTGTTGTTGTATTTGTTGTGACTGGCCTTCCTGCACTGGAGGTGCTGGTGCATGAACATCTTCCGTCGAAGCACTAGTGGCTCGTTGCAAGGCACTTCGTTCCAACATATCATCGTATGTCTTGAATGCGTTGACCAACTCACTGTTGGTGTCCAATAATGAAGCTAATGATTGAATGTTAATAATTGGGCCTTCGTCTTAACTGCATTTCTCAGCTGAACAAGCTTACATATCATGTCAGGATCAGACGCTGTCTGTAAATGACGCATAATGGTCGTATGCAGATCCTTGCATTTACCATAGAACTCCTATAAATATGTACATAAAAACTGTCAATACAAAAATATCTGTCAGCAACAAGGATGTGACATGATGAAATATCATTTCACCTGAATAAGATCATTCTTGGTGATGTCTTCCGTGTTAGGGTCGGTGAATGACAAGGTTTGGGACAGAACTTGACAATTGTTTTTAGCCAGTTCAATGTCACCTGGGATGTCTTCCTCGCGTGGCAAAGAAGGTTCTTGAGGAGCTCTGTGCGTACGAGGTGAACGACCGTGTGTGCCTACAGGATCGGCAGTCAATCGGTCGTGAATACGAAGGAGATCATCCATGCTGGAATCTTGTCGATATTGAGATGCCCACGATTGCAATGCATCGATCATGGCTCCATGTACACGAGGGTCAGATGCCTAGAATCCGTTATCGTTTCATTATTCATTCTACAATCCATCATGCCCGCTATTGCTAACCTTATTAGAAGCCAATTTGTTCAGATCTTCAATGAAAGACTTTGCAATCAGCTGATCTATATTTTTCATAATTGGAGACAAACGTTATTAGAAAATCCCAACATTGAGCGTATATTCTACCCACACGTACCATGGAACTTTTGTGGTGCAGCTTCTGAAAGTGCTTTCAGGAGCTATGCAAACGAAATGGTTTAGCGGCAGCAGGTTATGCGGTTAATTCTAACTTTGGGGGGGGGAGCTTACTTGAAAGCCCAGAACTTGTGTCTCCACATTGTTAGAAGTAATTTTCTTTTGAAGCAGTTTTCGAGCTTCTTTGGCGCCAAGATCAGTCTTGTTAATGGCTTCGCTTATTTGAACCACCAAACCCCAGTCTAGCTCTTGTTGAGTAGGATTGGTCGCTTGGTCTGTGAAATTGTTGATGGAACTGGTTTAGGTGGCGGACAGAGGCGTAATCACAAGCATGCATAAATAAAAATTATACCAATGTCAGCTGTGATGCTGGTAGGGGTGATCTTCTTGGAGAATATAGGCATGTGAGATGAATTGCGGAGGCGAAATACAAGACGAGCAGGGAACCGCTTGTAGGTTTATGACGCGCTTAACTTCGGTGATTTAAAGTTCTTGCGCTACAGCCGCCTATTTTTTTTTTATTTCAATAAATTCACCAAACCGTGATTCACAGCAAACTTATGCAGAACACGACTACTTCACAACCACCAAAGAAAAGAAGAGGCCGGCCTCCGAAACGTCTAATTAGAGAAGATGAAGACGGCGACGACTACAGCGTCGCTTCCGAGAACGATGGCGATAATTCCGGTAAGCTGTGGTTCGTGAACGTGACCGTGGAGTCAACCGTGCATTGATGTGTAGCTTGTCAAATTGTCCAGTACTTATGTCCACCAGTGCAAGTAAAGTATCTAAAAAGAAGAAGTGGATGCCACTAACTGGAGATGCTCGCAAACATATTCAAATTCTGTTGAATGCTGCTCTGCTGTAAGTATATACTCACGCTATGGCAAGTTAGATAGCTTGGTTGGCACACCATTAACACGCTTCTCAATTCAGAGCTTCGACTCAAAATGCTCCTAACAAGAAATCAAATCCCCAAGTTCAGCATGTGCTTAACGAGGTTGTCCGGCGGATAGATCGAAAATTGCTTCGAACTCTAGTGCCTGTTTCGACGAAGGAGAAGACATTTGATCGGGAGCAGCTCTCATCACAAAATGTAAGTTCCAGGAACATATGGCTAGACATTGCTAGTCCAAAAGATTTTCTGTACGGATGCTAAATAGACTATCCATTCTTCTTTCTTTCTGTCTTGTACCAGGCTGCACTTCAGGTGGCAGTGATGTCAGAAGTCGAGGAGAATACCATGTTGCAACAACAAATAGAAGACGAATTAAGGTGAGCGAACATGAATAGATCTAACTTGTTGCGTTCAATTCGTTAACGTACTGTCGCGAAAAGGGAGCTTGAAAAAGAGGAGAATGAGTTACGGTCACTTAGAGAACGAAACAGAACTGCAAGAACTGAGGGCAGTCAACAGCAGGTAAGGAACCATGCATACAATAGGATCAGAGCCTAGTCAATTCCAATACTAATTGACATACTCCTTATTACAGTCATCTTCAACATCACAACCAAATCGAATTCATGACTATGCGCAGGCGCTTATGATGATCAATCAAGTCCCTAAATCAAATATGCATTTGGCTACCGAATCAGAGGAAGAGTATTTTTTAGAAGAGGACGGTCCATTGGAACGCATCAAGTTGTCCCTTGGTGGTAAATTGCAACAAACTTACGACCGCACAGCCCATTTTGACTTGGCTGCAGCTGACATAATGGAAACGAGCCACAAGATGCAAACGTACATGAATTCCCGACGGCAGCATCCCTCAAGGGCGGATGAAGCTAACTCCTTTGAACAAGACGACGATTTTCAATGATTTGTACTTTTATACTGTAATTAATATGCTGTCATCAAGCAGGAAACGATCAAATCGCCTTTTGCAAATAAAGTCGTGCGGCTGATTTGAACTCAATACCATTCCTTCGGATGAACTAGAGTTTTTTTTAAACTGGATATGACCTAGAATATTATGCATGGCGTAGTGTGGCAGTAGCTTGGTGTACCGACCATCCATGTCGCTCTACCGTAATAGGAAATCGACATGTGTCAAGTGGAGTGATAAGAAACCCAGCGTGAGTTATCAAGATTCGGTATCGTAACATGAAAGGAGATAAAGACACGGAAGGTGTAACAGTGTAGATATGCGAATGTACAGGTGGTTTTAACATTGACGCACCTAAAAGCATTTATTATTACTGGAGGAAATGGTTTGATGGGATTGAAATGACACAACAAAAAAAACATTGTATTATAGTGTATTGTATTGGAATGAAATGGAATGGGGGGATGCTGCGTCAAGCAGTAGGGTTTGAATTTGACGTGATCGACAGACGATTCACGTTTTATGGTATAGATTCGATGGGAGGGCAGCTTGCACGTTTTTGACTTGAGCCAAGTGCGCCATCATCTTGAAGAACCCAAGAGATATCCTTGCCAGAGCCGGCTGGAAGAATTTGATCTGGGCGCATTATAAAACTGCGTGGACTTGAAGGTGGTGAGCGGTGATCACTGGTCGTAGGTCTGTTCCTATTTCTCGGTGGCACGCGTGGGTTGAAAAAAGGATTTTGTTCAATGTTGGTCGCTGAGCTCATATGAGATGACACCGTAGGTTGCTGAGTCAGGAACGAACTCATGGCTACGGGATGGGATACACTTGAAGTGTGTAACGCTTTCACGCCATATCGATTGGTGCGTACCCTATTTCGAGACATGTCCTGTTGATTTGCTTGTAACTGAGGCTGTTGGTTGGGCTGCTTCATCACCGAGTTTCGGCTACTAGGGGAAGTAGGAGTGGTTACATCGGTGGTACCGGAGCTTGAAGTGGATAAGATGGAAGATGCAGAGTCCGACTGCACACTGCTAGCAAGTGATTCTGTGGACCGTCGACTATCGTGGGATCCATGGAGGAGTGAATTTTCTATCTGGGACGAAGATGAGACCGATACTTGATCACCGATTTCAAATTCCCTACTCCCAGATTGGTGCTTGGGCTCGTCAAGGTCCAGCCTATGAAGCCATTTATCTAATACGCTATCGTTATATTCTTGTTCGTCTGTACCCGTGCTTGTACTGGATGCGTTCTTGCGAATGGCTAGATCTCTATTTTTGAAAACAGTTCTCAACGATTCTATCCATATCATCATATCTTGAGAGTTCTCAGCATAGAGTACATAAGGTCGTTTCGAACGGTCCTTTGATAATATTGAAAAGGTGAAGGGCATCTTTTTCACCGATTCTGGATGGGCATAATGGTATTCTTGAAGGTTGATATATCCTGCTGGGTATACATCATTCTATACATGAAAGAGAAGTTAGCACGTCATGTTGCAATGGGAGGCATGTGTCAGATGCCAAAATGGTTCAGGTACCTCTTGTCTGTAATAGCGTATCTCGTGGCCAGAAAGAACAAAATAACGCCTGTGCCACTGTTTCCTCAAAGTCCCAGTACTGAGCTTGACCAGCCAACCTCTTGGTTCATACTGGCGCGCCATGTTATAAGAGCAATGAGAAAACACACAAAGGGCAAAAAGGTGAAGAAGGAAAGAGAAGTTGACAATAAAGGTGGAAAAATTTGTTACTGACATAACAGAAATCCCAATCCAGCCACGTGAACTGGAGCGCCGACACGAAATGGGCTTGCTTGGCTCAATCCCTCAAATTGTGCTTGTACAACCGCCCATTCCAAAGCCGGAGATGCAATAATCGCCTTCTATGAACACTTCTCCGTAAGAAAAGAATGACAACCACACGTGCTGGCGCTCCATTGCCGTTTACTAGGCCTAAAGGCTCGACGGTGAAGAAATAGTTAATTACCAATAAACCGAACCAATCGGATTGCAGAGGTTACTCAGTTCCCCCAAATAATTTCATTGTATTCCGCATAATCGGAGAAGATGAACGTCGTACGTTTCATTCATAGAAAAGCTGGTTCATCTCAACCCCCCACCTGCATCACTTTTTTCTGTTGCTTTGAATGACCGCTGCTAAAGACACTGATGACAGCCCCGCTCGTTCTTGTACTACTTTTCGCCAAACGTTACTAATGCCACGAGCTCCACCCCTCCTCTCCTATACCGTGCGTCGCCCAGTAGACGGATGCATCGTACTACCCACCCTGAGGTGAAATGTGCAACCCTTGTTTATCTTTTTTTAGATTGATCACAACCATGGCCTTCTATTAATCCGTGGTTTGCAAGTGCGATTATTGTGGAACACCACCTTTTCAAACGGTATTAGCAAAAATGAATAGCCGCTGCACCTTTGCGAACCCAGCTAACCCTACTTGGCTATGCCATCGAATTTACCGATCGATCGGGTGTATGTTTATACCGTCCTGCTCTTTAGCGCAAAGAAGTTGACAGTATCGGCGCTGGGGATTAATAGGATGCATATTTTTGTTGTTGGCTGATGCTAACAGGTCCATTGGCCATGCAATTTTTCTGTCAATCCCCGCAAAAAAAATAATTTATTTTAGGCACGCGCAGTGCAATTAATTACAGGTACTGGGGGCGAATATCAAAGTACTTAGAAGCCACGTTGGAAACTGCGATATTACACCACTTTGACGTTATAGTAGTAGCCCCGCTACTGGAGATGCTCACTGATTACTTGTACCGTTTGTAAGCAAAATGCACTTGGCTTAATTACTCGCATGTATCTATCTGCCATCGCGCATAAGTTGACACTAGCTGACATGCAAACCAATCGTACCAAGGTACCCACTTCAACGAGCTCGATTGTGGTGGTCAGTAATGCGACCTATGCCTAAAAGCGTTTTCGATCGCCAACCATTCGACAATGCTAGTGGCGTCCAGGAAGTAACCGATCTTTTTCGAGCGGTTGACAAGCCAAGTTTAAGCAAGTGGCCGGAAACTGATCATAAGAACCGTTCAGAGGCATTGTTTGAAAAGTTCGGATTTCGGCTGAGTGTCAAACCATCCACACTGTCTGGCGCAGGGAATGGCGTGTACCTAAATGGTACGAGAGACAAAGACCAAATTGTCAGCGTCTATCCTGGTAAAATTGATTAGTCTCATGTCGGCCATTTTATCCTGATAGAATCATAATCAAAACCTTTGTCTCTTCCACGGTTAGGCACAATGTATCTGCCATCTGAGCCTCTTCTATTTGCGAGTTTGCGCAATCGCTATATTTTAAAATGCGTGGATGGCGTTTATGTGGATGGCAAAAATACTGGCAAGTCTTCCAAGCCAGTATCCTGCATGCCAGCCCAAGTCATCTAATCCCCTCTTTCATCAGGCTTGTCCGCTCGAATACATAGATCGTTGCACAAAAGAGACAATTGGCCCGGCGCCATTGTTACCAGCGATGATACGTGGTTGACAGTGTACCCAAGGTAAAGTCAACACAATGCAAGATGACGCTGAAACATTCAGGCTGACTGTCCGTAAACATATTCCGCCACATGCAGAAATCCTCTGGCTGTGGGACAAATTGTGAACAACAATCGATTCGCTAATGGTAAATTGAAGTCACACCACCCCCAAAAGATAAGCTATCAAGATACTCATACGATTCTTAACAGTAAGATACCAAGAAATAGATATTCCCGGCGACTTTCCATTAGAGTTGCGAAAGTATATCCCAAATCTTTACCTCTCTGATCAAAGTATCGAGTCAAATTGGAGGCTAGTTGCCCTCATCGCCACACGAAGAATAGAAAATGAAGAGCTGTTCTCTACTTATTTTGAATGTGTATATTGAACAAAAAAATATAAAAAGATCCAAATTGCAGACATATGTACATATCAGCGATTGATTGTAAAACGTCAGCGGCGATTCACTGCAAAACTACCCCATAGTATTTGCATGGTATTTGTGTTTACACCGCTCGGTCGCTAAACACCATCCTTTCGACTCGGTGATGTGGATTCCATCAGCAGTTACATGACATAGCACAGTCACAGCCTACGCCAGAACCACGACCTAAGCACTAGTGTCAAACAAGTATTTCCCTTCACTTTCGTTCAATAGAAAAAAAGAACTTACAGCTGCAGGTGTTATGATGAGTGAAGAACACTCGGTTGGAGTTCTTGTAGTCTGGAGATTTGCCCAGCTGTTCGTGAGACGAGGCGAGATCGTATTCGCCAGAGGCATGGCGGGCACGTCTATGATCATAGTCTGGAGACACGCCAGTGTCGATGGTAATAGCACGTATTTGGTCTTGCTGTGCTCGTTGCTTTTCTTGTGGACTATTCATTTGAAACCTGGGGAAAAAGACAGAGAATGAAACAAATAGAGGAAAGAGGAAAAATTCGAAATGGGAAAAATCTCGAGGGCAAAAAGAGCTTCCTTTTCATGCAAAAAAATCAAAACCTGTCGAACCACAATTCATCATATGATGTGAGCCAAAAAAAACCCTCCCCCCATCCCGTTTTAAAACAATGGTTTGAAAAATTGTAACATGATATTTTATTTCAATCATTCGTAAACCACTACAAGCGGTGAGAGTGAGTCATTCAGTGTACACAAAATAAAGAAGGGAATAGGGTTGAGAAGAGCGGTTTAAGAAGTAATGCAAAGTTACAAAAGACGTTGTAAGTTGTGGAGAGTTTTGGGAATATGAGAAAGTAAAAAATTTTGGAGGGTGTTCGTGGAAATCAAAAAGTCGGTTTGCTCTAAGCCCAAATCTGTAAAAGTGGATCGACAAGGCTTAGCATTATGTATACTATAACGGTGACATAGCTCAGCAAACTTACCTTAAGATAGGTGTCCCAACTTCCAGTACATAATGCCATACCATCACTAGAAACACCCAAGCAAGAGACACGGTTATCGTGACCACTCAGCACACCGACACGCTCGCCTTTCAGGGTATCCCAAACGTTGCAAGTGAAGTCGTCGTAACCAGCGAAGAGTAGACGGCCAGAGACAGAGAATGCAACAGAAGTGATACCACAGATGATGCTGTCGTTTGTGTATTGATTGAGTTCTCGATCAGCACGAAGGTCAAATAGTCGGCAGCTGGCGTCGTCTGATCCAGTTCCAAAGGCGTTTCCATCTGGGAAGAATTGTACCGAGTTGATATCGGATTCATGGCCAGTAAAAGTCTGTACGCAACGTTTTGAGCGAATATCCCACACCTTTGCTGTAGCATCGCATGCACCTGAGACAAATACGTTTGGATTTGGTCCAAGGGAAAGACTGCGTGTAAATCAATAGGTTAGGTGTGTGTGCGGGCGGGGCGGAGTAGAGATCTTTCGGTTTGACGTACCTCATTACATCGCCGGTATGATCATTAAATTCTTCTATTTTGATGCCTGCATCAATGTCCCACAGCATACAGCTCATATCGCCTGAAGTTGTAAGAATTTGTCGGTCATTGATGAATCGACAGCAGCTCAAATAACCAGTATGAGCCGAGAGTTCGCGCGCTGGGCGAACAGGGCCTTCTCTTGATCTCAAATTATAAATGGAACAAACGTTGTCGAGACCACCGCACGCTACAAAGTTGCCGGATGGAGCATAGGCGCATGTCATGACCCACGATGAACGTAATGGAATAGCCTGGACCTTGTTAGTAGTATAAGCGTCCCAAACAATAAGTTTGCCATCTTGAGATGCCGACACTAAATGTCGCTTATCTGCTGACCAATGCATGGAGTATATTTTGGCGAGATGACCCTTCAAAACACGGCGAACTTTCATAACTACTCGAGGAAGCGGCTCAACATCTTTGGCCATTTGACGCACTAATGTGAAAATTGAGAAGGTAAGTTGAATGCAGGATGAGAGGATGGCCATGGTCTACAATCAGATGAACCACTCACAAGTAGTGTCTGCAAGAGCATCCTTCTTTTGTTTGATTTTTTCTTTCAATGACTCGGCTTCCCTTCGAGCTGCAGCAATTCTCTCTGCAATGTCTGAGTTGTTGTCCATGGGGAGAATTCAAGCCGAAATGAGAGGAACGGGTAGGGTGGAGAGGAAGGGGCGAGGATAAAGGGAATCAAGTTTCATAGTGGGCTTTGTGCCACCTGAGCACAAAAATTTCTCAACCTACAAACGAGATATTTCTGCCTTGACCCACCCCCCTCTGCTCACGCTTTCCACCACCTCGGCCTTGGCTTTTCTATTTGACTAAGCGGCTTCATGTTGATTAACAATGAGAATAAAAACAGGTTCTCTATGGAAACAGGCTGTCTTAACGTTTTGTAGGTTTATCGGAGTCAACCGATGAGCTAGCGCCATATTGATCCTCCGGCCATCGATGTCGCTGGATCATTACCCTAGCGGATACAGATCGAGTGACCTAGTTATCAATAGCTTAACCCATGTAACATTGCCATGATGTGGATCATACCTGGCACTTTAGAAAAAATGTCATTTTGACCCCCTCGCGCTATTACACGTTGACCGCAACGTTGCACATGCACAACCAGAAAATTTTCCAAGTTCTACACCAACCCACGCTGCCAATTGCCATTGCAAAAATTCCATCTCGTGCTTTTGAGCAAACACATCAAATAGTAAAAATGGCTCTGCCCAACAGGAAAACAGACATTGTATTCCATATAGGCCATGGCCAGGAAGAAAGTCACTATTGATAAGGATCCACGCGATGGGCAACATGCCCCGTTGTGCGCGGGCACCTGCTCCTTGGTCTGGCCAGCCCCTGTCTATCAGAGTGGCTTTCGTTTCTTATTGTTTGGAAACCCCTATCACTCAATGGCTGTCAGTTCATTGAGTAGTGGTCATTTCACAAACTGCGAACACCAACTCTACCCCTGGTCATTGCAACTGTGTGATAGTTTCGGTTTTGGTATTGTGGTGGCGTTGAAATGCTGAAAGAAATATTTATGCAAGTGAGAATAATAGGGCAATGTGAAATGGCGGTACATCGGAACTTCCAACGTCTACTTGAAAAAATTAAAAGAATAAAGCATTCATCATATTGTGGACCAACTCTATCGATAGTGCTGAGAGAGTAAATCTGTCTCGTTCATGAAAACACTGGCATATCACCTTAGCCTTTCTTTTAACTAATGACGAATGAATTCGACTTCGACACGCTGGACTATGCCCAACTACGAACATATTGCCTTGTTCTCCGCTGCCTTAACAAAATTACTTGGTACGACGTGGCATAATAATGCCATGTGGTACATAGTCTTCAACCGGAGTGATGGTTTAGTTTAGAAGTCTAGCGAAGGACTCTAAACATTTTGGGGTGATCTTTCCACTGACGTTATCCGTCGTGCCATGGTTTCTCGAACTGCATCAAGTCTGTATTACGTACAAAGTGGTAAAAACCCAGTGAGCAAGTGAAAACGATATTTTGAAATTCTGATTTTTCTAAAAAATGGAAGCTGCACTGCACTGCCTCTGTATAACACGTAATTTGCCGCCTTTGCGTTACAAATATTATATTTTGCATTCTCAGGTCAATCGCTCATTTGCCACGGTGCAGTGACTCTCAATTCAAGCGCAGATTTTATTATCGAAATTGAACAACCGGTATCAGGGCAATGAAACCAGATTCGCGATTCTTGACCGTCACGTATCGAAATTGTCGTGTCATTGGCGGAAATGGATCCTTCTTTTCTTTTCCACTCACGTATCTGCCCTTCTTTTTTTTTTTTCCGCCAACTCCCCCTTTGCTACATGAGCAAACCTTCCTTACGAAATGCTGCACGTAAACAGAATAACGTATGAAGAAAAAACAAATGAACCATTAAATTAAATATGAGAAAGCCTTTATTGACGTGAACTGTTCCACACTAGTATGTAGAGTACTGCTCATATTGTAACGGTCTCGGTGATTTTGACACGAACGATGAATTCAACGAACTCCTGACTTGCACCGATTGCAAACGCAAATGTTAGTGGATGAACAATGCCATTTAATTTTTCACAAAACTGATCTTCGATATTTTCCGCACTGTGATTTAGTCCATCCCGTTTGCTCACAATTGCCAGAGGCTGCTACTAAGCTTGCACGAACATACAACTGGCAATGCAACGAATGCAAGAGCTGCCTTGTCTGTGAGCATAAGACAAATGAGGTATGAATACCGAAACCCCTCGTTTTTCTCAGTGTGCTGCTGGCTTGTCGTTTGACGTTTTGCGACTTTTTCTACAGGACGAACTGGTTTTTTGCTCATCGTGTGACCGTGGTTGCCACACTTTTTGCGTCCAGCCACCCCTTCCAGCCATACCAAAAGGTAAATTAGAATCCCCATTTTTTTATTTATTTATTTTATCACCCATTTTTTCTCTATCTATTGGCCTCATCACTTACAAATATGAAAATCGCGGCAGATGACTGGTTTTGTGAGTTCTGTGCAGGCGCATTTTTAACACCCCTATCTATGCGATCCCCATCCCCGACCAACGCAACAGCAAGTTCCAACGATATCGACTCTGCTATCAGCATGGATGAACATCCAACTAGCAAACTACCTTTATCAGAAGAAAAATCACATCGTCAAAGAAGAGTTTCTAAAAAGCGAACGTTTCTCGGAGATGAAGAAGAACAAGTAATTCCACCCCCCAGGAAGAAAGCGCAAACTACCCTTAAGATACGAGTCGCCATACAGCAACCGACTGTATCCAATGATAAGGAAACGGAGTCAAACGAAGAGCGTGTGGCAAAGGAGCAGGAGGCTCGAGAATATAATGCAACCTTTGGACATAAGCTGACATTGGCACAGGCAGATTCGCAACGTGGACGACCGCAAGAGGCAGATAGATGCAAGTTCGAAAAGTGCAGAAAATCAGAGGTAAAATAGCTTTGATAAATGTACAATTCATGCCGATGGGGTCCACTGATGTTTTTCCCATACACACAATGTTCCAGCCTGATACTGATAGCACCAATCGAACATCGGCATTGAGTGCTACTGAGTTGTTCAAAATCAAAGATGTGCGCATTGGAGATTATACTATGAAAGCTTGGTTTGTTGCACCATACCCTGAAGAATACACCCAGCAGCCCCAACTTTACATTTGCGAATTCTGCTTCAAGTACATGGCGAGTGATTATATTGCGGGTCGGCATAAGGTACACTGTCTTATCTGTTCTCATGGCCGTAGCACCATAGCATTAGAGTTGACTAAAATTGACATCTATTATAGCTGAAGTGTGCCATGAAACATCCACCTGGAGATGAGATATATAGGGAAGGAGCGATATCGATATTTGAAGTAGACGGACGCAAAAATAAGGCAAGTATAATAAGATTTTTGATGCATCCTGCGTTTTGCAAGTCGTAGCTGACGATGTTCCCTACCATAATCAGATGTACTGTCAAAATCTATGTCTCATTGCCAAGATGTTTCTGGACCATAAGACTTTATACTATGACGTTGAGCCGTTTCTATTCTATATCATGACTGAGGTTGATGAGGATGGCTGTCATTTTGTCGGCTACTTTTCGAAGGTATGATGAAGATTGATGTGGTTTGACATCCCGGGGGGTTAGGGTTGCGCAATACTAATACGCCAAATCATTAGGAAAAATGTTCGGCCATGAATTACAATGTTTCCTGTATATTGACACTACCATGTTATCAACGGAAAGGATACGGACAATACTTGATTGACTTTAGTACGTATCAACTGCCTTCAAAATATCTTAATGATCGACTGCTGACCGGCATATTTACAGGCTACTTATTAACGAAACGGGAAGGCAAAACGGGAACTCCGGAAAGACCTCTCTCAGATCTCGGTTTATTGAGCTACCGAAGCTATTGGAGATCAGTTCTATTTCGAGAATTGCGAAAAGTGGATGAAGCTACCAGTGTTGAAGGTAAGCATCACTCGCTTGCTAGTACTCATGATTGAGCCACGCTAATTTTGTAAAAATCTTTTTTAGAACTCAGCGCAAGAACAAGTCTAACTCCAGATGATATTATCGCCTGTCTTCAGCTGAACGATATGCTTTTCAAAGACAAGATCACTGGAAGATATCAAATCGACATACATGATCAGACTCTTGAGGAGCATGCGAAAAAAATGGCTCAAAAAAATTATATCCAAATCGTGCCTGAGAAGTTGACTTGGACTCCCTTTGTCCTGTCAAAGGAGAGATTGGCCAGTATTACGGGCGAAGCTACCCACCAAGTTAAATAATTGTAATTAGTTTATAGAAATTTGGTCAGAAAAGTATGAAACTTATTATCAGACCAACGAGATGGCATTCCATTCCAAAAAAAAGCAGTAATAATAATAATGTAGATAGTTGATTGTCCTTCCATATTCGCTAATGTTAGGGTCATTTTCTTACCGTTGCGAATTTTTATTCGCAGCTACCGGTGCCTCTTATCTGAGAGAACGAATCTGGCTTAACGAATCACAACTGCCATTCGGTCTATGGCAGGACGATATGCTAATGATCCCGACGGACAGTTCTTCAATGGTCCAACCTCACCGCTAGATGTTTCATTTTCACCGTCGCATAAAAGGCGGACCTCGATCTTATCGACCAGCTCCTCAACCACATTCGAGTGGCCCCTGGAGTCGTTCAATGCTTTTACACGACGAGCATCTACATCCTCCATGTCTTTGCTTGGCCTAAGCAGCGGTGCTAGCGCCAATCGCGACGATACAAACAAGGTTATGAATTCTCTGACAGAGAGCATGCGAGATTCCCTTGGCGATGCCTCGGCCATGTACACCCGTGTAGCGGAAAACTCACAAAAGAAGGTGGTTCAGCTGGTGAATGATCGAAGGACAATGAAAGAACTCAACACGCAAGTTCAAACAAGGCGAGACGATATAAAAGAAGCTGCGGAATTGATAGAGAATATTCAACGCAATGACACGTTTGGAAAGCTATTAACCTTGATCAATGAAACGCTTCAAACAATCGACCATGACAATAAAAAGTCGGGAGGCTAGATTATCTATTAATGTCTGAACAAATGTGATCTATCTATGTACAAAAATGCTTGACAAGTGGTTTGTCTCCAGTCCAAAGCTTGGATATTAAGGCAATAGGTTAGGTCTAATAGTGTAGCGTAAAAAAAAAAGGGGGAGGGAACATATAATCCCATACAATGCAATACGTTTCTCTTTGCAAACGGCTGTGGTACAAAGCATTGCGGTCTTCGTCTTCCTGTATCATAATCGCTTAACTGACTGAGGGACAGGTCTTCCATATACATAAGTTGCGAGCTGTATCGTTGTGTAGTATGGTCAAGTCAATACAAATGAAATTGTCTCATATACACCAAAAAAAAAGAGAGGTTCACTACTTACCATGACTAACATGGCTCCGAATATGAAATGGTATGAGGGTTGAAAGTCGAAAAGTCTGAAGCTTATGATACTTGAAAGTATAATCGAGAGGCTAGTGGCGAACCCTTTGAGAATGTTGTCGGCATATCTCACCACAAGCGATACCAATAATCCACCTAACGCCTGATTTATGACAACCAAGCAAGTCAACAAACCATACCCTTGAAACATGCCTCCTTCGGCTATTCGGGGGTAATCGTAGGCCATAACGGCTATAAAGGAGAAGACCGCTCCAGAAATACCCAATTGTATATTCCGTATCCACATGGAAGTATTTGAGGACTTGAGAATCTTTTCAAAGTAACATCCAGCAAATCCTGACGATACACATGATGCCATAACGGCAAGCAAGCCGACTGTTTGATTTTGGGTTGATCCATTATGTTTTTCGCTCGACGCTGTGGAGGTGGGTAATTGTACGAGCGTGACGCCAATCATGAGCAAAAGAAGCGCCAGCCATTTCTGTTTGGTAAGTGCTGTGCCGAGTAAGAGGACGGAGAAAATGGCAGTGGATAAAATCTTTAGTTGGTAAGTGACTTGGAAGGTAGCCGCCTCTAGGTTGCTCAATGCAATATATAACAGATTATTCTGAATGGCATACAAGCCGGACGGAATAAGCATCTTGAGCAATTCTTTGGGTTGGCAAACAAGGTCTCGGTAGAGCACTGGTAGAAATCTTTCTTGACCATTTTCATGCATAATGGCTGTAAGGCATGCCGCTATTTTGATCAATTCAGCCATAAACACGGCTGTCGACGCAATATACATGGGTTGTCCAGGATCTTGATTAATGCGTGAATAGTGCATCATTAACACTAACGTCGAGTTTTGTATAATGAGAACGACAAGCGCTATCTGCGTTCGCTTCGATTTTAAGAGCTCCACTAAAAAGAGAATGAGTCAATATAAGCACTGGTTGGTGAGCGTTGACAAAACCCTGTAATGGCATGGCCTACTTTGATTTTTCTTTCGGGATGTTCCATGGACAGGTAAAACAGGGATGCGCTGTACATTGGACATTGCAAAGAAGAGACCGAGACATTTTGTTCTGGCTTTTGAAAAATAAATTGAATTATGACTGAGATTTTTGTGTGAGATTTTTGAAAAAGTTGGCTGGCTATTGTTGTTCCTTGTGGGACAAAGAGGTTGTGATACAGGCAGCCAACAACATACATACAAAACCCACCCTTTTCGTTTTTTTATTTTATTTTGCCCATTTTTTTTTCTTTCCCTTCTTTCTCTACCCCGCTTGGCAAAACGTGCATTGACTGAATTCACATCTGATATTAATGACTGCATCACCTACGTTGTCTCAGTCTCCTACTGCTGAGTCTCAAGCTTCACAAACCAACAGCTCCCTTCCATCCTCGGGTGTCCCATCCCCAAACATCTTCAACAAGAAGGACAAAAGACAGTACCCGTCGTCACGACAACCTTACCCTCCACCACCATACCCTTTGCCAGTGTATTACCCGCCTTATATGCTGTATCCACCTTACATGTATCCTCATCCACCTTATCTGCAACCTCCTCAGCCGCAGCAACCTCCCCTTAATCAACGCGATGAAGACCAGGATGACGTGGAAATCATTATGAATGATCTAGAAGCTCCTTCTTCAAAGTTTTTGGATCGATCTGCGTCCGTTTCTAGCGATGTAGCCAAGCCTGTATCTCCGCCTGAAGGTACGCACATGGCATGACTAACTCAGCTTGACCACACATTGGAATGCACAGCTTACCATCATGTTTCATGACATTTAGGCGTTCAGCCTGGCCTGAGGAATCAATTAGAGTACTATTTTTCTCGACAGAATCTAGCCAATGATGCATATTTAGGTATGTCAAATTGATTGTCAAACGTTGGAGAGGAAGCATCAATTGACTTGAACTATGCTCCGAACGCGGGGAACGAATAGTATCGCAAATGGATAGCGACTTGTATGTATCTATCGCTACTGTGGCATCTTTCAACAAAGTGAAAGCATGGACCACAGACTATGACACGGTTGTTCGTGCTTTGAAATCAATTCCCGCTGTCACCGTTGATGAAACAAACACCAAAGTCAAACCCAACATTTCCACTCAGCGCACGACCATTATTTTGCGGGATATAGACAGTAGTGCTACAGAAGAGGTATGCAGTAACACAAACGAATGGTTAGGTTCATCGATGATGCTAATCACGCTGACGATCTATTGAATGTCAGGACATCACGGCTATCTTCACTTCTGACATGGAACCCATAGTCATAAAAGATGTCAAACGCGAGATCGGGAACATGTGGTACGTCACATTCAACACTGAGGAGGAAACCATCAAAATGCTTTTTCTACTTCGAGGCAAGTCGTTCAAAGGTAAACCCATCGCTGGTAGAATCAAGTCGGAAGCGGTTTTGCGTAACATGTAAGCAGGGACTCCACTACGAGACAAGGTTGCCATTGTCTATCATGCTAACGGTGTCCTGAATACAGCCAAGTAGAAAATCCATCTCCTCAACAAACCGCCGTTTCACCTTCATTCAATCCACCTTCCCCTTCATCCAACACCCCATCACCAAACAATGTCCAAATGCCATTTCCTCCGTATCCTGGCTATTACGGTTTACCAGGTTATCCCATATTACCTATGATGCCACCGCCAATGGGATGGAACAGTCCTCAACCGCCACACCTTTTCCAACAAAATTATAACACTCAACATGGTAATTACCAAGAGGGCCATTACCGTAATAATAATAATAATAATAATCGCAAGCGATTCAACAACAATGGTGCCAAATACCCCCAACCGATCCAGCAGGAATCTTCTCCACAGGATAGAGCCAGCACTTTTTCACAACAACAACAACCAGGAAACTTTCGCAATCATACCAAGAAAAACAACTATCGCAACCAATATAATCATGGTAACAACCCTTTCAAAAATAACAATAGAACCCAACAGCAAACATCACGCTACGGTGGCAATAGCATAGAAGAATCACCAGTCACCCAACATGAATTGCCAAGCTCTACGCCACTCATGTCTGATACATCGGGTGAGCGTCCAAATCATACACCTAAAGGGTCATCCATGCCTAGAAATCGAGGCAAGAAGAAGAAGTCGGATAAAAAGTTTCCAGGTAAGCTTGTTTGTGCCATTTCTGACACGTCAGGTCACCAATGTCAGCAGACCCACCCACTTTTGACATAACCTGCTTTATTGTACTTCTTTTATAGAAACTTCGTCCTTGCAACCCGGCCATTTCCCTCCTTTGCCCAAATCTGCGTCTTCCAGTCCAGATGAAGCTCAGAGCGCTCAACATCAGACAGCTGCTTCATTCAGTTATGCAGACATGCTCAAAGCTCAGCAAGCTCGATCATAATCCCATTAGAAAACAAAAGAAAAAATGTCCTTGCTCACCCTGTTACCTCGGCTTCCAAAACCACCCCCCTTTCCCCCCTTCATCCCCACACACGAAAGCAAGCGGATAGGAGAAAATAAAATAATAAAAAAGTTCGCCACGCAACAGAGAGGAAAAAAAAAAGTGTGACGTTGAAAACAGTTTGAGAGTGCGCTCCCCGGCATAAAATTTGTCAGACTTGCATCGTTGTCCTGTCTCTCCTACCACACATTACACAAAAATGGGTACGTTCATCATGATGATTAGGCGAAGGAATAGATAGATGAACGGTTCATAGCTGGATGGATGAATCATAGGAAAGAAGGATGCATTTACTAACATTGAATTTCATTGTATTTTTGCACTTCCTCATTTGACTTAATGTAGTGGTAAGTTGAACATTGTCCAGTTTCAATGCCGCAGCCAATGTGCATCAACTAATTTCAATCCTATCATCTCAGAACTTCACTGTTGAGGAAATCAGAGGCCTTATGGACAAGGTTACGAACATTCGTAACATGTCCGTCATTGCTCACGTCGATCACGGCAAGTCTACCTTGACCGACTCTTTGGTCTCCAAGTCCGGTATTATCTCCTCTGGTCGTGCTGGTGAAACTCGTTTCATGGACACCCGTCAGGATGAGCAAGATCGTGGTATTACTATCAAGTCTACCGCTATCTCTATGTACTTCGAGATGGAGAACCCTGATGATATCTTGGAAATCAAGAACCAGAAGACTGATGGTACGTATTTCATGCAGCTGCTGACAAACCCATCGACTTACCTTATCAAATTAAAAATCCGAATGGCCGTGTACTGACATAAAAAATGACTACGTAGGTCACTCTTTCTTGATCAACTTGATCGATTCCCCTGGGCACGTTGATTTCTCATCTGAAGTCACTGCTGCTCTCCGTGTCACTGACGGTGCTCTCGTCGTCGTTGACTGTATCGAAGGTGTCTGCGTCCAGACTGAGACTGTCTTGCGTCAGGCTTTGACCGAGCGTATCAAGCCCGTTGTTGTCGTCAACAAGGTTGATCGTGCTCTTCTCGAACTTCAACTCACCAAGGAGGATTTGTACAACGTGAGTTATCATCCATATACCATTGGCTTTCGCCCATAACCTTAAAAAAATTTTTTTAACGCTTGTAAAATTTTTTTTTCTTACGTTAGACCTTCCAACGTACCGTCGAATCCGTCAACGTCATCATCGCCACCTATGTCGATCCCGTTCTCGGTGACTGCCAAGTCTACCCCGACAAGGGTACCGTTGCCTTCGCCTCCGGTCTTCACGGTTGGGGTTTCACCCTTCGTCAATTCGCCGTCCGTTACTCCAAGAAGTTCGGTGTTGACAAGGAGAAGATGATGGTCAAGCTCTGGGGTGAGAACTACTTCAACCCCAAGACCAAGAAGTGGACCACCAAGAGCACTGATGCCGAGGGTAAGCCCTTGGAACGTGCTTTCAACATGTTCGTTTTGGACCCTATCTTCAAGATCTTCGACTCCGTCATGAACTTCAAGAAGGACCAAACCGCCACTCTTCTCCAGAAGCTCGAGATCAAGCTTGCTGCTGATGAGAAGGATCTTGAGGGTAAGCAACTTCTTAAGGTTGTTATGCGCAAGTTCCTTCCCGCTGGTGATGCTCTCCTTGAGATGATCTGTATCCATCTTCCTTCCCCCGTTACTGCTCAACGTTACCGTGTTGAGAACTTGTACGAAGGTCCTCTTGATGATGAGTGCGCTATTGGTATCCGTGACTGCAACCCCAACGGTCCCCTTATGCTTTACGTCTCCAAGATGGTTCCCACCTCCGATAAGGGTCGTTTCTACGCTTTCGGTCGTGTCTTCTCTGGTACCGTCCGTTCCGGTCTTAAGGTCCGTATCCAAGGTCCTAACTACGAACCCGGTTCCAAGAGCGATCTTTTCGTCAAGTCTGTTCAACGTACCGTTCTTATGATGGGTCGTTACATCGAAGCTCTTGATGACTGCCCGGCTGGTAACATTGTCGGTCTTGTCGGTGTTGATCAGTTCTTGGTCAAGTCTGGTACCATTACCACCTCCGAAACCGCTCACAACATGAAGGTCATGAAGTTCTCTGTCTCCCCTGTCGTCCAGTGCGCTGTCGAAGTCAAGAACGCCAACGATTTGCCCAAGCTTGTCGAAGGTCTTAAGCGTCTCGCCAAGTCCGATCCCTGTGTTCTTACCCTCACCTCCGACTCTGGTGAACACATTGTCGCCGCTGCTGGTGAACTCCATCTTGAAATTTGTTTGAAGGATCTTGAGGAAGATCACGCTGGTGTTCCTCTTAAGTTCGGTGACCCGGTTGTCCAATACCGTGAAACCGTCCAGGCCGAATCTACCATCGACTGTTTGTCCAAGTCCCCCAACAAGCACAACCGTATCTACATGCGCGGTATGCCCCTTGATGAGGAACTCTCCAACGAGATCGAAGCTGGCAAGATCGGACCCCGTGATGATTTCAAGATCCGTGCCCGTGAGCTCGCTGATAAGTACGGTTGGGATGTCGCTGAAGCCCGTAAGATCTGGTGTTTCGGTCCCGACACCTCTGGTCCTAACTTGTTGGTTGATACCACCAAGGCCGTCCAGTACCTTAACGAAATTAAGGATTCTTGCGTTGCCGCTTTCCAATGGGCTACCAAGGAAGGTCCCATCGCTGATGAGAACCTTCGTGGATGCCGATTCAACATCTTGGATGTTACTCTTCACGCTGATGCTATCCATCGTGGTGGTGGTCAAATCATCCCCACCTGTCGTCGTGTTGTCTACGCTTCCGTTCTCACTGCCAGCCCTGGTATCCAAGAACCCGTCTTCTTGGTCGAAATCCAGTGCCCTGACTCTGCTATCGGTGGTATCTATGGTGTTCTTAACCGTCGCCGTGGTCACGTCTTCTCTGAGGAGCAACGTCCCGGTACTCCTATGATCACTGTCAAGGCCTACCTTCCCGTCAACGAATCTTTCGGTTTCTCCGCTGATTTGCGTGCCGGTACCGCTGGTCAAGCCTTCCCTCAGTGCGTCTTCGACCATTGGCAATTGATGAACGGCTCACCTGTCGAGCCCGGTAACAAGGTTTACGACATCATCCGTGCTGTCCGTAAGAGAAAGGGTCTTACTGAGGACATTCCTGGCCTCGACCGTTACTACGATAAGTTGTAAATCGTGGACATCCAAATATGATAGTACTTCCTCTATGGATTTTCTTGTAGTTGTTTAACGCGAAATGATGGAAAAAAAATACAGATTCTATTTTCTACTCTTTCGATTGTTTTAAAAGAAAACAAAAAAAATATTTATGACTCGAATGTGTATGAATCTGATATTGTTATGAATTAAGACCGTGCCTTCATTCAAATGAATGCGCATAAAATAAACATACATGACTTGTAGAATTAAAATATATATATATACGTGCCTCTTGCGCTTGTTTGAAGCAGTCGCTTTGTTCGATTTGCTAGGACAGTTTCGATGTTCTTACCAACCGTTTCAGAAAGTGCAAGTCGCTGATTTGAAATTTTCACCGGCATGGAGATAAATTTGTGTGTTCAGCAATGAAGCCAGTCGACACAAAAACCAACCTCAGTCGTGAAAGGAGTCTCTTATAGAATCGACACTGTTGATGAGGTGCCAGTACAGAGCCCGCCTGTTTAGACTGTAAAAATAAATAAGGCTTGAAAGATCAGCAATTCTTTAGAAGAATGAAGGATTATATACGCGGAGTATGAAATATGGAATAAGTTCTCAAACGATTGAACACAACTTGTGTGCTCCTCGTCAACAGAAAGCTCCATCGGCCCAACATCGTACTCATCAACAGCATGAATTTATCCATCTTCGTTCAAATATTGCATTCTCATGATCCAAAAGTCATACTGTAAAAGGTAAAGAAAGGAAGACACGACATCGTTTATGGATCAACTGGCTTCAATGTTTGAACACAAAGATTTTCTGCATGACATTGCATTTCAAAACAGCGACCACACTTTCTGAAATGACTGTAGATGTTTTCAACCAGTGCGTTCCCTCAATTATTTTCATCAGTCCTCCGGCAACATGATTCTTTAGCATAAGATCATTAGGACAACCAAAAGCTGCAATGATCAAAATACCATCTTTCAAGTGCTAAATATTCATAGACATAGTAAATCTGCTTGAATCAACAATTCGCCTCCTTAACTTCGCCCTCCGCATATGCGTTTGTATATACTCACATATCGAATATTCTTACTGCATGTACTTCTTTTGAGGCAATTATTTCCTTTTCACACTTGTCTCAATGTTGTGTATTTATACTGTACCTATGTCTTGAGCCTAAAGGAGCACTGCTTTCCCTTTTATTCACATTATGAAAGAGCTATTTAGCCTCTAAATGCAGCAAACGACTATGGCCTACACATCGTTGGATGCTACATGAAGAGATCTACTATCGTTTGGGTCGACGGAGCACTAGCCCGCCTCCCATCAAAGCCTCACCGAACTTGTCGTCAAGTGGCGCGGTAATGCAAATCATGAACCATGGTCCATACAAGGCGATGGCAGCCACAATATTCGTTCATTTTGCTTAGCCAAATGGAAGCACTGGCGTCTTCTATCGGTGCGATCTATTGACATCACTCGTTCAGGCCAAGGTAAGACAAAAACGACCGATCTGCTTGCACGAGGCTAATTACTGCAAGGTCCATTTTCGGGGGTGGGGGGAGGAGGTGGAGGAGAACGGGAGAGAACCAGTCGAAGCGTATCAGATTTGGTAAAGCAGTCGGGTTCTGCGGTCCGACTCCTCTACGCCCGGCAATGTTTCAGAAGCGGCCATGCATTATTTCTAGGATAGAATGGTTATATCTTTGTATAGACGAAAGGCTATTGGTAAGCATGGATAGCCAGACAAGGGACGATGGGTAATAACGGCGCAGAAATATGTAGTGATATGTAGTGGTAGTTTGTCAGTGCAATATTGCATTTTTTTTCTTGACTGTTTATATTCACGAATCGTGACTGGAGAGATGACACTTCGTTGATGTCAATGTGAGGCGAGAGTTATAAAAATATTCTCACAAATAAAGTAAAACCCTTCATCTCTTCCAATTTATTCCCTATATGCCTACAACAAGAAGCAAGTCGAACACTCAAACCAAGGAAAGTGACCACGCCGGAGATAAACGTGAACACAAAGATACGGAGGGTCAAGATGATAAGCCTGAAGCTAAAAGTGCCAAGGTAGACTCACATCAAAAAGCCGGACGTCGCCGTAGCAGTGTCAGCAAGAAAGCAACCGAGAAAGAGCAACCAGAGACCGAAAAACAGACGAGGTCACTCGAGAAGGGCCATATTTACTTCTTCTATCGCCCCAAGGTACGCTATAATTCTCATATAGACAAAATATTTTTTATTTTGGTTGTATTCACGCCGGTTTTACATAGGCGGATAGTGGTGACGATGTTGAGTCGGAAGATGATGTTCAAAAGTTATATATGGTGTTGAAGCCACATTGGTCAACCGACAAGCGCACACCAACATTGATCATACTCGGACGTAAAAAGTTACCTGACGTAGACGACCATGCCCGCTATTGGGGCTTTGTTGTAAGTACGAGAAGAACCAAGTTTTAATTTAACACCACCGTACATGTCAGTTGGTACTGAATTTATTGGTTATTACAGGCAGCAGCAGACGATGATATCAGCAAACTAACAGACGCCTTCAAGGAGAGCAGCTACGAGACCAAAACTCGAGGAACGCGCAAGGTGCATGCAGCTCGCCCCGCAGCGGAAGGTGTCTACATGATCACTACTCATAATGGGCATAGTCATCTTGCTTATATCACCACAGCCCCACGAGAGCCTGGAACAGTGCAAGAGGCGTTCAACATCGACAAGGAATCAAGCCTAATCATTAGTATCAAGGCAAGTGTAACCAAAAAAAAAAAAAAAAATAATTTCACCAGCCTCTCATCGGAGGTGCTTCTCCCCCATCCCCACTCACGTATTTGTGGTTCCTTTAGAATCCGAAAACATCCAACCCTGCTGGAGCAGGACTACGAGGAAGACAAAAAGCAACCTATCCAGATGAATTGCAGGAGTGCTTTCACGATCGAAGATTCATAGCCATGGAAAATACAAAGTTCCTCAATTACACAAACAGTGAGTTACTGCTCATCGGAGCTACGGATAATTTAATCCAAGAGCTAGGAGAAGTTGCCGAAGAATTACACGATTTGGAAGAGGAGGATGAGATGAAGGTGTTGGATGTTGGAGACGTAAAGTACATCTTTGATGAATTAAAATTGGATAAAGACAAGGCTCCCGTTGAACCACTTCATGGCGAATGGAAGTAAAAATGAAATAAAATTGAGTGCCATATTGACTGACTGCATGTAAAAAATTGCCCATATTTATTTATTTTTATTTTATTTTGGGACCTTGTGTGCCTGCGTTGCTTGCGGATCCACACCCTTATTTTTTTTCCTCCTCCCTCACTATTTATTCTGCTCTCTTTCCTCTTCTCTTGCTTTCTTCCTTTTTACTCTTCTTTTCATAAGCTACCTTCATCTTGACTAACATGAAGGATGCTGCTTCTCCTCTGGCTCACGCTGGTGCAGAGGAATGGAAAGATCCCGAAGTTTTAACTCCTCTCATAACTCAACACCCAAATTGGTCCACTTCGTTTGCCGAAACGGTGGTAGACAGAGAATCGTTACGAACCACCTACATGAAGCCTACCAAAGGGTCATGGTACTCCTCTTTGTTGAGGCTGTTTCGTCGAAAGCGTGGTCAAGCCGACATTCGCAACCGTACCATTCAGCTTTCCCCAACTATCCAATTTCCGCTCATTGATCCAGCCACTGACCGGCCGTTTGTATCCAATAGTATCACGACCACTCGATACAACTTATTCGATTTCCTACCCAAACAATTGTACGCACAATTTTCCAAAGTCGCCAATCTGTATTTTTTATTTGTGGCCATTATACAGATGGTTCCAGGTTGGAGTCCAACAGGCCAGTTCACAACAATTCTCCCACTTGCTATCTTCACGTCGATTGCTATGGCGCGTGAAGGATACGATGATCTTAGACGAAAAAGAGCCGATCAGACAGAGAATAACGCCAAAGCACAAGTGTTACGAGTATACCGATCTCCCACTAGTGTAACCGCGGTATGGCAGCAAGTGACATGGAAAGAGGTGCACGTGGGAGATTTCGTTAAAATAGAGCAAAACGATTGGATTCCAGCGGATTGCATACTTCTGTACAGTCCAAATGAAGAGGCTTGTGGCTATGTCGAGACAGCGGCATTGGATGGCGAGACCAATCTGAAAAAGCGCCACGCAGTCGTCACTGACAATCAATTTAGTACGCCTGAATCACTTGCTCAACTAGAAGCCATTATCTCAACAGAACTTCCCAACGCTGACCTTAATAATTTCAATGGTCATATGCAAATAACAACCAACAACTCCATCTGTCCTCTGACAATGGAGAACCTCTTTCTGAGAGGAACTGTCCTACGCAACACTTCTTTTGTGCATGGAGTCGTCGTGTTCACTGGTGAAGAGTCCAAAATTAGAATGAACCTCAGCCGCAATGTTCCGACCAAAGCCCCCTCACTACAGCATATGGTCAATCGAGTCGTCATTGCTATATTCGCATTTGTGATCGCTCTGGCAAGTACTTGTGCCGCCTTGGCCTTCCACTGGCAAGCCGTCCATCAAAGTACCGCTTGGTACCTTCTCGGCCATGCCAGAGATCAAGCCAGTGTGGTGTTTCAATTTGTTATTTTATTCAACACCATGATACCAATATCTCTTTATGGTGAGTGCTTTATTATTGATTTGCATAATTGTCCACTCCAACACCGGCTGGAAGGCATGTGGGGCCCTTTCCAGGTTGGTTGGTAGCGGCAACTGACTCTGACGCCCATTTGCTAAATTGTAATTCCATCCAGTCACAATGGAAATGATCAAGCTCGTGCAGGCATGGCTCATATCAAATGACGTAGACATGTATCACGAAGAAACCGATACTCCACCTACAGCTCATACCAGCACTATTAACGAAGAGTTGGGCCAAGTCGATTTTATATTTTCGGACAAGACCGGTACTTTGACCGAAAATTTAATGTTGTTCCGCAAGCTTAGCTGTGGTGGCTGGGCGTATTTACACGATGTAGACTTGATCCCAAAGGAAGCGAAGGAAATTGAAGCCATTCAAACCATTGCTCAGAAAGTCCATCGAAGTGCCACCAAAGTGAGCCGATCAAGCTTGTCCCATAGTTTACGACGCAGTTTGCAGACATCTGGGGAAGAACTCATCGAAACCGACGATCTGGAGGAATCCATGGTACTTACCGAACTTCAAGCGGCTCCCAGACTCAGAGTGTCCACTGAAATTCCCAAGACGGCGGACATGATGGCATCCATCGCACGTAATAGTCATGGAATGTTGCAACAACGCTTACAGTTCTTTTTACTCGCTATTTCACTTTGTCATACCGTCATTCCACAAATCGATCACGAGACCGGTCAAGTGAATTATCAAGCCGCTTCCCCTGATGAATTTGCTCTGGTGAATGCTGCAAAGCAATTGGGTTATGTTGTCGTTGAACGTACCATGAGACATGTAACTCTCAAGTCTCCACAATCCGATCAACCGATTCGTTTCGACATTCTCAACGTCCTCGAATTTTCCAGCAAGCGCAAGCGCATGTCGATTATTCTCAGGATGCCAGACAATCGTATCGTTTTATTCTGCAAAGGAGCGGATTCTATAGTGTTGGAAAGGTCTATTCTTCCAGAACAACTTGTTTCACCTGTTTCGCCTGTCGATTCTAAACAATCGGCTTCACACCTTTATACCTTTGAGCCCACCTCTGTCCAACACAATGAGTACAACTTTCATGATGTGCCAGTCGAAGAAGAGCATTGGGAGTACGCGCGCACCGTTCATCATATTCAACAATTTGCGACTGAAGGACTTCGAACACTTTTGTATGCTCACCGATTCATGACCCAAAAAGAATATGATGATTGGAATGTTGAATACACTAAAGCAACCCTAGCCATTGATGGCAGGGAAACCAAGCTTGAAGAGGTAGGGGAAAAGATAGAAATCGGATTGCGGATCACCGGTGCTACGGCCATAGAAGACAAGCTGCAGGAAGGAGTAGCAGATTCCATTGACCGCATTCGCAGGGCCGGAATGAGAATGTGGATGTTGACCGGCGACAAACGAGAAACCGCTATCAACATTGGTTACTCGTGTAGTTTGATCAAAAACGAGTCTCGACTTATTCATCTCGAAGCTGGTCCTCAACTTGAATCGGTTATCATGCAGGCTCTGGATGATATACAGAATGGTCGTGCTCCTGACGCTGTTCTTATTATTGATGGTATTGCACTTTCCACCATTGAGAATAACAAGCCTGTTTTGGCCATGTTTTGCCAACTCGGTTGTCTTTGCCAATCGGTCATTTGCTGTCGGGTCAGTCCAAGTCAAAAGGCTTTGGTCGTCAAGGCTACGCGAGCCACTGCACCCAGAGCAGTGACTTTGGCCATCGGCGATGGTGCAAATGATTGTGCTATGATTCAAGAGGCTCATGTTGGTATCGGTATTGCTGGCAAAGAAGGCATGCAAGCGGCTCGTGCTTCCGATTACTCCATTGGTCAATTCCGATTCTTGTGTAAATTACTACTTGTTCACGGTCATTGGTCTTATATCCGAGTCTCCAAGTTTACCTTGGGAACGTTTCTCAAATGCATGACTTTTTACCTGACGCAAGGCATTTTCCAACTTTGGACAGGTTTTTCAGGAACGTCGCTTTACGAAAGCTGGTCTCTATCATTTTACAACACGCTGTTTTCATCTCTGCCGGTGATGATGATTGGTGTCTTTGAAAAAGACTTGCGAGCTTCCACTCTCATTGCTAATCCTCATCTCTACAAAATGGGTCAGCGTAGAGGAGCATTCAACTTTTATATCTTTGCAAAATGGATCATGTCAGCTTGGTGGTATGCTGCATGTATTGTTTTGATCCCTCTCGCCATCAACGGGTCTCTCTTCGTCACAAGCGGTTCGCGGCCGCATAATGGAGGTCCACATGAAGCCGCTATAGCTTCGGTTGCATTATTTGATGGATCGTATCAATTGTACACTTTAGGGCTCACATTGTACGCTATTACTGTTATTGTTGTCACTCTCAAGGTAGCCTACATTGAGTGTCACACCCAGACTATCATTTCGCACCTGGTCGCTTGGGCAGAGATCGGATGCTTTGTACTCTATAATCTCATCTATTCATACGCCTATCCCGTCAGCAAATCTTACGAATATGCTGTCAATGGAGAATTTGTAAGGTTGCTCAAGACTCCTTTATTCTGGCTTATTGTCGTCTTCACCGTTACCGTCGCCATCGGACCCAGCGTTGTCGGAAAGGCTCTCTCAAACTGGTTCTGGCCAAGCGAGGAATTCATCTATCAAGAGTACGAAAAAGATTCTCGCCTAGCTCAACTTTGGGAAGCTGAAACGCAACGACAAATACTAGGCGTAGAGAAGAAGACTATTATCAACAACAATGAAACACAACCAACTTCTACTACTCGATCTGGTCGTTGGCAACTCCTCAGATTCAGTCGAAAATATTAATTCATCCTCACCATCCGCCTCCCTTTTTGTAGATACATACTACATATTTTGTTACTCTCTCTTGTCATTCATGTACTTTATTATTAAAAAAGAAGAAGAAGAAAATGTTATTCCCCCTCTAGTTTTTTCAACATCCACTCATTTAGCAAATTTCACAGTCACCGAATTTCCCTGCCGTTTCGCTAAAGTGGTGTGGGCCTGCCCTTTTTCGAACCTCTTTCGTATGCCGCCGTGTTAAACAATGTTGGACACCATTGTCTTGCATTTACACGAAGAGATTTCGTTGGACGGAAAGAAAGGTACACTTCAATTTGCATGGAGCTGACCCGTATTTACGTATACTCACCTTCGTCACGTAGGAACGAGTCTGAAGCGACTATGGGACATCACTCAGACATTCTTGAACAACTATGCCGACCGACTTACCAATGCCAGCCAGGACATAGTTCCTAAAGGTTTTAAACCCACCCTTGATGACCCTTTTAAAGCACGCATATGGGATGCCCTTCGGTGCCATCCAGATATCTTTGTTCAAATGTCAGACCCGACTGATTCGTCCAGACAACCGACGCCCATAAAGCAGGAAGCAGACACGGACATGGAAGCGGCTGATGATTCCTATATCGACGACGACGAAGGAGATGTTAAGGCAGAAAATAATATCAATTCTCTAACGGTACGTCTACCGACATGATACTCCACCGTGAACTATACGTAAAACTCATTTTCCCCTTCTTCTTACATACCACGCATAGGCCAACTATACCGATCTACCCGAGGCAAAGACTTTATCGCTCAGCGAATTAATACATCAATACGGCTCTAGTTTCTCAATAACAACGTCTAAAGCTAGCCAACTACTTGCGTTGACGGAAGATCCTCATTTGAAGGAGGTATAGGGTGTTTGCCTTCAAATATGGATGTAACGTTGGATTGCATTAACAGATCGTTTGCTGCAGGGCGACTCATCGGTCACTCAACTTGCTTTACAAGTTTTGGAGGAGGCTGGTAGAGGACGGGAACAAGGAACCACGCAAATTGATCTAAGTCGTGTTTGCGAACGTGATGCTAAGACGGTATTTCATTTTGTCAAAAGCATGATGAACCGTGGATACCTGTAAGTACTGAAGGGTTCTTATACGTTACACTCTTAAAAGTGACATTGTGAAATTTGATGTTAATTCACACTCATTTTGCAGTTTCAAACGGCCTATTGTTGTCAGAGGTGCCGCGACACAGCAAGTTATTCTCACTCGCTATCGACATTTGTACAACAATAGTGAAGACGACGATGACACTGGATCGCATATTGTACAGGATCCATTCGTAGACGGAGATACCGACGTACCTGTGAAATTTGACGGAGAGGCTGCGAAGAAGAGAATTTCGAGATGTCTAGAAAGTGCTCCTGATAAGTCTTTGATCATTGACGATTTGAAACCCCTGGTGGTAAGTACATGGAATGGAGTGGACTTGTCCGATGAAAAAATGATTTTTTCGGCTATTGAAAAAAACTAGATTGTATAAAGAGAACGAGCTATGTTTTACTAAAGCATGCTGAACATAGGGTCTAGTCAGAGTATCGAATTACCTGAGCCGCTGGTTCAATCGTAATCTTCAGATATTGGAGGACAAAGGGTATATTGAAAAATTCCAAGTGCCCAATGACACTGGAAAGCGAGAGTTTGATCGATGCCTTCGTTCACTCAAACCGTATTTGGGAACAGAGGGCGGTAAGTAATCGTGCCCAGGGTGGATTCGTGATCTTGCTTTACGACAAAAGTAAGCCTATCTAACATCATTATCGACTAGTGGATGATGGTGATCAAGATGATACCGAACAAGAACCGTTTTTGGAATTCAAATCGGAATTGCAGGTGGCATCAGACATCCCTCTCGCGTACCAGATTTACGATATGGTCAGAGCGTCTGGCACGCAAGGAATTACATCCACTGTGAGTTGTGATACGATGTAATAGCTTGGCAATGTAAGTCCTGCCTCTAACCCCGTCTATCAATTGCAGCAACTTCATGTCAATATATCAAACGTTAGTATGAAGTACTTGGTGAGGATTCTCGAAACAGCTTGTATCCCTGGGTGCAAGCCTGATGAAACTCGACGGTTGTATCGGATGGGAGCAATGGATGGAAGAAAACGGTTCTATCTCTACTATACAAGAGATGTCTTCACGCTAGCACCAGAACTTGAGCAACAAATGGAGAAAACAAAAAAGGCTCCAATGGTTGAGGATGAAGATCAAATCGGACCTGAGATTGATCCATTTACGTTGAAAAAAGCTACCACCACTGTCCCTCGCAAGGCTAGTGCTGTAAGTGCCTTTAACTTTGCTTGTCGTTATTATACATCATTTTGGTGGTGCTGGCTACTAAACCCATGGCAATGAACTGCCATTCCTATAGCCTGGAGTTCCTGTAAAGCGAGGTCGACCAAAGAAGATTGTCGAGCCCGATGACAGTGGATCATCCGCCTTACCAGCACCTGCTGCCAAGCCTGCAAAGCGAGGTCGGCCAAGAAAGGTTATTGCACCGCCGCCTGATAGTGAGCCATCTGTGCCTGCTGAAGACACAGCTCCCATTAACAAACATGCTGCGGCAGTCGAGACGCCATCTAACGACCAAAATGTCTCTATTAATACAACATCGACAGAGTCAGCAACTAGTCCCAGAACAAACGATACGCAGCCTCTGGCTAAAAAGAGGAAATTGAGACAGGAGGTGCAGGAAGGTGGCGATAGTGAGCAGATGTCCGAAGCACCTGTCATGGATGCACCGGCAGCTATTTCAGCTACCGAACAGGATACAGACAGTTCAAAGAAAGCAAAGACGTTAAGAAAGCGAACAGCGGAACAAGGTGCAGAGAAGGAGACCGCAAAGAAATCAAAGGAAGAGCCAAAGAAAACTCGTTCAACAAGTAAAAAAGGTGGTGTCGAAAAGAGTAGCCCGCAACAAGGTGGTCTCATGTCATGGCTACGATCTGCACCGTCAACGTCAAGGCAACAGGATTCAGCAACTACTCCTCCAGCTACTGTACAACCTGTAACCACAAGGCCAGCCCGACAAGACGACAACGCAGTTCAGCCAATGCAGGTTGATCCTCCTGTGGTTGCCTCACCTAGTACTGCCAGCATGAAACGTGATCGTGCTTTCCACCGAATGACTGCCGGTGCATCGACCCCGGTAGCAGAATCTCCGTCGTCTGAAGGGTCAGTATCAGTAGTATTGAGCATGGCAAAGGATGATTCTCTAAGCAGAGAAATGACGGCAAAGGCGTTTACGGCTACTTTCCCTCAAAAAGACGCTCCCGACTTTATTGCTGACCAGAAGGTTGCTCCTTTCCCTGAACACTGGAAAGCAGTTTCCATAACCGAACGAAATGCCAACCAGCCTTACTTTAGAAAACGGGTAGAAACGCTTATTCAAGTGATGCAAAGCAAGAAGTTCGCCATATTCGATAAAGCTTTCATTGACGATGTGTCCAAGGCTATTGATTCAACCTTAACCATGGCCAGTACAGGAGTCCTCGATCGCAAATCGGTCATGAGGGCGACCATCAGTGCTGGCAATTCCGGTGACCTTCAACTCTATCCCTTGGAATTTAAGCGACTCAGTGGATCGGTCATGGTCGCGGTATTGCTTCTAGTGCCTGGTACCTCGCTCAACGACCAAGGGCTTCTTGATTATATTAAAGCGTACAGAGAGATGACCTACGTACCGTCTGGTCGTTTAGGATCTAAGTCAGCTTTGAGGACGGAGGAAATGAAGGTGGAACGACTTGCTGACCGCATTAAGCGCTTAGAGTCAAGCATTGAAAATGACGATGGATCCAATGCAAGCAGACGACTTCAAATGCTCAAAACGTCCAAGATGGCATTGGAAGTACAACGAAGAACCAAAAAGTACCAAGGTATTCATAGTAGCATGGTTCGAATTGCTATGCGTCATGGTTTTATTCTTGCCAAAATGGTTCGCGCAAAGATCTTTATGCAATGTCTTCGTCAAATGACCGATGCCCACAATAGCAAAATTGTTGTGACTGAAAACATTTGTCGAGGCATGACTTTACGAGCGTTCGCCCAAGTCATTGGCATCTTTGTCGATACTCCAGCAACCCGAGAGGCGCTATCTAATCCACATCATATGAACACATCGCTGCAGCTCTTGGATAATAAGACCAAAAAGGCGATCTGGGTAAAGAGAGGGCAACGGCTGAGGAGTAGAGTTCGATCCAACCTCGATGTTCTTCACGCATTGGGACTCGTCAAACCTAGTGTTGGCGATGCTGTCGAAATCAATCATCAGCTGTCTCCATCGTTCGTTTTATCTGATACAGCCGAGCTGCGTGATTATTCCAAACCTGGTTTGCCGGTGGTGGATGTCTTACCTGTGCGGACGATGGATGATATCGAAGAGTATTGGCGGCAACTTCAAACGTTATGTCTAAAAGTCGTCGTTTTCCCTGATGAAGGTACTGAAGAGACTGAAAAGCGCATCGAGGAACTTAAAAATGAGCAATCTCAAATGATCCACGAAAAGGGCTACATTGCTGGCATATTGGCCAGTCCTGCCTGGGAAGGCAAGTTCATTTACAGCGAGAAGCAAATTAGAATACTGGATGCCTATATCGATCTTGAACATCGTCGCACACCCTATGATGATCCCATCTTGTGTGAAGAAATTGCTGCCAACACTGAACTTCCCATCAAGCGTGTTCAGCAGTATTACAGACAGGTCCAGGCCTACAGGATGAGGAGGAAGAAGAGGATGCGCAAGTACCCACGTCGTGGAGAAGAAGGGTTGGTGACGGCAGACCTAACTACAATACACATGGCACCATATCAGCCAACACCACCATGGCTTGCCAAACGAGGTCGGAAGTCAGTCATCTACCGACGAAACGTAAATCGTATACAAAATGAACATATGGCGGACGATGAAAACATACCAATGGTCGATCAAGCTGAAGAAGGTGAGTTATGTTAGCAATAAGAAAATAGAGTGAACTGAGTACCTGACCATTCGCGTCCAACCAGATCTCATTGGGGAACGTAGCAGAGAGTCTATGCCCACGCTTACGGCACCACGTTTAAGACTACCCTGGACTACGAATGAGGACGAGCTATTGCTATACTCTTATGTCATTATGAAGGCTCGACGCAACATTCGCTGGGAACCTATGCGAAATGTCTTGCCCAACCGAAAGCCCAACAGTTGCAGAAACAGACTTACTACACTGACTCGCACTCAGGCTCAAAAAGCCCGCGTCATGAAGCTTGTACATGCTTGGCAGCAGGTCTATCGAGATGCCCTTCGAAGCGGAAATCTCACGGAGACAAGAGGGCCCAAAGACAAGCGTGAAAATGTCAACAATATAGACGGGGATGATAGTGATGATGACAAGGACGAATCTTATATCCTTGATCAAGAAATAGTTACCTACCTTACTTACTTTCTCAATGCACTAAGAGAGAATCCAAGGTATAGTATATCAATTCTGGCCGCCAGGGAAGCATTGGAACTTTGATTATAATATGCCTGCTAAAAAATGTCTCTTTCCTTGTAGCCTGCTCGATGCTACCACTAATTTTACGATTCCTGCAACCGTCAATAAGCTCCAAGCCGAATATAACGTTGCTGTACAATTGCCCTGGGAGGACGATAAACCATTAGTTGATCGGTGGGAAGATGTTCGAGGGTCCAGCTTTATCTTAAAAAGCAGGGTCCTATGCTCCACTACCCTCTGTATTCGCAATGAGTGGACGCTTGGGGATCTAGAGATGGAGACGTCTTTGACCAATCAGGACACCCGTCTGATTAATGATATCAAAGTCATGTTGAAGGTACAGCCAAAAAAAAAAAAAAAAGTTTTGTTGTTCGCTTATGGCTTTATCTGGAAATTTATCTAACCACTCCTCCATCACTGGAACCATTAGATGATTCTATTAACGCCAGGCGACAAGTACAATGCAAAGTCGGCTTATCAGTCACTGTATCGATACCCAATGGAACTCGTCTCCCAAGCTATACGCGATTCGAGTGCCAACAATATTTTGACCCGAGCAAAGTACGCTGGAAATAGCAAAACCTCGCTCCCAACGCGATCGTTTGGCATGACCGAAAAGTAAAAGTTTTATTTACTTGTGATATTACAGAACTCCTTTTATTTTAGCATGCATCTCACAGGTGGCTATTTACTTTGTTTTGATTCTAGATTCCTATCGCATCTGGCTGGTACTTTGCCTCAGCGTACCTTTGCTCGAGCTACTGCCTATCGTCATCATTTGTTGAGCCAGGACCATATTAGTTTCTCCCCTACCAGCAGCTCAGGCATGATATACTGTCTCTTGGACATGGTTGCGTATAACAAGGTAAGTTCATGTACTGCATGAATGGCTTGGACCAACTTAGATTTTTCCCCCCCACAATGCATGGACGCTCATTCCTTCAATAGGCAACATTCCAAGTTCATGACGAGGCAAAGTTCTGCGAAAAAGTTACCAAGCCTTACTATATCAATCGGCTGACTGGTAAGTTTACCAACACAGAATGTGTAATTGGCCAGGCCACTTACACCCCTTTCACAGAAACCAGCAAATATGAATTCCATGTGGATGTTGATTTGCATAAAGACACACCTCCACCTACCACAACCGATCCCATTGCAGGGACATACGAAGAGGTTGACCCACAGACATGGAACACAGCCTTCCAAAAGTTTCAAAAGAAGAACAAGCACAAGATAGTAGAACTAATTGCAGACTTGCTTAAGAAAAAACAAGGAGACGGCATTAGTCTGATTGAGCTCAAGGTAAAAAAAAAAATTCCTATCCTGATCTTTCGGTTCGTTAGTACAAACATTGACGTTGGGTTGTTTTGAATTTGCAGCGGCAGCTTGGTGCGATCGGTCTTACTGACAATGAACTACTTTCGTGGATCGAGAAAATGAGACACAATACCCCGCCCCTTGTCACGTTTGTAGGGTCAAGCGACAACATTTTGGTTGGCTCTAGCTATGTACGAAGCTGGGCACCACGATTGAGAACATCCGACCATAATGACAATGGTATTCTTGTGCCAGCGCGCATGTGGTATGACATCCAGGGCAAAATTATGGAACATGTCCTTCGAGGATGCATGCAGGCGGTCCTGGAACAAATACAGCGGAACCCTGGCATTACGTCGTCGACGATCCTCCATAAACTCAAGACGTTGCTCGTAGCCGGTGAAGTATACGATATATTACGTATGCTGGAACAGCGCCAATGTATCAGAAGCAAAGCCATCGCCTTCCCTGCGCGTACCACGTTGTTTTCCGGCCCACGCCTGTTCCACACGCAAGGTACGTAGTACGGACAGCAGGCACCCGAACCACTCTTGTACTAAAACCTCCGTTTCATTTCCTTCACCAGATAGCAACGCCATCACCAAAGATAAAGTATACTGCTACTGGACCTTGCCTGATTGCTGGATTAACATCGTGTAGTCTGCCACGTTATTGTATTATAACCCCCTTGACCCATTGCATGGCATGAGGAATAAACCACACGACATATTAGTGTAGCCCTAATAAATACTCCCCATTTTGGTACGAGCGACAACACCATGGCATTGTCTAGGATCTCCATTAAGCCCCACGTCAGTCATTGTTTATGATGCCACGCATAGCATTTTATTAAAAAACGAACAAAATCGAAAAAAACAAGGTTCGATATAAAGGAAAAAATGCAAAAGAACATGAAGAAAATAAGAGTAAATGGAAAAGAAACAGCGAGAAATATAATTATATACAACGTAAAAAAGAATCCTTTCTCAAGTGGAAGTGAATTGAAGGAGATAAAGGGGTTTAGTAATGGGTTGGAGTGTATAAAGTGTGGTGTTGTGTATTGGAAGGATTTGGGGAATTTTTCTTGCCCAAATTTTTTCTTTTTCCTCTGAACATTGGGGGGATTTCTTTCGATCCTTTCTTTTTTATAGGTAGTTTATAGCTTTCCCCTGGTTTACGAGCGGTGGGGCAAGTTCCTCGATGTAGTGTTTTTTTTTGGTTTTTTTTGGGTGTTAACTTGCCCTTGTAGACCTGTTTATAGTCGTGCTGTGCGGGATAAGCCGGTCGTTCTGATACGATATGTGGTTTTTTTTTTCTGACGGTTTCCTCTTAGAAGAGGTATAAGTTTGAGATGGGTTTTAAAAAGAAATAGCGGTATATCGTCTTCGTATACAAATACAGCGCAGCCAGTGATGTGTATAAGGCACTACCTCAAGCGGGGGCAATCACTGGCGAGGTAGCTACAGAGAGGCTATCAGATAAAATCGGGCCTGCCGATGATGGGGTGGAGTCGTCGGCTTCAAAGGGGGGAACACTTTGGTCCTTCCGCCTCTTGGAGGCTCGACGATCCTTGTCTTCTTCGTGATCACGACGCTTACGAGCATTGGCTTCCTCTTCTTCTGAAGACGAGCTTTCATCTTCAATTTCTTCATCCCAGTCAACCACATGACCCATATCAACTTCCACGAGGTCTGTTGGTAACAGGGAGAGAGCAAATTCATCATCTAGCACAACTGGCACTTCAGCAGATTTGGATTGCTGTGCTTGTTGCTGTGGTTGTGGTGGATTCCATTCTCCATGACCAAAGTCCATATCATAACGTTGCTGTGAGGCAAAAGATGACCTAATCGTTTGATAATGTCGAACTTCATTCCACAGTCTTTTGTTTTCATGAGAGAGGAGAAGAGAATGAAGGTTAGTATGCAAGTATGTATATTATGGCTTTTTTTTTTTATAGTGTATTATTAAACTATGTGAAAGAAAAAAAAAAAAAGAAGCGGGGTGGGGTCGGAGCGGAGGGGAAGAGAAAAGGTAAAAGGGACAGTATCGAACATGTTATTAATACAAGACCAGTTATGCGAGACAAAGAGGGAGAAGGGAACGTTTCGTAATGAAATGAAATGGAGTGCAAAAGTGCGGATGAAAACAACTGAAATTACCTGGTCACCAGTAAGATTCTTCTCAAGGGTATTTCTGTTCTCGAGCATTTAGATGGGTAAATCTTTGACTGGCTGGCAGAGGAAAGGCGGTCCAGAACAACATCGTCCTCTTGTAATGTATGGGGTAAAGTTATGGAAAAAGGTGACGAAGTTGATGCTGGATTAGCCATGTGAAGAGGGTATATGAAAGTTGATAGAAGAGGAGAGAAGAGAAGAAGGATTATCAGCAGGTTGGGGGCGATTCTTTGCCCTCCTTTTTGCCCAAACGCTTTTGGCTCGGCCATGCTTTAACCAATCAGATGGTGAGCCCGTTGCCTTTTATAGTAACCCACCTGGGTTTATTTTCGGTTTTTTTTTTTGCGCATGACGTGAGCAACAGAACAGACTCAGGCAAAAATTTCCAGGCTTACCTAAAAATTGCTTGCTGACTGAACTGCCCTGCTGCGTGATGTTGTTGCAGTGCTGCTGCGCTGCGTTGCGCTGTGAGCTTGGACCACCCCTCTCTAAAATGTGTCACTCTGACACTACTTCAGCGTTATCGCTTTGGCTTAGCTGTTTCTAACATTGTTCCATCTGTCACACTGTTTTTTACTATGGTGTCCTTGACCAAAACATACCGTACCTCACCTTTATTTATTATTTACTTTGAATTTTTTAATTAGCCTCATAGCGTCTTACTAAGATTCTCTCCTGTTCATAAAGTAACTCTCATAGTGCAGACTCACACGCTTCCGAACGACGTCTTCCTGGTGGTTAAAGTTAAACAACAATAGCAACGTAGTACCAATGAGCCAATTGGCGTGGAAAAGAACGTCAAGTTTCTTCAACGTGAACGATTGTTCTATACCTTGGGATAATTCAGCGGCGTGAGAGCTAATTTATCGGCTTGCGGGTAGATTCTATATACCAACCGAATTATACACCAATTTTGACCAATCAGCAACAAGTAGTCGGACAGTGGGTTCCTATATTCCTTCTCATGGAATAAATTCAGCGTTGATCAATGCAGAGATAACCAAGTAACCGATGGTTAAACCATGGAGACATTTCACACTCATATGCTACTATGACACCTCTTTAACGTAGTCAAGTGTATTTTCCACTTGCATGCTCTTTGTACACCCTCCGTGGTCATTGATTCAGAAAATACCCATATAAGACTCCGCAACTGATCCAATGCGGAAGTTGAAGTCTGGAAATTTTATATAAGGACAACCTGACAGGGTAGATTTCTTTCCCTTATCAATTCCCACTTTTTTCCTTACACCCCAGAAAATAACCATGTCTGCCTCTGCCCCACAATACCAACGCATTGCCAACGATCAATTCACCACCTCTCCCTTGGCCACTCTTGTCGGTATGGAAAGCTCCTTTTTGACTGCCTCCCCCTCTGTCCATGGTACTTACCCACCTGTTTAACTCTATCCTTAGATCTCGCCAACGCTGCCGCTGGAGGTGAAATCGTTGCTGTCACTGATGAGTTCTTCGCTGAATGCAAGAACATGATCCAGCCCGAACCCGCTCTCTCCTGCCCTGGTCGCTTCACCGGTAAGTCACACTGGCCAGCTCACTATCTTATCTCTATTTACTTACGCCGTTTCTCTGTATTGTCAATACATAGACCAAGGTGCTTGGATGGACGGTTGGGAATCTAAGCGTCACAACCCCACTTTCGATTGGGCTATCGTCAAGCTCGGTTTCGCTGGTAACATCCTTGGTTTCGATATCGATACCAGCCACTTCACCGGTAACCAAGCTCCCGCTGCTTCCGTTGAGGCTGCCTACTGCCCTGAGGGTGATGTTCAGGCTAAGGGTATTGAGTGGACCCAAGTTCTTCCTAAGGTTGACCTTCCTCCTACCTGCCACAACTACTTCATGCTCACCAACCCTGACGGTAAGGTCTATACCCATGTTCGTTTGAACAACATTCCCGATGGTGGTATTGCTCGTTTCCGTGTCTACGGTACCGTCCAGCCTATCTGGCCCAAGGACCCCTCGTGAGTATATACAAACAAGCTTATCTCATTGTTCTCATATCGGGTAGCTGACCCCTTAACTCTCTCTCTCTTCCCAGTGAAATTGTCGATCTTGCCTTCCTTGGAAATGGTGGTCACTCCGTTGTCGTCAGCGATCAGCATTATGGTTCCGGCGGTAACCTTCTTTTGCCCGGCCGTGGTAACAACATGGGTGACGGATGGGAAACAAAGAGATCTCGCACTCCTAACCACAATGACTTTGTCATCGTCCGTCTTGGTGACAAGGGTCACTTGTTGAAGACCGAAATCGATACCTCTCACTTCAAGGGTAACTACCCTGCCTCTATCCTCCTCGAGGCTACCAACTCTGATCAAGAGATCCCTGTCAACAACGAGTGGGTCACTGTTGTGTCTCAGCGTAAGGTTGGTCCCCATGAGCAATTCTACTTCGATCTTGAACACAGCGACAAGGTCTTCACCCACGTCAAGGTCACCATCTTCCCCGGTAAGTACACAGAAACTGTGTGATGAAAGCAGAGCATGATCTAACCTAGGTGATTCGTTATAGATGGTGGTTTCAAGCGTCTTCGTGTCTTCGGTGTTCGTGATGTCGAGGGTGCTCAACTCCCCAAGGGCAAGGTTGAGATCAAGAACGGCAAGGCCGTCGTTGTCTAAATGTCAAGCTGTCTGAGTGAATGGGCTGGCCTATTTTTTCCACCAACTGACAATCATGATTGTTTTTGGTTGCCGCCAAAATCCATATAAAAAAACATGTCACATAATGTACAAAAACACCCTCTCTCTCCCTTCTTAAACCCCCCACATATTTTGCACACTTCGACACCCATTCATCACTTGCTACATAGAAATCATTTTTTGCATCTGATATCAAAGGCGTTCTTTGTCAGAGATAGAAATAAACATGTTCCCCCTATCGCTCAATAACATCGTCCCCCCATGATGAAATTAAAAAATGGCGTGATATATTTATTATGTTCTGCCAATACTGCATTGTGCACTGGTGATCACATTTTATTGCTTGAGGATGTTAACAAGAACAGCATCGACGACTTCGCTGGATCCAGCCGGCTTGTATTCCAACATCTCGCTGGTATATTTATCGGATTGAGAGTCCATATATTCGATGTACTCTGGTGCACCGGGACGAATCACGTTATCGGCAAGGACGACAGATCCAGGGTGCAGAAGGTTGAGAGACTCTATCAGTTGCATATCAGGGACATACAAGTCCTTCCAGTGGTCGATGAAGACGGCATCCACCTTGCCAGTATGGTCAGGGTGATTCTCGAGGAATGGTTTAATGGCGCTATCGAATCCTCCATGGATGATCTAAAATAAAGTATCGTAAACGGTTAGAATGGATAAACTCACTTCCTTTTCATCACATCCCACTGCGGCCTTCCTTACCTCTACTGTATCCGACAATCCAGCATGCTCGACAATCTTGCGAGACACCTCGACGGACTGCTCATCCACCTCAAAGCTATAAAACTTGCCACCCCATTCCCGAATGATAGCACCAAAGCGCACAGCACTGTATCCGACGAAACATCCAAGCTCATACATAATCTTGGGCTTGTGCTCCTTCAGGACTTTATCGATCTTTCCGCCCTTGTCGTCACCAATGATCATGATTCGATGATAGTGGCTGGCGAAGTCATCAATAGTGTCAATGACGGACTGTGCATCTCCCTTTGTAGCGCTGTATTCGACAGCAGTGGCAACCATAGGCTTGAGAGCATCTGTAAAAGTTAAGTGTAAGTATGGATGGAGGCCATTGATTCTTATAGAACGAACTTGTAGACTTACTGCTGAGAGGATACGATCTTGCGCTGATTCCAGATCTGGTGGTCATTTTGTAGAAGTTTCTTGTTAGGAGAAGTATCAGAACAAGGAATGAATGGCTAGGAAAGCAGCTTTTATACAAAACCGCCAGAGCTAGAGAGTACCGAAATCCCGCGTTCAAAATGCGGACTGGCGGCGATCCCGTTGCTGTGACCGGCTTTTCAGTGAGACTTGAGAGCGTCGGCCCAAGGTTCACTTTGTCCCCGCATTGGCGCGCCCTATGTTGTAGAGGCTTATCAGATCCTTTTCAATAGACACAGGTTCCCAGATCAGTTTCCTTGACTTATGGCTGATTGAATACCTAGTTGCCATGGGCTCCTCAAACAAAGTGTATGTTTCAAGCGCATTAACACTCCTACCCACACGATTGTTTCATTTGATGCTGCCGTCTCTGCAAGCGACTGCGGCACACACGGAGGTCACTTGAACGTTCGCGCACGCTTTCTTTCAAATTGGTACCCAGTCTGTGACCACAACAGGACAATGCAGCACAAAAGGAAAAAAAAAAAAACGGTTGCCCTGCGCCCCTAGCGGGAAAAAGTAAGCTGGCCGTCAAATTGCCAATAGAGTCATCCGTTCCTACACGATGATGTGGTGATATGATAGGTTTATTATACAAACTCTCTTGAACGTGAATTTTCGGTTCTAATAAAGTACAACAGTGATAAATTATATCTAGCACTTGAGCGGAGAAAACGTATCAAGTGAGAAAACAGAAAGAAAAAAAAAGTATGTAGACATGCAAGAGGTGAGCGATTGGTAGGGGTGGTGATTGGAACATTAATATCACACCGCTATAACAATGGCAACTTGCTACATGTCGCTCATGTATGGGTTAGGTCGAAATACGTCATTTACATGAACATGAAAGCCAAAATAGCAGAAGCGACAATGACGGAGGATACGACTGGGCTTGACATCGTACTAGCAGCGCTTGAACTAGAAGAAGAGCTTCCGCTATTTCCGTTGACACTGCCACCTACTCCATTAGCGGCCGCCAAGCCGACTCTATTTTGACCCATATCAAAGACCATATAGGCACTTCGGAGCATGGAGTCACCAACGAGATAAAGATTGGAACTAGTGCTGAGACTGCCTGTGGAAGATGGGGCAATACCGAAAATGCACTGAGAAGCGGTACTGGCGGAGGTGGTATCCAGAGGGATGACCAGTTGTGAAACCGGGACATTGAAGGTAATAGGTGTTGAACTAGGCTTGTCCGAAGTAGAAAACTGGATTTGGATTTCAGCATTGGAGTTGGCCACATCACATCCAATAACGTAGACACCAGCCGAAGAGTCAAGGGCTATGTCATTCTGTGAGGCTACCGATAAGGCAATTTGTTGAGCGACTTTAGCAGGCAAGTAGGTCAGAGTGGTACCCGTGTCCAAAATGACCGGGAAAGTGCTCGACATGCTGATATTTGGAGTACTGATGCCATTCGTAACAGTGAATCCCTGACCATACACCATCCAGTAGGCATATACTTGAGAGTTGCCTGAATTGCCAAAGATAGTGTCTAATGGATTGCTTGAGCCTGATGTCAGCCCAGCCACGGGCATGTAGGCCAAGTCACCTGAATACTTTGATTGGTCAACCCCTCCAAAGATGATTTCACCGGAATTACCAGTAGCTGACGCACTGTTTAGGTAGATACTAAACACTGGATCCGAGATGACTTTTTGAGACACAAGGTTGAATACAAAGGGATTGTACACACTGCCACCATCGCTGGTAGATGCCGTCAGCTGTGGATAGCCAAGACCAAAGATACCATCTGAGACAGTTGAGCTATTCTGAGACACGCTGGGGCTGGAGCCAATTCCACCTCCTAGCGAACCTTGTTGGGTCAGAATATCCTTTGTCGTCGTAACAAGGCCGAACTGTTGATTGGACACAGTGGCTCCGGCCACGCTAACTGTATCTTGAACGTAAGTGCCGTTAGCACTGCCGCTGCCATAAACGATACCAAACTGTTGGTTGGTTGCGTTGAATGTAGACGACTTGGTTTGGTCGAACTTTGCGTATGGGCAAATGTTGTTCGGGCAGTTCGTACCAGGCACCCATAAGTCAGCACTGCCCAAAAAAAAAAAAAAAAAGAATTAGTATGCATGGTTACGCAAATGAGGTATGGTCTAGTGGCCTGTCACAGTAATGTGGAGAGAGGGTCGGTGAAAAAGGGTCAAACTTTACCTGCCAGTATCTAAGGCCACTGAAAAGCTTTGAGGTGGTGTGCCGATATTTACGTTTATAAGATACTGAGAACCATCGTCATTGTAAAGCGAGGTTTGAAACGGATCTCTTTTAATCAGTCGATGACCGTTTGGTCTAGCCACTTTCTCGAACGGGACTCGTAGGATACGCTTCTCGGGCGTGATATCTTCAGTTGGAGCAGCCACGACCGCAGCAGCGGCCATCAACAGAAGCGAAGAAGATATGAGCATTGAAAGTGAAGAAGGGAAGGAAGAAAGCGAAGGTTAAGAAGACTTAGAAACAACAATCCGGCTTAAAAAAGACAGCTAGCGTTTGCCGATGGGATGAAACAGTCGGAGGTACAAACATGTAAGTTGTGTCGGTCATTTACATTGGGGGATTTTTCGTTTTGCCAAGACTTTTTTGGTTGCAGCTGATAGACAAGCTATCAACAATGGAGTTGAATCCGCAATAGGTAAGTTAGGAAGATGTATGATCCATTACAGAGCGCGCGCAGAGGTAATAATAATAAAAAAAACTCCTTTCTTGTGTTGAAGTTCTCACCACGACCCACATGTGACTTGTGTTTCATGCCTAGCCGCCGGACATCATCGGTTGTCAACCCCCCCCCCCTCTACCATTCCCCTTTTTCGACATGGCAACGTCAGTTTCTTCTTCGTCATCCATCACGTTGGGCGAAGAATCAAAATATGGTAGTCGATCCAAAGGTACTGCAACATAAATCTGACTGTCATCTTTTTACATTCTACTAAACATGCCTCAGCAGCCACAATCTCAAAGCGATCCAATCGTCCAGCTCCAACCATGACAGGAACTCCGAAAGCCACTCTGCTACTTCTCTCGCTGCATGGCTCATTTCAAACGAAAGCACTAGAGCTGTTTGAAGGGATTCATGTCAAAATTGGTCGTCAAACTTCTGCGAAATCAGCTCCCAGTGCCAGCAATGGATTCTTTGATTCAAAGGTGTTGTCCAGAACCCACGCAGAAGTTTGGTGTGAGCGAAGCAAAGTCTACATCAGAGACGTCAAGTCCAGCAACGGCACCTTTATCAATGGAATACGATTATCGCCCGAAGGAGAGGAAAGTGCCTCGGTTGAGTTGCATAATGGCGATCAAGTTGAGTTTGGTATTGATATCATGAACGAGGATGGCTCCGGTAAGCAAACATGATGATGCATTGGGGCTATTAGTGTATAGAACAGTACCTAATAGGACTGAAACGCTTTTTTCTGATGTTGGGCGCAGTGCTTTATCATAAAGTTGCCAGCAAAGTCACCATCAATATGGCTTCTGCTACCTCCTCAAACCCCCCTTCTGACAGCTCCGCACGTGAACAAGGAGGAGCTAACAACCATGCAGGAAATGTTGAATATGTAAGCTTTGGATGCGCATTGGGCAAGGGGTGGAGTAAAACGAATATGGGTGGGATTTAACTGTTTCAATGTCCTTAGTTACAAAAGCGACTTGCAAAGCCATCATCCACTCTATCCGATGCCGCTTCGGAACACTCTCAGTATGATTCCGACTCTTCGGTGATACGAAGTCTACATAACAAAGATGGCATCAATCTTGACCAACTGGTTCAAAAGCTCCAGGTGAGGATTTTAGGCTGGCTAGTTTCAATGAAAGTGACACCATATTCACCCTGTCCTCCGGGCTATCCACCCGATGACTACGAAATAGACCGAACTACAAAAAGCGTCAGAAACAGGCGGTGAACTTAAAATACTTAAATCCACCGTCGGCAATGTTGAAAGGTGTATGAGCAAGGAAAATTTAAGCCAAATGGTAGGTGTATTTCACCGCTTGTTTGGGTGAAACAATTCCCAAGTCTCACCTATGACATTTTCCATACGCGATAGACGGCCCGAATAGCAGACCTGAACAAGCAATTACAGCAAAGTAAAACACAAGCTACTGCGTATCTAGAAAAGAACCGCCATCAGGATCAAGCCATTTTATCTGCTCAGCGAGAACATAGCAAATTGCTGACCACTATACGAAAATTACAGTCGGAAAACACTCGACTTCAACAAGATATAAGGACTATGCATGATTTGAAGGAAAATGGAAGCGTACATGGAGACCGCCCACAAGTGCAGTCGTTAACCCCTGATGAAAAAAATCACTCTCACCAAGACGAAGAAAATAGAAAGCTACGTCAATGCATTCAATCATTAGAGGAAGCCAAAAAGGTTTCCACAAAGTCGATTAGTTTACTCGAGGCCATACAGGTAGGTGTACCGACTTTCTTTTTGCCCTGGATCACTCAAGTCTCATACTGATTCTTCTTCAAAGATACCTAGTGTACAACTTATTATCGCCATACTCATACCCATTGCTTCCATTTTACAATATTTCGTTTTTCGGTGATTGGATGCGCATTGCTACGCTTTTTGTATATAAACATCGATCTGCTTACGTCCCTACCTCTTCCAAAGATTATATATATTCATACGCTCCTTTTTCTTATGCAAATACATAATTTTAATTACACTCTTAGCATAATAGCTGGATGGATAGGGCCAACACAGCTCATTCTATTAAATTCTCCACACCCGATTTTGCCTGAAAATGACTATAACAGCCGTCAGATCGTGTCATCTGACGTGAATGAAGCACATAAGTCAGCAGTGGCTGTATAAGGGTGGGATGACAAATGGAAAGAGACAATCTACCAACATTTTTTTACTAAGTGAACTAAAACTTGTTGATCATTGCCGCTCGGCTAATAACATAGCCCAAGAAACTTGGCTGAGAAATTTGGCTTGGCTACCGCACATGTAAACAGCTGACATTCTGCATTTACTGTATCAATGGTCAAGAGTAGCTCACATTGCTACTGTCAAGTGCATGGATTGGAATATTACCATATTCATATGTCTTGCGTTGACATGACCATTCAAGCCATATTGCACCCAATTTTTCCGTTTTGGCCAGTGACTTCATCATTTAGCTCAGCCATATGTCTCGCCAAAACGGGTGTTGTCGTTCAACCCTACTGCCTTTGGATCGTCGCTGATCTAGATTTCAGAATATGTCAAACCCTGTTGGAGTATAATTATTGTTGTTGTTGCGTACAGGAGGGGGGATAAAAAGAAGGGTACCATACCAAACTGGCCAATTTAATTTTTTTGATTGGCGACAAACGCTCAACTCACAGTGACCGCATGCGAACCAGGATGGAAATTATGATGAATCTTTTATTTTTGGGCAAGGGCAAGTCCTTTTGCTTGTAAAGATTTTTGCAAAGCAAAGATAAGTACCCTGTTACTTTTTCCAATTTCTAAGCAGAAGGCGGGGGGAGTCAGTCAGCCAACCAAACATGAGTAGGTTTTTTGTGAAAACTGGTTCAACAGCCAGCCCCATGAGCACACAAGTTTGGACTCAAGCTTTAACGGAATGATTTTCCGAGGCAGGTGTGGTGTGGTGTAAAAAAAAAACAGTATAAAAAAGCAAACAGCTAGGAAACCCAGTGACCCTTTCTTCCCCCGTTCTTGTTTCTTTGATTCAAAAACTTCTTTTCTTCTCTCTCACTTCCTTATCCTTTTGGGACCTCTTTTTTAAAAAAAAGAAAAAATCGACATTACAATGTACGCGCCTTACTACAATGGCTATGGCAGTCCTTATGGCTATACACCATCACCAGCACCGTATATGTATGGAGGAGGCATGAATCCGTACTCTTACTATGGAGGCGGTGGCTATGGAGGAGGCTATCCATACAACAGCGGATATGGCTATGATTATCCATATTACCATTCGCGAGGTGGCATGTTTAGAGGCTTATATGGACGCCGCTATATGTCTCCCTATTCATCCTATAACTATCCCATGGTGGGTGGCTACATGCCCCTGTATGGCAGCCATGGAAACAGAATTTACCCAGAAACCAACTACGTTAGCTCTGTCAAGGATTTGTAAGTGAAAAAGAAAGTTAATTCTATCCTGTGCCTTGCACCATGCTCACTCATATGTTTATCACTCCTGCAGATGGCAACCAGGTCCATGATCGATTCGAAAGCATAAAAAAGAAGACTGCATGCAGCACACCGTATCTTATATATCCTATATATCTTCCCAACTGTACATAATTTCCCAAACTTTCTTTTTTTTTTATTTTTCGATCGAAAGAACCATTATATATCTGGCATAATCCATCGTTTTTGCTTTTTTGAAATCTGTTGGCAATGCCTACCAATACAAAAAACATCCTCGGCACTGTGCGCTGAGTAAAGAAAATAACGAAATCGCCAGTAGGACACCCCAACACCATAAAGTAAATAAAAAAAAAACAAAATACAAAAAATCGCATGAAGTGGACGAACAGCTTTGCACAACGCCCACCACACCTGCAAAAGCCTTACGTGGTACAACCAAGTGTTTGTCCAACTCTCATTTCTCTGTTACTATACACCTTCCATTCTACGTGTATACGAGGGTCATGTGAATACCGACCGGTAAATTACTTGCCAGGGCATGTTTGAGAGCAAGCTAGAACATGGTTGGGTTGTGCCGCAGCATAGAAAATCAACAGAGACTCCCTTTCATAGTATCCCGATTCTGACTTCCTTATCATCCACCACAGACAGGACTCCACTGCGCATCGCATCAAGCCAGACCAAAATCAAATCACTGAGCACATCAATTTGTTACATGAGCCCCAAAATACATTAAGCCTTCTGGTTTAACTTTTGTTATTTTATTATTTTTCACGGGGGCAAGACTTGCTTGCTGCTGAGCATATCATGGCATATTGATTCGCTTCACGTTTCCGAGAAACCTCCCAATTACAAGTCCGATGAATGTTATTGTGGCAACACCTTGAATGGGAAGTGTCTCCCTCTAGCCTTATTGCTCCGCTATAGTCCGTCTGAAGGCGACTGCTAGTAAAAGACAAGCGAAGGGGACACGGTGAGCATGAATGCAATCACGGAGTCCGATTGGGAACCCTATTTTAAATGAATCGAATCGGCTCCTGCAAGATGGTTTAATTTGTTCGTCCGCTGGTGAATGACGTTTGCGCAACTGAATCTAAATGATCAAAGTTGAACGTTAACAGTAATCTTTTTTTTAAATTGAAAAAGGCGGAGAATCGATGTATATCGGAATACCATGCAATGGGTCCTGCAAGGTTAGTGGATGGACGATGGTTACCCACCTAATGCCCCATGTAGTCCAACCTATCACTCGTTGGGAAGCTGACGAATAGAAGTGGTCGCAGGTACAATCGATAGTGGTGATACAGTAAGTCATTCTTCAAATGTCAAACATATTGTATCTCGTCCATATGACAGCTAATTGATTTTACAAATTAAAAAAGTCTCATAGTTTGAAACTTCGTCATAGCTATAGTTTCAGGTGGAGGACATGATGCCAGTTTGAGGTATGACAGGTCACTTGTTGAGTTGTGTTATGAAGGATGTAAACGTTACAACAAACCAAGAAGCCTAAGCAAATAAGTATTGTCCATCAACCGCACACAATTTTAAAGACGGTGCTTCAGCAAAAACATGGATTTGGTACCCCCCCCAGCTTTTGAGAAAGGGACATCCTTCGTTGTGAACAGGAGCACTTCAACTCAGTATACGCTTAGGTTGATGTTCTCAGCGTAGACAAATTGCTTTTTTGTGACAAATTTTAGGATTGAAAGCAACATGTGACTTTTGGAGCACGCTCTCCACCCACCGCCTCTGTAAAATCCCTGCATCCATCCATCCATTGAAATCCTTCCCTTTGCTTCGTTACAAGACAATGTCTGCCGAATTCGCCATCGTCTATGCTGCCCTCATCCTCCAGGATGACGGTATTGAAATCACCGTAAGTATCGAACGTTAGCGATTTGGAATGTCTGCATGCCCGACATTACGGACATTCTCGAAATTCTTCTTTTTTTTTTTCGTTCGATCGAAGAAACGCCTGCTAACCCATTCCCATGTTCCAGGCTGACAAGCTTTCCACCCTTGTCAAGGCTGCCAACGTTGAGGTTGAGCCCGTCTGGTTCTCCCTCTACGCTAAGGCTCTCGCTGGCCAAGACCTCGCTGGTCTTCTCATGAACATTGGTTCCGCTGGCTCTGCTGCCCCTGCTGCTGGTGGTGCTGCTGCCGCTGCCGGTGGTGCTGCTGAGGAGGCTGCCGTTGAAGAGAAGGAGGAGGAGAAGGAGGAATCTGATGACGATATGGGCTTCGGTAAGTACATTGGAACAGAGTTCAACTCAATTAGCCAGCCAGCCAGCTCTAATAACTTTTCCTCTTTTAAGGTCTCTTCGATTAAACAATCAAACCACCCCAATATCCCAGCTTCTGGACATAATAAAAATTCAAATGAGGCAGCATATGAAGATTTTTGCTGGCGTACATACAAATCACATTACGTTTCAATGACTAACAGTGGTGGCGGGCGAATCATGTTACAAGAGGAGATATTAAGGGAGGGGGTATACTACGTTATGTTACAGCAGTGAAGGACCTTCTTTGCCATTGTTGTTTAGTTCGTCAATCTGTTGTTGCAGTTGATCTAAAAGAATCATATTGAGCAACCATCAAGTGTTGAATGAGGTGTCAGACGCAGTCTTACCGGCTTGCTCATAATCCTCATCGTCTACAGCCTGCTGTAATAATCCTTCCAGCTCATCCAATGTCGCTGTGCTTTGCTCGCCGTCCTTGCTTGCAGACCTTGCAATGGACCTCAATGACGATTTGCTGCTACGTCGTTGCAGCTCCCCAATCAAATCAGGGGAGATGTCAAATTTGGTGGTGATGTACTTTATACGATTCTCCAAACTCGTTATTTCACTACTTAACAGTGAATGGAGACGGTATTGGTTTCCAGATAGGCTAGAGTGGGTAATGGGTTATTGTGCCTGGGCTTTATCGCTGTCAATTTTTGGCTTGTTTAACTTACCGTTCTCGAGCAATTATTAAATTCTGTCGACACTGTTGTATGGCTTGTAAAATGTCTTCCCCTAATTTTACAAACAAGGTTATTCAGTTAGAGCGCTTGTCCTTCATTCAATCATAGAGGCTGTCTCGTTTACTCACCGGTCGTCCTTTCGGCTTCCTTTCGCTGGCGAACCATGTCTTGAAGCGTTTGACGAGCATCCTTAAGCTCTAAATCAGCCTTTGATACTGTCTGCTGCAGCTCGCCTTTCTGTACGACCGACTGCTCCAATGCACCTTTCAAATTCTTGATTTTGGACGACATTTTGGCTGCCATTTTGAAGTCTCTTCCCCCCACAGCCATAGATTTTTGTTCCTCCAAGTCAGGCAGTTGTGCTTCCACGATCATAATGTCTTTGCTCAGTCGTTGCAATTTAGACTTAATAGTAACCAATTGTGCTGATAGTCGATCCACCTTACTGCGTTGCTCATCACTCTGTCTCTGGTGACTAAATGGTCCCAGCAATAATAGAGAGTGTGAGTGAAGGTCATCAAAGCTAATTTGATTCAGACAAGAAAACACGCGTTACCTAGCCAGATCAGCAACTTTGGGCTCCACGAGTTTTTCGAAATCGCTAACAAGATTCCGCATAATCCTATCGATCTCGTCAGCGTCTTCTTGACCAATGTTGGCTCGGTCTCGGGACTCGCCAATTTTCTGTCCTAGCGCTTCAATTTCGCTCTCTTGTCTACGAGTATCCTTGTCATGCTTCTCTTGCATCCGCTGCAGTTTACCTTCTTGCTCATCGATCTGTACCTGAAGATAACCATCAGTATACACTGTACCTTGGCGATATCGTTGATGCCAGCTCACTTACGGATCTTGCATCAATATCAGCCTTCCGTTTCACAACAAGCTTAAGTTCATAGCCCAAGGTTTCCTTCTCAGGACCATGGACGGCAATGGCTTGTTCAATGGTGTCATCCAGTTGCTTGATTTTTTCCACACATTCGTCTCGAGACTGTTTCAACTCATTGACCTTTCGTAATAGCTCCTCTATTTCCGACTGCAACGTAATAAGGAGTTAAGAAGTGTGGTCGCTAACAGGAATACACTGTACTCAGTTCTAACCTCGATTTCCTGTTGATGATTGTACCATGAATCTCTGTCTTTCTTCTCCTCGTGTACCAGGTCATCCACTTTCTCCAGGTACTCTGATTCAGCCTTCTCCCACATTTCATAGTCGAACGCGTTTTCACTAGGATGCAGGTGTTAACATACATTTGTTAGCCTGTGCAAAAAAGCCTTTTTGCATTAGCTTGCCTTTTTTCCTTATCAATCATGGCACGTAGGTCCATAATTTCTTTCATTTTTTGTCGCTGTAGATTGTTTGTATCGGTTACATATTGTTCTAAAGACCTCTCCCTTGCTTCCTGTTGTTCTCAAATGCGTCAGATAACGAATAGTGGGATATAACCCCGATAGTAATAGAGCATCTCACCTTGACCACAACGCATGCTTCAGCAGCTTTGGCAGCTGCTTCAGACTCCTGCCGCATAAGTTTGCTCAAGCTGCTCCATGACTTATCAAAATCATGGTTGAGTTCGTTCAGCTTTTCGGTTTCAATATAATGTATTTGCTTAGATGTCTTTTCCCAATCGGCATGGACGGCATCGGCTCGCACGAAATCTTCTTCTTCCAAACAATCGTCTTCTTTGAGCTCCAGCGATCTCAGTGTATTGTATAGCTTTGGCAAGGGAGGCGATGATGTCAGCCACATTGTGAAGCGACAACTTCATTCGTTATATACTTACTTGCTCCAGTTGCCTATACGCCTTGCCTTGGTTTTCAAAAATTGCGCTGAGGCTAGAGATATGTCGATTTGTCTCTGTCTGTATCCGCTTTAAAGAACTTTCACTGCTCACTTTCTGACGCTCATAATCTTGCTGTCTTATTAAAGGTGAGGCTACCGGTGGATCTGAAGTAACTATGGAGGCTGAAGGCGGTGGCATTGGCAAGCTCGATTTTTTTCGCGGCTGGATAGCAGTTGGAGAGTCGATGGCGAAAGCTAAGAGGACAGAATACATTAGCTTCCAGCGCACCAGTAAAGGTTACTTTCACCTTTTCCACTGACCTAGCTCATTAGACGGTGTGGCCACCAGATCGGCCTCTATGAAACTAAATTGCGACTGTCGCATTTGTCCAGAGCCAGATCTGAGCAGACTGTCTTTTGAATTGGATTTGGATGTTGAATTATTACTAAAATGTGCGGAACCTGATGCAACCACGAAACATTAGTTGATGGTATTTTACACCCGTAAGGAAAAGGTCTACCGAGTTTATCTCATTTACCATTGTCTGCACCTATGAAGGCGAACGCCGACTGAGAAGGTAGCTGTAAAGGCGTACTGGCAGCTGATCTATAGCTGCGACTTTCTGATGCTGAATCATATTCGTTCCCCTTTACAATAGAGTTATGCTGTCGACGAGGTGATGTTGGTAAAGCTATAAGGAAGACGTTGTTAATGGGATGGCCCGGGGCGGACTTTATTTGTGTATCAGCGTATCGTATCGTATCTTACATTGTCCACCCTTTCCTGAGCTTACGCTGTTTGTAAACCCATCGCGCAAAAAGGTGAAACTAGATAAGAATCCACCACGAGAAGGCGATGACGGTTGACTTGGTCTGCGCGGTGATGACGGAGAGCGGGGTTCATTCTCTTCGTAAAAGTCGTCCAATATAGACGCCGAGAGAATGTCTAAGTTGTCAAGGGGCGTTTGAGCATGCTGACTATGAGATTAACAAGCGACTTAAAAATAGATAACACTTACCGGATTGCATTATCTTCTGTATACCGTATAATGAGGTGGAAGGTAAACGAAATGAGTGTGGGACGGTCAGGCAGAGCCAATATGTCTCCACGTGAGCGATGCCTGATTCTCCTAGTCACTGGACTGTTTTGTTTGATAGCGTTAATCGTAACGACACAAAGTGCATATTGTTAATATTAATGGATTAAGGTAACTCTCAACTCTTTTTAGCCTTCATTTTGGAAGATAGTGATTAACTCGTGGTAAATGGCTGGCAAGGTTATACTTACTATTCAACGAGCAATTACTATCACAACCAATCTTTTTTCTTTGGTTCTGAGTTACGAAGATCATATCCCTTGATGTCAGTTAGGCGAACGCTTGCCGGCATTTGTTTGGGTTATTTTGATTTTTATTTTTTTCAACATGTTCCTCTATACTGGATAATTAGGCGTATCGGAAGGATTCCACAAGTATTATTCTTCCGAGCTATCAATGACATTCATATCATCAAAAAATTGCAGTTGTGAAAGTCGCTTCACCATAGAAGCATACAAAATATGAAAGGTTCGAAGATTGATATCAGCTACTAAGGCTATCTTTCCTCCCAATTGGCGGATATCATCTTCTAAGCCATGTAAACCCAGTGCCTCAAATTCAGAGTCATCGACGCGGCGAGATTGTGAAAGTTCGGTAAGGAGTTTACCTATTCGGTGATACATGAGACAATAAATAGAAGACGACGGTCGTAGATTTTGTCCCAACCATTGACACCAAAACCGCGCGGTTTTTAACGTAATGGTGTCCTCCGGCATGGTGAGATTTGGTTGGCGTTGATGCCGTATGCGAATTGCTGTTGAACACACCTCCAAGATCAAGTCAAAGCTGGATACTCTATCCGTCATGGGGTGACGGCTACTAACTTCAATGACCTTCTTGAGTAAAACCTTGAGTGTGACTTTCAAGTCCAGTAAATCCTTCCTAGTAGCGTACTTTCCAGCTAACTGATGGAAGGGCAACAATAAAATAGCCATGACAATGATATTTTGGTATTCATTTCGAAATTGGTTGGTCATCCGATATTCGTCCAAACTAAATGTGGTTGGGAACAGAGTGTGACGCACACCCAACGCCGTCTTTGTTTCGTCGTCGTCCGTGACAAGTCTGACTACAGCTGTTTAATGAAAGCGAATAAGCGAACACTTCTCAATGAAAGCGGAAAATGAACATGATGCTGAATGTACTTACCACTGTGGTATATTTTTAAGAACGACTTTTCTTTGCCATCCCGATTCCATGCCTCCTTTAACCAGTCCAGAATGGAAAAAAGTCGCATTTGATTGTTTGCGTGTAGGCGTAAAAAGTGTCTGAGCTCATAATCTACACAGGTTTCTACCAAAAAAACACGGTATTGCCTCAGCGCTTGATTTGCGATGTCCTACATGTAAGAAAAGATGGTATTAATATCACCGACGAGACAACAGCAAGTATGGCAAAATGATAGCTGGTTAGACCAATCATCCATTACTTACAAGTTTTATAACTTCAGCAATGGTGAAGCATTGCTTGATGGCTTTACCATAATGTTGACTTGAGAAAAGCACTTGCAAATATAAAACGAGAGGTAACCGTGATGGAAAGCAAGCAGAAGAGAACGTTTTAAATAGGAAATTGGATATCTCTTCTACATCCAATACGTCGTGCTTCAGCTGCTGAATGATTAGCTCACAATCGAGGACTTTTCGAATATGAGATGGGTTGTGGCTTGACTGGGGCATGCCAGCAATAGCAATATGCGGAACAAGGGACGACAAGATATCCACCAGTTCATTGATGATGACCCGAAGATATTCATAGCGAGTAGGTGAATTCTTGTAGATCCTATCTGTATTCACCGCCAGTTCGACCATGCGCCAATATTTTTCAGCTCGTCTTCGCTTCAATTTTCCACTCTTGCCATCCAAATTGGCCCGAAATGTGAGATTGGGATCAAATATCACATCGTGGCGAAACTGAGCATTATTGAAAATATCCGGGACCTTAAGTTCATGGAGTGTTTTGGAATTGATGGGCGGTACCCATAGTTCCATAGAGAGCGGGCCAACATATTCTACTTGGCCGATGTGGTCCAGTGACGAGGCAGTGACCAATTCCATCGGTTGAAGATGAGAAGTACTCTTATACATGTTTACTATAGTCGATAGTGGGCCCTTGCTTGATATCGACCTACGATCGTCATTCATGTCGTCCATGCTGTCGAGATCACACTCTGAAGTGGGACCAAGAGAATCATTATGCTGGCTTCCGCCAGAGGGCTTATAATAATGAATATGACACTTGAGGAGGTGGTTTTTACGAGTAGCCTGTGCTCTCCGAGGAACCTGTGGTAGGGAACATGTTTTCCAGCTTATAGGCGAGGAGCTGTGAGTAAGTAGGCGTGAAGTGGGTTTCGGAGGCGCCGAATCCAGCGACATTCGACTCCGACGGTGAAAACCTGCATTAAGTCTTTGTCGACGTCGCTGACGTGAAAGACAAGCGTACGATCGTATGATAGCAGCCCAACAGTGTGGCCAAGCGCAGACATACCAATGACTTTGATCAATGTTTGATTCCTTATGCTCTGGACTATGCGAATTTACAGCGGCAATATTATCGATCTTTGGCAGGTGCCAACCGCAGCCTTCAGATGTCGTATGCTCGGACTGTCCATACGAAGTCACTCGTTGGCGTCGATGATAAAGGTCGTTGAATTGCATCAACGAAAGCAAAGTACTCTGAAATCTGTCAGGTTAACAATAAGTATTATTAAAAAAAAAAAGAGGTTGAAACGAGTTGAAAAGAGGAAATAGAAATTTTTAAAAATGGCACCTATATGTGTTAACCTTCTTTTTGAAACATCCGGTGTAATCTTTCATAATGCTACGACAAAGTCGGCGATAACGTGAACGATCGATCCTACGCACACCTTCATTTTCCATTGGCACATAGAATGTGAGGTGACCATGCCTCCAAAAATACTCCATCCTGAAAGAACTTTTATTGTAATAATAGCTTTTGAAGAAAATCCATTACCACAAAATAAAACTAAAATAAATTGAAGCTTACCCACCTTCTTTGTCTTTCCACCCATTAAATTGCTTGCCTACATGGTTCTTTCTGCTCCCATAAACCTTCATGCGGAATATTCGCTTGCGTGGTGTAATACGGCGGTTATCCTACTACTCTCGCTGGTTTTCACAATTCAGGTGTTTGGTTCGACCGTTCGGAAGGCAGCAGCTAGTGCTCAATCAGAAATTGCTACTATGTGTGAGATGGTCGATACCACCGCTAAAAGCCTAACCACCGCTCCCTCTGCATTGCTGTATATGCTAAACAATGAAGCTGAAACCTCAGTTTTGTTTGCTCTCAATTCCACTCGACAAGGTCTCTTGAATGCCATTGATGGCGTCGACGCTCTGCTGACATGGTTTGTCGATACTTATAAATCCACTTACGTCTGCCTTTTGACGTTAGCTGTCGATAGCTCCATTGACGTAGTTTCTGACGTCGCCAATACGTTTGAAACCACTGTTCAGTCCATTCTCTCTGGAGGGACGGTTGGGGTCAACAACGTCGTTAATTCTGTCGAACATACTGTTTTTGGAAACGATACATCCCAAAACAGTACTGTCTCATGGCCTAATATAACTTCAAATTGGACATCCTCTCTCAATGCTTTGGATGCCAAGATTCACAACTGGACTCTTGACAGTGTAGTCAGCTCTGTGATCTCTGAACCACTACAGGATTTAAAGACCACGGTTAACCAGTCACTATTTAACGCAATGCAAACCTACAATTTCACTCCGAGTAAAAGCGTACAAATTATCCCAGTCATACCATGTAATGCCACCGTCCTTCAGCAAGATATACAAGATGTGGCTAACAAGCTTTTAGGCGTGTCTGGTACACTGACTTATATACTTATCGCTCTCATGCTGGTCATGACTCTTGTGAATATGGGCTACCGACATGTTGTGAACAATTGGCGGAATAGTATGGCACGATCGTTTGTAACAACGTCTGATCATTTGAACCATGCGGATGCTATGCTTATATTTCGTGCTGGTCACAAGCCTTTCATGTGGTACATTATGTCTCTCCTTGGAATCAGTCCTCTCCGGTCTAGACGCTCCATGGCATTGACTTGGCTAATGGATTATGTGTCAGAACCTGCAGCTCTCTTTGCTCTAGCATATGGTTTATCTGGCTTAGTCTTCACGACGCTTGCCATAAACCTGATTAATGTGATACGAAACGAAGCCATCAATGCGTTTTACACATCCATGATTAACCTGGTCAACAATTCGTTTCACAATATAAGCGCCACTTTGATCACTGTTGCGAACTCCACTGTAACCGACACCAACCTAGCTATTGATACCTTGGAATATTCCGTGAATCACGATGCCCTGGGTTGGATCAACACAACCACCGCAGTTCTGAACTCTACCTTGAATCAAGTCTCTTCTGATATTACTGGTGTGGTGACTGATATTTTCGGAGGCACTGTGCTTGAAAATGCCGCTCAAGGCCTGATCAATTGCTTGGTTTTGAACAAGATACAATCCATAGAAACTGGTTTCACATGGTTGGTAAGTGCATTGCAAAAGACGTAGCAGAACGATCATTATCTTATCTTACTATGTTCCGTACGTTTGAATTTAATTTTTTTTTGGTGAATCATCTAGAACAACGTCTCGCATATCCAATTACCAAGGGTTTCCGAAACCGTTGTGACAAACGCAGGATTGGTTCCTAACATGACCATCGCTGCTTTGCTGACACCTGTGATAGGAAATGAGATGGATCACAATACCACTCTGGATCGTATGCTAGACCAATGCATCAGTAGCTTGCAAGAGAAGTTGCCATTCTACTGGGTGTTGGTCTCCATGTGGTTATTTATTCTGTTCATCGGGTGCTGTGTCTGCCTATCTCAAAACTGTATCCGTACCAAACAAGAGGCCCCATCCGCTAGTCGTCCATCTGTCTGGCTGTATCGCCGAAAAGTCAGGTCTGCCACTCATTCGTCTGCTACCAAAAGCTCTCCTGCAAAGCCGATACGCATCTTGACCAAAGCCATGATACGTAAAAGTCACCACCCAAAGCCATATTCCAGGTTCAGCTCTTCGCTAAGCGACGACAATCATATCCTGATGCATGAACTATAGGTATGCCGCTGCAAAAAGGGTATTGAATAGTCTTTCTGAACCTTCTCGAGACATTGTTATCATCAACATGCTTTTTGTTTGTATACACACTTTTTATTATGATTATATAATTTTACGAGATATATACATTTCTAAAACGATAGACGACACTTTAACGTTGTAAGTGAGGAAACCTGGTGGAAGAAGCGGGTTGGGTTAGAATATGAAAGTAGAGTGGTATGGTAGGAAGGAGGGGGGAAAAAGCACAAAATCAGAAATAAAAGGCAATATATGTTTGTCTACATCTTGTATCCAGAACAGGTCTGATATTTTGTTCATCATTTGAAATGCGTGCAGTGAAAGGGGAATAAGGGATGGCATTGATAATATAGAGTACTTACGTTGAGGAAAGAGTGAATAACCCAAGTTCCAGCATACCGAGCGTGTTTTTATTTGCAAGAAATTTTTTTTTGTTTCCCAAAAAAAAAATCGAAGCCGTCACAGCTCCGTCAGGCAGTCCGCCTTTCTGCGAAAGAAATTTGAATGACAATTTTTTTTATGTAAAGGCAGGAACAATAAATACACTTGTCAAGCCGGGAAAAGCTATCTATTCGATCAACGACGACAGTAAAGTCAGTCAGTAAATATACTGAAGGAGAGAAGAGAAAAGTAGTGCTAATTAAGAGGGCAGGAAGTAATTATTTCAATTTTTGATCGCGATTGAAAATCCATTCCAATTCAATTATCTCTCTCCAGTGCTCGTTTTGCTCCCCGAAATTGCTGCTAACGGTGTCTTTGGCTAATTTGATCCATCGCTGCACACCTCGTTGAAATTCCTTCTCCAGCTTTCGATTGATTCCAGTTAATTCGAGTTGGACCAATGCGTTCCAAGCAGCCTTGGCGACCAAAACAAGGTGGATAGCTAAAATGGGGTGATATCTTGGGTAGATGAACAAGTATTGTACTAATATGAACATGCAAAGTCGGGACGATTGCGGCCAGCGATTTTTCATCATTTGTACATTAAGGCATCTTGTAGCAGTACTGAGGGTCTTGAGGGAATATGGTTTGAATATTTCATTGCTTTCGGATGTCTTTTCAACCGGGAAATGCAGTACCGATACTGCTGCCTGGAGAAGTAGATTCTCATAAACATTCTTGGGCTGGGGTGTATCAAACACTTCAACTTTACCCGATCGCTGGATCCAGTATAGACTTGGAAACATGAAGGTTCCCATGTAATGAACATATCTAGGTACATCCAACAGATTTCCTGGCGTCATAGGCACTTCACTGCCTGGAGGGTACTTCTTGGTCATATCGAGAACGTTCCAAGACTCAATTTCTTCCATAAGGGTTTTTTCCACAAATGAAGGCTCGTCTTCAACCATATCATGATCAAAGGACTCTCCCAAAAGAGTATCAATCACACCAAAGCCCACGTCAGAAGAACATCTTGGGCAATCGCATTTGAAAAAGTATTTGTCCGCTAGCTTTTGAGTCCTATCACTTCGACTATTGGCGATATCGATATACGCAATGGTAATTTCTTCGCCAGGGCTGACATCCTCGATCAATCGAATCATTTGCGTAGTACCATTATACAATGCGACAGCATTGGGTCGGCACGAGTGATTGAATAATGAGCCTATTGGGTACGTGCCTTCGCCGATAGGAAAAAGCTGGTTGTCGGTGATGCCAAAATTATTACACTGGAATCGGCAAAGATAGATCAAGAGAGCTGCTGGATCAACACCTAATGATTTGATATGTGGTTTTTGAAGAACATTGGTGGCAATCTGCTTGAATCGATCCAACAATTCATTGGATTGCTTTGTTTCGTGAGACATGAGTGTTGAAAACGCTTCTAACTGTGCGCATTGAGACAAATCGTCTGACGTATGCTGTAGTTGTGTAATATGCTTTTTAGCCCGGGCAATTGTTAACAGCACTCGTTCTAACATAAGTTCGTCCATAATATCTTGCTCTTGATCGTCCTGTGACCCTTGTTGGTTGCTTTTGCATACATATTGATGTTGAGCGAACCACGCTTTCTGGAAGCAGTGTTTACTACAGAAATAAGCAGATTGACATCGCGAACATCGTTGCAATGGAGCAGCTCTTGTATCTCGTCTAAAGCAGAAGTTACATATGTCTCCACGTGCGGATGGCAATGGGACAAACGCCAGCGGTTGAGATTCGATGGCCACTGAGCCGCGTTTCAATGGTTTGAGGGCCACGATTTTTCTATGTTTACTTTCATCGTCTACCAGATCCAAGTTGCGAGCTCTCAAATGAGCATGTAGGGCCGGGCATTGAACAGTGTGCATGACGATTGTTCACAATGAAGAAGGTTGCTCGGGGTATGGATTTCTCTATGGTACAAATTTTTTTTTTTTTTTTTTTTTTTTTTCGGTTTATGTAGGAAGGGTTTGTTTCAATGTACAAAAAGAAAGAAAATTTCAAGGAAAGAGTTCGAATATACAAGGGCAAAAGTTGAACGCTGTAGAGCCAAGAAGGAAAAAAGTTTTTTTTTTGAATATCACATTTGTCATGTAAGCTTTGTAACCTCGACGCACCTCGGAGTTTACACACGTTTCCCAAAAAACCGAGCTAGATCTTGATCGTTTTTTATTCTCTTGAACTGAATTATCGAGCTGATCATAAGAGTTTATCTCGTTTCATGACCATGGTTTTTCAGTTCAAATTTTGAAGAATTCATTGGCAATTTCATGCAGTGTTGAGCGCCGCTTAACGACATGAGTAAGCAGCTTTGATCTTCAAGTGATTGCTTTACTATTGCCTGGGAACATCGTGACCTTGAGAACCAAAAGATGATATAAAGTTTCCCACATTGTACAATCAACGACCTAATAAATGAGCGGTTTGTCATTGAGTTGCATCAACTTTTACAGACGGGCAACACGTAGTTACTTGAAAGCGCTTCATGAAATGCCTTGAATTTCACTCTATTATGAGCGTAATGAAAGACGATAGGACGGGCAACGTCATGTGCCAAATGATTGCTCGTCTACTCAGTCAATTGTTGAACTTGAAGTCGGTAAATCGGTTTGTTCAGGAGACGGTGGTATATTTGCTTTTTCCGGCGGCTAAACCTCCATTTTCCAACCCAAATACCCGTTTTTGTTCACCTCGGCCATATCCCGAAATTTTTCTGTTCAACAAAAATCAGCCAGCCTGCCCCTATTCCCCGCTGCAACTCAGTAATTGCCCACATTTGCTTTCAAAAGAAGTTTGTTACACGTCTCCTTTACGGCACCTACTTGCTTGTTGTTCGACTTTTTAGTACCTTCTAACATTTCGATTTTACTAGCGACGCCATGCTACACAATATTGGCTTAAGGAATTACGCTAGTCTCACTAAATCTAGTTGTAGCGAAAAAGTTCCCTGACCAGCCTCATTATTGTGATTGTCAAATCAAAATTCTGTATATGCAAACGTTTAGGTACACTTGTTGGAAAATGGTGTTCTTCATGGTAACAAGGCTGTTGCTTAAATTTCAGTGATCGCGGTAGCAAACTTGACACTTTGCAAAACTGCTTGCTGAGCTCATTCTTTGGGCATGTACGCCGCCTGAACCTGAAATTTAAGTGGGACCAGGAGAAATTGACTTCATGAGCAACGACGCGCAGGCAGGAAACTATATTGACATTCCGTTCAATATTCGTAACTAGAGATCGCTGATCTATTACCCATGAAGGTTATAAGAAATGTGAACACATGGGGAAAAGCTACATTAGATCGATATTACGTTGGATATAAACGAGTGATGAACAGATCAAATATCCACTTTTGTATGCTGTTATCATATGGTATTATAGCATTGCTTCGAATAAGGGACTGGAAACGTGTAAAGAAAGCCACCGTGGAAAATCCATGGAACACCTCGAATTCATAAGTTGGGATTCAATGTCAAATTTCAATTTATAGTGAGCGTGCTTGAATCAATGACACTGGTGAAATGGCGGTTATGGAGCCATTTATGTAGCTGTGCTGTGTATTTACCATATAGCGAACGGGTATCATTTTCAGGCTGATAATGAGTTATATGGATCGAACAAGCTACCTGTGGCAGGATAGAAATCAGATAAAGAGACTGAGAAGATTTAGGTTCCCCCCCCAAGGACAAAGCGCTCGCTACGAGAAGTTTGCTTTCGCTGGACCAGCAGCAATTTGAGTGTGGTTGCACCAGCCAGCCAAATATTTCTATTTTCCACTTTTTTTTTTTCATACATTATTTTCTCTCTGCTTGCTTTCATCACCTACGAAGTTGCTCATTTTTCTCAGTTACCTTCTCTTCTTTCCATCCTACTTCGCTGCTATTTCCATGCGAGTCTCGCATCTCGCGGTTTTGATATATGCCACTATGGCAAACGCATCTTGGTCGGCTTCTCAGCAGCTCTCACCACGCGACGGTAACGATTCACCATTTCATTTTTTTGTACATGCAACTTCCATTCGACAATCTCTTGTCCAGGTGTTGGGGGCAATGTGTGAAGGGATATGTTTGTGTGAAAGTAAAAATAAGGATACGCCATATGGCATTATGCCCCCCCAAACTAAACGCACGGCAGAGATCTCATACTTGGAAAAAAAAATAGTTATTCTAAACACCCCTCGAATCATTCTAACCCCTACTTTTATTTCAAGCAGTGGCCACAACAGCGTCTTGCCCAACCTCTGGTAACAGCGTCTTCATATGTTCGCCTCTGAGCTCAGATACATGGTACAATGGAACAGTGAACCAGTTTCTGTGGAACTACTAGTAAGATAACCCACGTCATGATAGGCTATTTTCACGATCTAGTTGCATTAATTTGAATTTAATTTTCTTTACTACTCATCAGTAACCCAGTATTTAACGGTCAGGTACGAGAAACATGGTTGTCATATCTTGGAGTTCTCTGAAATCTAGGGACAAGCGTTCTTTTCGTTCTGTCATTTGCTAGAGGGGCTGGGACCAATAGATTCGGAGCCTAGAATAGAATCGCATACCTTTATTTTTGGCATTGGGCTTACGAATTTTTCCCTCCCGCAGCTCCAGAACGGCACGTTGAGTTTATATTTGTATCAGTATCAAAATGCATCCTTGGAGTATGTCATGGTCAAAAATTTCACACAATTGCCCACAACGGATAGTCCACTCATCACCACAGTGGACGATTCATGGTTTCCAACAAAGCTTTCGCCGGGATCAGCTAACGTATCGCACACATACTTCATGTATCTCATTGCATCGGATCTCGACCCTGCTACAGAGATGAAAAACATCTACTCCATATATCGACAGGAGAGCGTTGGAACGTTGAATTTCACAGTTGTTCGTAAGTAACACGGAAGTTATTTCAGGTCGAATGGGAACCAGTGCTATTATTGGGTGCATGAGGGAAACTGAGCCGCTACGCATCACGTGGCAAATCGACACTTTCAGCAACTAAGGAGACAGCGAAAGAAATGAAATAATATTCGACAACATATTTTTTTCATTTAACGCAATTTGAGACGGGTCCGCGACATACCCTATCATGATGTGAAGTATGCTTACTTAGATATAATTTATTTCTTTCATGTAGAAACCGCGCCATCCACAGCGCCGTCATCTAGCGGCTCCTTGTCCAATTCTACAGCACATGCTTCTTCCACGATAGCTCAGGCAGTACCTTCAACTGTCAGTAACGTCAATGGCCAGCTGCAGGCGTCATCGTCTGGCTCCAAGTTACAACCATGGACGATTGGGGTTATCGTTGCAGCATGCGTGGCCGTCATTTTAGCAGTTATTGCACTAATTTGGACAATACGTTATACACGCAGACAGCGAAAGTTCGGGCAACGCAGATCTTTCTTTCTGGGGGATTCCAAGCGGTCACCTGGAGCAAATGATCCTGACGCAGTGGATGCTGCGGCTATGACACAAGGTATTATTCCTGGTATGCAGAGTCATGGCGGTTTCGATAATCGAGATGTATCGTCTATTCATTCTGGAACGCCCATCTTTGGTGGAACGTCTTCTCGACGATCTACAGCCCTTGAGAATAGTTCTGCATTTGGATCCACCCGAGGTTCTGGATTAAGAAATAGTACTGGAATCGACCCAGAGAAGAACCAATCGGCCATATCGAATGCCGTTCGCAGCAGTGACCTTGGCCAACATGCTGAAGCGCGTCAATCCAACTCTGTCTTGAGTTCAACAGACGCTCTCATGATCGCTGACACGTTCCGAAGTTTGATGCGAAAACCAGATTGGAACGAAAAGTCGGATGAAGTTGAAATGGAGAACACTGAAGAAAACGATGAAGAAAAGCGAAAGCGTCTTGGAAACGAGCTACTACGTCAACAGCTCGCGGAAGAAGGTACTCAAGTACAGCGAATAGAACGCCGACCCACTCAACTCAAAAGTATCACGACCGCTGAGGGCAAGGCGATATTTGACAACGACGATTCCCAATCTACATAATGCAGCGCGTCTTCTCCTCCCCCCCTCTTTTTTTTTCCAGATCAGAAAGCCATGAAACAACGGATGTTATGCACATCATGAACCCTCTGACTACCGTAAATACTTCTCTCTCCGTTACCGCCTTGCATTACAGTACACTGCATTGCTTGCCGGGCAATGGCTCTTGCATCACATTATTTCATCCATCTTCTTTCGCCTGAATTTTCTCTCTCTCCCGTTCTTCCATCTTACATTTTCTATCCACGAATAATTTCTCAGAGAGAGAGCTGACTTGTCGCCAGCCCGGTGTCAAAATCGCGTTTTCACTCTGGCATTTTGTATTCTTGTATTTTTATTTCACCACTCATTTGAATTTGCCTTTGCTTCCCTTGTACGATTCTCTCAACGACTTGACGTCGGATTTCCCACATGATAAAGGCAAGCTACCTTGATTACTTTTTTTTTTCTGAACACAATGTTTTGGCGGCATGCTAAAGCCTTTTGAGTTGTCTGACGTGACAAACCTTACCATGCGACCAACACTAGCTCAACTCTCGCCACTTTTTAGGGACATTGGCAAGCAGCATGTGACCCCCACCCCCTCTCATCTCACCTTGGAAAAAAAAAATGGATACGCCAAGGTGCTATATTGCCGATGACCTGGGAAAATCAAAGTGCAAACCCCACTTGTAACAAAGATTCACTTTACTTATCATTCAACGCAATATCATTGTCTTTACGGCTACGCTAAAGGGACCACGGATGGAATGAGTCGCTGACCAAAAAAAAAAAAAAAAAAACCAAAAAAAAAATTGTGATGTAGTATATTTGAACGGATTGTGTGGGGGATGTTGTATTGCGTTTGCGACAGCTCCCGCTTTTGTTGGCCGACCTGATCCCTTCAAATGTATCTTTCTTTTTTTTTCTGTGCAAGTGTGGGGGATGTTTATAGGCAGGGCTGAACAAAAATGAAGGGAGGAAAAGAAAGAGCACACAGGGTGAAAAAGTAAAAGCGTATCATGTACAGGCAAATCTTGAGTTGATGGGGCGGGAATGACAAGGCCAATCAGAATATGATAATTACTTTGCCAATCGATGCCTTAAGCACCGTCTGGGACAAGAGGGCTTTCCTTGACCGGGCTTGAGCTCGAGTTGCTTGCAGGGTTGGAGTGAGGGATGGTGTCTGGGGAAGGGTGCTCGGAGCCTACGGCGCCAGGCTCCTTTCCAGCCTTGGACAAGGCGTAATCACCAGAGTCAAAGTACTTACGTTCCTACATGCAAGAAGAGTATTTAGTCGGTGAACGAAATGATGGCATGATATAACTGCGTTGACTATTGCGGAAAGGCGACGATAACGCTCAACGGCGTGAGTAAAAAAGTCGGCATTTCCATACGACATTTTGTCTTTCGTGGAGCAAGCGGTGGTATGTTTGATTCCCGGAAGCCCTTGCCATTTCCCACAGAACCAAAATGCTTACCTTCAACTTTCTATCCAAAAGATCTTTGCGATCAGGGAGTTTGCCGTACAATCGAAATACTTTTTGCTCCTCTTCCGTGAGTTGCTATAAACGTAAGAGGTGTGATGAGCTTAATGTGAGGCATGGACTACGAATTAAACCAGAAAAGTCTGCGGCAGAAAGGCGTCGCCCCCATCCATAAATTGACAAGCACGCAAGTTATATGACGCAAATGCATACTTACGCTGATATCGATTTTGTTGGTTTTCAGTGGATTCATTTTCTGTCAGTTCACTGGGAGTACAATGTCAGACTGTGAAAAGACGCGGAAAGAAGAGAGCTTGCAAATAGTGGCATGAATTTTTTCGCCTGGGCAGCTAAACCTTCTGTCTTCTCGTCCACGTGACGGATCACTCTTAATCTCGACGATGATTGGTTCCAAGGCAAATCATTCCATGTCTCGAATTCGAAATGATCCTCAAATGCGGACTTGACAAAATAGCTGAGACAATAGTTGAACTGAAGTCTCCCTAAGAGACCAAATGCATCCATCAAACAACCTCTTCCATATAGAAGATAACACAGACTGCTCGTGGATAAAAAGAGGAGATGTGGCAAAATATAGAAAGCTGTGATCCTCGAGCGACTACATGCCCTTGAAGCAAAAATATGACAGTGAGCAAATTTCTCATTGTTTCTTTTTTTTTCTTCTTTTTGTTTGGGTTTGTTGTTCTGATTTAGAATTGAGAATAAAAGGTATGGCAGAGAAAAAGGAAGAAGCGACCACAACTTAAGCTAGAAGTAAGTTGGACTAGTGATTTTTAGAGATTGAAATGGGGTGGAAGGTAACTAAAGGAAAAGGCGCGCTATATTTATCGGGTCTCTTGTTCTTCATAAAACGTTTCTAAGTGACTCTTGGCTGCCTTATACTCCTTATTGACCAGAGGGAGTAGAGGTGCGATTTGTTTCAATGCTTCCTCTGAATCAATTGTAGAGATACCAGTCTCATCCTTGAGGTTGCCAATGTTTTGGATCTTTTCGCATGTTGCCTTGACCATCCTGAGGCCAATAGCAGCAGAACTACCTTTGAGGAAGTGACCTAACCGAGAAAGCTCCGAGAGATCCTTCTTCTCACTACAAGATGAGTCAGTATTGGAACCTTTGCAAAAAAGTTACATGTAAACGAATAGCTTACAGTGCTCCGTCCATATCTTCAAAGGTGGCTTCGGCTTGCTTGAAATAGTCCCAGACGATCGATTTGGAAAACTCATGGTCTTCTTCGTCATCCATGTCTAGCAGCTGATCAAAAGTGGCCATGTCAAGAAGGTCTTCGCCAGATTCATCCTCGGTCTCTTCTTCTTGGTGTAGAGTAGAGACTTCCTTAATCTTGACGTAGAAAGGGTTAGACATGTATAATGATTGGTTTTAGAAGTGCTGAAAGGGATCGGCATGCTAAGTGATGGATTGGTTTTCGATAGGAGCAAAAGAACACTGTATATCCCCTTTACTAGATTGAAAGGGACAATAATACAAGTTTTCGAGTGACAAAATCTCTCATAGATGAGTGTTCTTTTGTGTTCCACACTATGCGATCACCATGTAGACCATCACAATTGAAAAGATTCATAAAGTTGATATTCACCTCCTTATCCGGAACGCTCTCCGTCTTGTTATCTACGGCCTTGTCTGAGGAATTGATTGTCGACGACATGTTCAGGTGGGGGCGAGCCTGGTTGGAGTTGCAAGGGGAGTAAGGCCAAAAATGGGCTCTCGTTCCAGCGCATTTTAATGACGTACAATTCCGTGAATAGAAACGATGACACCATCTGTGTTATTGAATTTTTTTTTTTTCTCTTCAGTGCAACCAACCTCCACACCGCCCAGAAAAAATATTGTGGAATCATGGGTAAAACACAGCCAGGTAATCCGATTCATCCTTTGAAATCTCGCCATGAAACAACCGCAGTGAATTAACCGTCTTGATCTACAGTTGACAAAAGCAATGTCTCGCAGCATGCATCGAGTGCTCCGGCGGAGATGGATGGTAAGGGGACTATCTTATTGGCTGCAATAGTGTACTTTTAGTTAGGCGCTAAAACTACACACTTCAACAGGCAAGAGCCGTATCAATGAGCAATTGAGCCTCTTACAAGCGCGTGGTAAGGTTAAGCCTGCTAGCGCCAACTCCACTTTGAAGAAAGTGAAGAAGGCTCCTATGAAGAGAGCTCAAAAGGTCAAGAAGATGAAGAAAATGGATCGTGCTAGAATTATATCTGAAAAGGTGAGTAGAGGTTGAAACTGCTTTACCACCGGCCCTGAACGATCCTTTTGCTAATGAGTATATCAGGAGGAGCAACGCGTAACTAAACAGGAACAAAAGAGCGAGAAGAAGAAAATTCGCAAAGTTATTTGGGAATAGGAAGGCAATTGGATACATTCGGCAAAGCCATCCTTTCATTCTCTAAATACTTGTATAATATCCTCAATAGAAAATGCAATTCATCATGTCACCTCACTATTCATCTGGTTCACTGTTTCCAATATACGCCATAGAGTAATATCTACGTTTGAGTAGAGCAAAATCATTCCAAATTTTATCCCTTCTATGAACATAAAAAGGAGTAAAAGAAGTTTTTATAGCAGAACAAATAATAGGTAAAAGACTTGAAGAAAAAAAAAGTCATGGCTTTCTTTCTCTTTAGTTTGATCGCTGTGCCTTCTCAAGGACAGCTTCCTCGTCAACCTATAAATAAAGAAAGTGAGAAGGTGACCTCAAAGAGTCCCATCGAAACTCCGGTGGATTCTTACCTCAGAAAAGTCAGTGCCCTGGACCTCGATAGCAATACCAACAAGAGTTCTGCGAAGAGCATCCTTGCTAGAAGCGTACAACATCTTGGCACGAACCTTGGCCGTATCAGGGGTCCTAATATCAAATCGTAATGGTCAGATTATGTTGCAAGATATTATTTTTTAAACGTTCCGTGCAACGTCATTATTTTTTTTCCATCGTCATGTAACTCAACTGGGTTGTTGTTGCACAGACAATGGGCTTTGCAAACAACAGAACACCACTTGGGGGCAACTATTGAAGAAAGAAAGGACAATAACGTACCAGGCATAGAAGACAATCTTGCTTCGCAAGCCTTCGCCAGGCTTCTCATACTCAAAATCGTAAATGGCATAACGAGGTTCATCTTCGGGAAGTTGGCTGACGAAAGTACTGTATTCACCAGTCTCGGCAGCGTTCTCAACAATGATTTCCCTGTTATCGTCTACAAAGAAGCAAATGAAATAGAATGATGTGAGGAATGGAACGGCCAGATCAAAAGGGTGTCTACTGCATGCCCATGTATGTATGCTTTGTTTTGGGGTAGAGTATGTTGTTCCTTACAGGAAAAAACCCGTTCCTCCGCATCGCTTTTCACCCGTCTCCAAGACATGTATGCATAGATTCTAACTAGGCACGTAGTAGAAGCCTACTTACCAGAGAGCTTGAAGATGATGAACTTGTACTTGTGGCGAAGTTTCAATTCCTGGAAGACCTCCAAGCACTTCTCATTGACTGCAACACCGGAAGACTGTTGAGAATATAAGAGAGCGATTAGTTGACAAAAGTAAATCAGCAATCTAGAAGGATCATCTTGAGAGAACTTACCATAATGGACTGATTGATTAATTGATAAGGGAAAGATGCAAAGCAAGGTTTCTGGTTTGCAACGCGGTCATAATGGGCCCATCCTGATTTTTATAATACTCAGTGGCGGCGGACTATCAAATTTTTAAAAATCATTGCCTGTTGGGAGAGACACTGACTTACCCCCGATCTACGGAAGCAGTCGCCAAGCTGAAGGTAGTGCCTTGGCAATTGTGACAACGTTTCAAACAGATTGGTTACATAGAGATGGCATGATAGAAAAGAACATTGTAAATCAAATGATGTATTATACCAGTTCGCGCTTATGTTACGTGTGAATACAGAAATCGTGACAGTTCAGTTATAGGTGCAAAACGAAAAAAAAAAAAAAAGGAACGGAAGCTATCTTCTTCCTTCCTACTGGAATTGCAGCTGCTGCGGCGCTTCGATAAAGTCATTCAAATTACATGCCAAGTCCAATTCGTTTCTTTCGAACTATAGCCTCGATAGGTACTGTGATACCCGTGCCTTCGGTGCCAAGACTGTCACCTTGCTTCCATCTACGTAGTTGAGGAAATATTCAACTAATTAGTAAGAACGAAAAGATACCAAGCTATCAAGTGGAACGCTGAGCTTACCCCATTGCAGCAAGCATTTGATGACCAATGTTTTGATCATTTATTGGTGCTGCATTGCCTGCTACGATATGACCATGAGAGGGCCCTGGCAAGTCACTAGGTGAGGATCCATTTCGGCCAGCCTCCTTCTTTCCTGCTTTTCGCTTGGATTTGGAGGGAATAGAGTTCTCAATGTAGGGCATACGATGTTTACGAAGTATACTACTCGTAATATCCAAAGTGGATTGGGCTTCAGCAATGAACCTTTCAATATATTTTCTATCATTTGGAATGAATGTTCTCTCTGTTTTGGATAAAACAGGGTATCTAAAGCACGATAGGCTAAAGTCAGTAACCAAGTTAAAAATGATCGACTTGCTACCCATTTTCATTACCGTGAATTGCCTGATCCAAGACTCTTGGACTTTAAGTTGTACGCAGTAGCAAGCAAATGCACTTGTCGCCTAGTATACTTTGCCATGGGTGCCATTTGATAACTACTGATGGAGTCGTCACGAATAAACTGCTGCAGTTTTCTGTACAAGAGTACCATTGTCAATAAGGCAAACGGTTTTCATATAAGCTAAAAGCATATCCAAACATACTGATCAATTTTGCGTAAATCAACATTTTCATCCATCTCCTTCATCATCTTCTTCTGCTTTTTGGTTGTCATGTTCTTTTCCTTTTTGCGTTCTCGTTCCTGCTTCTTCTCGAGTTTCCGCCGTTGCTTATCGGTTAAGTGTGAGGTTGACTCTACTTCAAAAGCCTCCGTCTTGAGCATTCGCCGTTGACGAGCTTCACGAGCATTATACTTTGATAAAGCATTATAACCTAGTCACGTCTTAGCAATCTGGTATTCAATTACAAAGATCAAGTACATGGTGCTTTACCTCTTTGAAGTGACGGTGGTACGGCTGTTGCCTCTATAATGATAGGCTCGTCGTCGTCATCATCCGCGAAGATCAAAGGGCCGTCTTCTTCTTCAACGTCATCAAGATCACTCTCTTCATATTCTTGGTAGATGGCGTCGTCCTCTAGTTGCTCTTCATCATCGTCAAACTCATAAAGTTCATCTTCGCTCTCGTCTTCCTCTTCATCAAGATAATCATCATCTCCTTCTTCCTCTTGGCTGGATTCTTCTTCGCTTAAAGCATCAGCGTGTTTGTCGTTGAGAATATTGCGTTTGGCTGCCGATGTGGCTGTTGATATGATGTGCTCTTCCTCATCGCTGTATGGCTCCAAAAGAACTTCAGACTCGGTTGTCACTGTATACTTTGTGACAGGAGGAGACCCAAAGTGGTTATCATCATCATTCGATTTCGTAGGTTGCACATACGGTTTCTCTTTGGTTACATTCTCCACATCACCGTCGTCGAGCCCGTGATCGAGCTTGGTTGCTGCTTTGTTTTGGCCATTTCGTTCTCCTTTTCGCTTCTCTACTGATTCCTCTTTTTCCAGCTTTTTGTCCATGGACGACAGTTTTTTAACCAAGGTTTGATAGTATGCTCGCAATTCGTCTTCGCCATCATCATTGAGAGAGGCGTTTTCGATGTAGTCGAGCATGGCAGCAATTTCATCTTCGTCTTCTACTTCATCATCACCGCTTAAAAATATGTCGTCCTCGTATTCTACGTCTTGAGATACCAAATCATCGTCACTTTCGGTGTCACTATTGCTGATTCCCATGAGCTCTTGATATCGTTGTTCACGTCGCTCCTTTCTGGTCAGCTTTTGTACAACTCGCTGGAGTTCTGGGTCCTGTAACGTCAGACTTGCTAAGAGATCGTCTATGTCCTGTTCGTTGGATACATTTTCTAAAGCTGTATCATCAAGTTCATCATCACTGGAACTGTTATCTTCTACGTCTGCATTGTTGTCGGTTGATTTCTCTGCACCATCTTGACCAAGCCCTGGTGATGATATACCAGACGTTGTGGATTCAATTGCCTTGTCGGAATTGATGTCACTTTCATGATTGAGTACCATGGTAGACTTTTGAAAGACCATCATCTTGGTATATTTTGAACGTCCGAACGAAGCCGGTGCACTCGATGTCGATGCCGCAGTCAAACTAGTGTATCCAAGACCAACTGCGGCAGGTCGGTCCTCTTCATCCGATTTGTAGCTGTAAGCGAACTGGGAAGGATTTGCTTTTCTGGCAGATGGAGTGGTTTCTAGAATGTTAAAAAAACAAAAAGGGAAGGTTAGAATAGAGAGCTTGGGCGAGGAATTGCCAAGGCGGGTATGTCGAACAACAGGACAAATTTGGATAAAATCTTACTTTTGGATGGTTTTTTTGACTTGCCTCTACGACCAGCGTTCCCGGTTGAAATATCGTCGTCTGATTCACTACCGAACTGACCGTATACTTTGAAATCGCCATACAGTTCATCCATGTATTTGAATGAGGTAGGTTGCTGAGTAGCATAACCATAAGATGTTGGAACACCGGAGCGGCCACCTCGACTTCCTCCACGGCCTCCACGGCCACGGCCACCTCTTGAAGCACCTCTTCCTCGGCTCATGCCCTTCTTTGCGTTTCGTGATTTGGTCCCCATTAATATAGGAAAGGATTGAGTTATACTGTGAATCAGCTGAGTCGAACTTCCAGTGACAAGCATTTTGTGACAGCGAGCTATCAGATTTTGCCAGTTTGGCAATCGATCGATATTTTCTTGGTTAGAGCCCAGTGAAATCCAGAGGATGTGCCGCAGTTTATTTTAGTAATGAACCTTTACTGACTGATGAAGGAAGGGAGCAATGGCAATATATGATATGGAATGCGTAAACGCTCTATCTCCTTTGTGATACTGGCCTATCAGGTTAAAGCTTTTCCCCATCATGCGCTGTGGAGGCTTTCATATTTGATAAAACATTCACCAACTTGACGTCTGTGAGATCCAAATCCTCATCATCTCTTTACTGAGACTCACTTTGTACCATCAAAGAAACTGACTATACGAGTGGCTCTGTATTGAACACAAATTATGCTGTTGAAAATAATCACTATAAAATTTACAAAATGAATACAAAAAAGTTTGTAGAACAAAGCAGAAAGGGTGTAGATGGCTTGGAACTAAATTCGATCCTAATCTTCGTCAACTGCCTTCGCACGCAACTTATCCAAAAGCTCATGACAATCATTCAACAGTGATGAGCAAGTTGCTTGACCTAGGATAGGTAAAGTTAATATAAGCCGCATACACCAAAAAAAGTGATTTGGGTCCCTTTGTTAGTACTCACCTTGAGGAATGCCACCCTCAGCGTCTTTAAACACACCATTATCCTGTGATTGAACGATAGATTGGAGCTTCATGGCATAAGGATATAGTTCCCGCCCTGCAATAGACAATTTAGGTTAGACAACAAGGTCTAATTTACGATCTTTCTATGACCGGCCATAGTTCCAATCCAAGGTAATTAAAATTTCAAACTTACGTGAGCAAGGGGCCCCACAGCCAGACACCGATTCCAAGCACTTCTTGAGAGTTGTCAATTGGTTGTAAATAGGCATGAGAACTTCAGAAACGGGGACGCTCTCGCCCATCAAAGTAACAATGAGGCGTGAGCATTTGTGCATTAAAAAGACCAAAACGATTTGTCCTTCAACAGGCTTTCCATTTTCATCCACGAACTGACGATTCACTCTCATTCTATTAATTTCTTGTAGCTGCATGAGGTGGGTAAATAGGTCGGTCTCACGAAGTGTCCATTTATGGGTAAGCTGAAGTCGTTCCAGCTGGCACTTGATTTCTAAAAGTCGAAGTCGTAGAGGTTCCACTGTTCCGTTGGGTGACTCAGCAGCAATGATGAGATCGTGAGCACAGTCATAGACATTCTCCAATAATCCAACCACAGCAGCTTGGCCAGCAGGTATACGGCCATCGTCATGCTGTAAAAATACGCCATCAATTCGCTTACTGTCGATATGCCGTAACTTCTTTTGCAACGGGTAAACATCAGCAGCCGAAATTTTACGCTGTGATGCAATGTTTGCCATTTCTCGACGAATGCTCAACAATTTATCTCGGATCGGTACCCTAAAGTTCATGAAGAGCTTAATGATGCTGCACGTATATTAGGGACGGAATTGCATACTAGTCACTTACAGGTCTGGATCGATATCTCGGATAATAAGATGCAAATTGTCCATGATGCTACCTGCAAAGTGGTAAAAGTCCATTTTAATCATCAATATACTTGACTGGGAATAACGTAAAGGAAGGTCAGGCTTACAGCATTGGTTGTACCGGATGTTGAGAATACGCAAGGTTTGTTCGTCCAAGAGTCCATTTACTTCATCGACTTTAATCATTTGGCCAAAGTCATCCAGGCGTTTTACATATGGCTCAAGAAATTCCTATTCGTTCGATACCAAGAAAAGGCAAGGCATTAGTCATAGGTCTCATTAAGAGTGAACTCCAGTTAGCGCCTCTATTCACCTCTGAGTATACGCCAGCTTCTTCCAACTGATCAAAACACTGCTTCATAGCCACAACTTGGGCATAAACGGCCGGCGCTAAAAAGGTTGAGTTAATGGTGTATAGCGTTGTATGTAAGCGAAAGGGCTGCTCGCTTACTTTCTTTGCACTTGCCGACGCTTAGGAAGCCAAGGCTGAGAAGCATAAAAACATCTTCACACAAGTCGTCCAGTCTATTTCTATGTTCGGTGGGGCTGATATCGCAACCTCGAATTCCTTTCAATTTGAACAACTGTTCTTTAGCTTCGTCCCATAGGGGGTATATGTCTTTGGAACGCATATAAGATGCCCTATCTCGCTTTAAAGCTGACAAACGGTTTCGGATAGATACCATAGCTTCAAGAATTGGGAGTTCTGAGAGGAGAGTTGAGAAAAGGATGCGAGTGACAGCGACAGTATGGTGGGACGTTACCTTCAGGTGGGACTTTGTCAGGCATAGTTGGTATAAAGTAGAGTGGAGGAAAAAAAGACAGCGAGGTGTTTCGAAATCTAAACCTCGAGGCGAGTAAATAGTCAGCCGGACTTTTAAACTTCCGGGATGGGTCTTCAGTGAAACTGAATTTGAGGCTCAGCCAACATGCACTTTTTTGACAAAGACAAAATGGTTGGTCATCATTCCCTGGTTCTATGGACAATATGAAAGGTGGCGATTTCTTTATAAAAATCTTTGATATACACAGTTATAAGTGAATTTTGGGGAGACTACGTAGGAGCTATGTCGAGGGGATAGAATAAGGAAGGGTGGAGGTTTGAAAAATGTAAAGAATATTACTTGTTGGGCTTAGGAAGCACACAAGTCGTAATCATGGGTCTAAAATAATATATAAAAAAAATACCACTTTTTGTCCCAGTGTAAAATATACTACGTCTTCATTTTGCGCTGAACGTTCAGTTCAATTACAAGAAAGCAACAACGGCAAAAGCGGCGGCAATGGCGAGAGCAGCATTGGCCTGAGTGCCAGAAGCGGCACTTTTACTAGTGGAGCTAGAGCCGCTGCCACCAGGAGAGACGGATCCATTGGAGCTGCTACTGCCACCTCCAAAGGAAGCGAAGCTGACAGTCGTCTCAACATATGGGTAGGTAATGTTCATGCAGGTAGCAACGTCGAGAACGTTCTTGTAAGCCTTCTTGATGTTAGGGATGTTTTGGATGGCAAAATCCATGGTCATATTGTTGATTTCGTGAGAAAGAACAATGTTACCTTTGGAAGCAAAGGTGCCATTGGTACCGTCTTGAATGAAGTTTTGGTAGTTTTGCTGAACCTGTTGGACAGTGACGGTGGTACCAGCAGCCCAGTCATCGGTATCCAAGTTCCAGATGATGGCTGTCAAGTTGAGTTGAGAAGCGATCCAACGAACACGATCATCAACATCACCAAGCGGTGGGCGCCAGTAGAGAGGAGTAAGACCGGTAACGTACTTGATCATCTTGGTAGCATAGTAAAGTTCAGCAAGAACGGCTTGGTTGGAAAGAGTGGTCATCATAGGGTGGGACCAGGTATGAACAGAGATGTGATGACCATCCTTGACACCACGTTGAGCTCCGTAAGGCCAGTTCATGACATTAGAGCCGATGTAGAACATACTAGCCTTCAAGTTTTGTTGTTGCAAAAAGTCATAAAAGGCATTGTGAGAGCAGTTAGGACCATCATCATACGTCAAGCCCCAAGTTTCTAAATTGGAAGAGATGTATCACATTAGGGACAGTCTTTTTTTTTTAGCGGCCTTCCCGAAAATAACCCAAAACCCGCCATCCAATCCAAAACATCAAAACATACCTGGTTCAGGGCAAGCTGAAATATCTTTCAACACGCCAGCAGCCTTGGGATTGACACATTGAGTAGCAGTCCACCAACAGTCAGGATCGTTGACAGTGTCATATCCAGTCGTAACAAGTGCACCATCAGCACCCATAGTGCGAGGGTTGATCTTTGGGGCATTGTTCCAGTTGATGGAATTATACAAAGTTGTGTATTCAGCACTGGTGTTCATACCGTTAGAGGTAGCAACCTGCCAGTTGTTGGGCCAGTCGGTAGGCAAAATAGGCACGGGAGGTGCATAATAGGTACATTCCGTGGCGACATCGTATGAGGTTGTCTGTGGTGTGTTAGGAATATTAATTTTTGTAGGGTCCACAGTTGATGTGTAGTTTGTAGTCACAGCGGAAGCTGTAGCGACCAAAGCAGCACTGGCAAACAATCTGTACATGTTTGCAAGCGAAAGAAATGAAGAGAAGAAAGGGAAAGAGGGAGTGCTGAGACAAGAGAAAGGGGAAGCGACAGCATTTTATTTTAAATTACATGTGCGGTGCTATATTCTCAGTGCATGCAAAAGAGTTTTACCGGTCACTAATTTTTTTTTATTTTTTTTTTGGGACCTTTAGTTCGCAGACCGGGTAACTATCCCCGTTTGAATTGCTCCGCAATGACAACGCAATGTCATCCCCCTTTAGTGGGAGACTGATAACCTAACTTAACCTCATTTCATTGCTTTGGTACCTCTATCATTGGCTTGTGTTGTTAAAAGAGGCTCATCCTATCCAAAGAGCAGAACGTAAGATCAAGTGTTATATCCTTTTTTTAAATTTAATTGTTGTGTTTATTGTGTGACCAATGATGTCGATCCCAATTTTCTACAAAAGAAATACACCGTTCCAAGCTCTGGCGCTATTCTTCCTGCAGTTTGGGTCTCGTGCTCTTCTATTTTGAGTGTCGCCCCTATCGTTCATAATTATTTGTCTGAATTTCATGTTTAGGGCCATGTTCTAAATATATAAATAACGCGTAGCAAAAAGCATCGTTGTTAGTCGAGCCTCTCGTTGGACTACGTCATGGGTAGTCTTACTTTTTGAGTGGCCGAGCCAACGCACCATCACGCTTATGGCGACCATATGGTATCATATGCCTTGACGAAATGGAAAATCGTTTCGATGAGAATAGGATAGCTGCAATTGTGGTGTCACAAAACTAATACAGTCAATAACTGTCGTAATAAACCATGGTCAAATGAACTGGTTGTCTAGGCGGTTCGTCTCATAGCGGAGTCATTATTGGTCAACCGGTATTTCAAATAGTCGAAATATCCTTGTGCTAAAAATGCGATCGGTTGACTGGCAGTAAACCGGGCTCATCCGAACTGAGCCTTCACTGAGCCTGTGCCAGCAGACATCCACTTCGTTGCTTTTTAATGGCTCATTTGATCTAGGAGTGCAAGATCTTTAGTGGCCATCATGAAGGTAGCGCTGTCTTACTTTCAAACTTGACCTCAAAATATTTCTCGCCCAAAGCCGCAGACATCAAAGCTGAGATTCAATCTTGTCAGCGTTTACTTTATCATCCCTATGTCTCCTCCCGATGCTCCATACCATTACTGCCTCCTGCTAGTTAAATTGCTTTGTCCTAGAAACAACAATTTGAATTACGTTAGCTATTGATGTGTATGTCATTTGATCTGACTGTTGCCTACCCCGTATATGTCAACCTAGGACGGTTCAGTATATAAACATAGCCCCTCTATCTCAGTTGAGATGTCACTTTAGGTCAATTGTGACCACAGTACAGAACTTTGATCGTGATAGCTTTTTTTTCACTTTAAACTTTTGATCTACAATACTCTTCTCTCCACATTGGCGTATGGTGCAACAGGAACATACTCAATTGCTTTCTCGCCCCATACATATCTTGATATTTTTATTAATTACTAGTAAGGAGAATTATGGGACCCAGGTTAAAATAGAACATAATAAAAAAGCCAATCTCCCGCTAATGCCGTGTAGGCACCAAAAATAGCGGTATAAATCTAAGGTACAGAATGCTAAAAAAAATAGTATCAAAATGCTTGGCTTTTTATTTACCGATTGGCTGTTGGCTCTCCGCAAACCTCTCTGTCAACGCCTGAAACCTGTTTCAAGATACTATTTGGCTGTTTTAGATAGACATAGCAAGTTCCCTTCGATAGTCGAATTGTACCTGTCGTTAGATCAAAGCTACATATTTAAATTGACGTCCTACAATCTTCCATGAGATAGGGAATATAATGTGATTTATATTCAAAGTCTAACGATGTACAGAATGATCTAATCGGAAATAATGCTACAGTCATGTAGATAGAACGATACCAGGCTTCGAAACGAACAAATAAAAGAAAATGACAAACATTCTGATAGTTCGGACAGTATGGAATATACAATGAAAGCATTGTTTCGCGGCTGCGATTATTGACTCTGTGACACCTGCCGAACGTTATGATCCGGCGATTATCTGTTAATGTTTTACCACACGTACAGCTGATACACTAGGATGTACGCGTGCCATGTTTCTCCAGCATTTATCTGATTACAAGCTTCTATGGAGAGTACATGGCCTGATGCATGCTGACCTATCTCATTTGCTTTGCAGAAGGCAGCTCAACGTTACCGTCCTTGTAAAACTCGGTAAGTTAATGTGCCGGATACGCACCCTCAATACGCTACAGTCTTATTTTTCTTTCATCATGTCTGCTTTGAATTGTCATTAAATCTTATATGTTGATGGTGGCCTTGAAACCTTGGGCCACTGAAGGGATTCATGAATTGTAATCTAAAAGCATAACTGTATTGGGTTGCCAACCTGAGCTCAGCATCGCACATCCTTTATCCCCCGAGATTCATAATCCTATGTCATGAAAATAGTACTTTGATAACAGCCGTCGACTTCTGCAACCATAGCAACAATACATATACACAAGAGGGGGTTAGGTGATCTGCTACTTTGAAGCGTCCGACTGAATGTGACTATTGGAAGAGGTGAAGGGTTTCTTTATTATGTGTACAATGTCTTTTGTGAAATTATTCAATGAGAGATTATGCCTTGACTGGACCTTCACCACCAGGGACCAACTGTTGGGTGCCAACCATATATTAGTAACCAGCCTTTCTGATTCAAAACTCACGCTCAGCTTACCATGCATATGTTGTTTCCGTTCAGCAATATCTGCTCCAACTTGGTAGTCTTGTATCCTTCAGCTGACTTCTCGCTGTAAGAAGGGTAAGTGTTAGTCTCTTCCCAGTCTATTATTCTAGCGCAGTTCCTTGACTGATTTGCAGCACTTACTATTCGGTAACATCCTCAAGTACCATATCTGCAGAAAGAAAAAGAATTCAAGTCATGGAAACCGCATACTTTTACAATGCTCACATAAAACGCTCTAACATGTCGGTAGATCATTGATGATGATACAACATCAATGGTTACGAGCATTTCTAGCAATATCGACGGTTCATACATATCGTCGCAACAAAAAATGCGATTTAAAAAAGGATACTGACATAGTCGTCAAAACCGAGTAATCGTCCAGTGAATTCTTTTTCACCTTTCATGACAACCCAGATATTGGATCCAGTGCATTTGTCGATGAGTTCTACATGGCAGTGTCCAATTCCAGATCAAAAATTGTCAAAAGGTAAATCACGTTTTAAAGTGATCAAAAGTAAAAAATAGTTGAGAGGTGTGAGTATATGGGCTACAATAGCACAAGATGTTGATGATCAATGGATTAACATTCACTTACCCAGTGGCAAAAGTTGTGAAGCAGACATTATAGCTAATGGATCGAGTAGAGTAGATTTCTATCCGCCTGTAAAGCGCGAACTTGGTCTGGAAATCTTTACATGTGACCTGGAGCTCAAATTTCGCTCATAAAAAACCCTTCCTGCCTTGTTCTTCTACTGACAAGAGAAAGCGCTGACGGAAGTGTGTAGAAACTGTATCAATGAGCACCGCATCTATTCATACCGATTATAGTTCGCAATAGAGAGTAAAAATGCTTGAATTTTTGGAATGAAATACTCCCATTTGAATTTTTTATCACACTTCTTTTTATTGTTTGTTTCAAAGTTCGTCAGTAACAGCACCTTCGCTAGCACTCTTGACAGTCATACAGTATCTTGCCATGATACCCTTGGTATACTTGAGAGGAGGAGCTGACCATGTTTGCTTTCTTTTTGCGAGTTCTTCGTCAGATACATGAACAGTCAGCTCGCGGGTGTTGGCATCAATGGTGATCTCGTCACCGTCGTTGACCAGCGCAATAGGACCTCCAACTTGTGCTTCAGGACAAATGTGGCCGATAATAAATCCCTTGAAATCAAACCAAATGTAAGGACAAGGAATTATTGTTACTGTTACTATCTTGTATGCACTTACGTGAGAGGCACCTGAAAATCGTCCATCGGTGATGAGGGCAACATCTTTACCAAGACCAGCTCCCATGATGGCGGAAGTAGGCTTGACTGTGGTCATGATTAATATCTACATATGTGGCTAACAGCAGGCTTCCGAAAAGTACTACTTACGCATTTCTGGCATACCAGGACCGCCCTTTGGACCCTTATAGCGCACTACAACAACGTCGCCTTTCTGGATAGCACCTTGCTCCAGGGCTTCAAAGATTTTTTCTTCATCGTCAAAGACGCGTGCTTTACCCTTAAATGCTAAGCCTTCCTTGCCAGTAATCTTAGCAACAGCACCCTAAATTTTCACAACATTTAGTATCGATCGCACTTGCAGTAAATGAAAATACAGCATTTTCAAGCAACTTACCTCTGGAGCGAGGTTACCCCTGAGGATTGTAAGATGTCCAGTCTTCTTGACAGGGTTTGAAAGAGGTCGAATAATGTCTTGTCCTTCGGTCAAACCTGGTAATTCGGCCAAATTCTCTGCCATGGTCTTACCGGTGACAGTCATACAGTCGCCATGGATCATACCATTTTCCAACAGGTACTTGAGGACAGCGGGAGTGCCTCCAACAGTTTGCAAATCTTCCATTACATACTTTCCACTGTCATACAGTGCATCCGCGTAAGTCAATCGTACAAGCCTTCACACATAATCATGGCGAGCTTACCTAGGTCGAAGATTGGCAAGGAAAGGAGTCTTATCGGCAATTGCTTGGAAATCGTCAATTGTAAGAGGAACTCCAACAGATTTTGCAACAGCAATCATATGAAGAACAGCGTTTGTTGAACCACCAAGAACCATGATGACGGTAAGGGCATTCTCAAATGCTTTGCGAGTCATAATATCACTGGGCTTAATATCTCTCTCCAAGAGAGTTCGGATAGCCACACCAACACGAAGACATTCTTGAGTCTTGAGGGCATCTACAGCAGGGATAGAGGAGCTGTATGGCAAAGACATACCAAGAGCTTCGATAGCTGACGACATAGTGTTAGCAGTGAACCTGTATTAGCCAGCACAAACGTTAGCGAATCCTGTGTAGTGTATATTGTTCTCGTTACAGAATCAAAAGCTATTGTACTTACATTCCTCCACAAGCTCCAGCACCGGGGCAAGCATGTCGAATGATATCGCGGCGCTCCTCTTCATTGATTTTACCGCTGATCAATTCACCATTGCACTCAAGAGCATTTCCAATATCCAGTTCTCGGTCTGCGCAACGGCCAAGTGTACCCTTTCCTTTCTTCATAGTTCCACCATAAATGACGATGGAGGGACGATTCAAGCGACCCATAGCCATCAAACATCCAGGCATGTTCTTGTCACATCCCGGGATAGAGATATTTGCATCATACCACAAAGCGCTCATGACCTAGATCCACGGAATAGTTAGAGAATGATATCTAAGATCACTGTACATACACACGCCAACTTACCGTCTCAATAGAATCAGCAATGATATCGCGACTGGGTAAAGAGAAGGACATACCAGCGCTACCCATGGGGATGGCATCGGAAACTCCGATGGTGTTGAACTGATATCCCACGAGGCCTGCTTTGTTTACTCCTTCTTTCACTTTGGCGGCCAGGTCGTTAATGTGCATATTGCAAGGATTTCCGTCATATCCGCTAAATTCATTTTCAGTTAGTATGCTGAACGGAATAATGCTGTCTCATGCTTTGTACTTACAAGCTAGTAATGCCAACCTGTGCCTTAGCAAAGTCGTCATCCGTCAATCCAGTGGCATAAACTTTCATACAAGTTAGTGACGTGATCCAGCTAATCCGTGATTGCACTGTCAAAACTTACGTTGAGCTTGGGCAGCACCGGCGGTAGGTGTTTGAGTAATGGTACGACTGTACTTGTTGATAGGGCCTTTTGCTTGAATATCTTTGTCCCGTGGGGTAATTTTATGTCTATGGAAAAAAATCAAAGGATCTGTTAGTTACATCATCTGCTCTTCGCTTGTCACCGAATGCTTAGTAGTTACATGTGTACTTGTCCTTGTTCAGACATTGTGCTTAGACGTGGTTTGGTTTGGTGAAAGAAGAAGACGAGACTTGAACGAAGCCGACTGAGACTGGTCTTTTGGCTTTAAAAAATTCGGACCATACGGTGAACCTTGGCTGTTGCTTTCAAACCCAGCACGCTTTAACAAGGTTTGATACCCTGGGTGATCCCATCCATCTTATATTGACAGGAATGGAAAATGATCAAGTATCCTGGCAGATTGGCCGTATTCATATCAAATTGATATCAATCATTGATGTAATTTAATATGATTATAGAACCGAGTTTGAGTAGCTCCTTGTTATTTGAAAGCTCTTGTTCTCTCCGCGTAAGTTGGGGTACCGTCGGTTAAAAAAGGGAACTAGCATATTTAAATTGAGCGCAATACAGCGGCCCAAGTTCTACTGGCGGTAGTTGGAGAGCCCGGTTCCTATGACAGATGTACTACTCTATACATCAGACAGTTTAATATTTAAGTCGTGAACGAAAATTCATCTGATGATGTCCCGAAACGTGGAAGGCATCAAGTATACCGTGAGATCTAACAACCTGCAGTCATAAAATTCGGATTAAAACCAAAATGGTCAATTTACCCGAGTGTTCTGAGCCCAGAGTTGGGATAGCATGCCTCGGGAAACGCGAAAGTCAAAATGCGCCAGTCAGGAGAAAAGTTCTCGCCCATATCAGCATAGCCTATGCTTGTCGAAGCCACTCTAAAACATCTCTTTATCCTAAAAATGTGCTGAGCTCAATGATGCTTGTTCATATTGGATAGGCGAAGACACCGCCATTGTAGCATAGTTTACTATATTGCCCGCTTAATAGCTCTGCTTATACTGCTTCGACAAGTCCCTCACCTCAAAGGCAAGGTACAGCCGGTTCACCGGATACTGCCGTGTTACTAGAAGAAAGATGACCAAGAGTGTAAAAGCGAAGGTTATATCCCGCGGAACATACCCTGGTGTGCAATATGTTGTGAAAAAGTGTTTGTTTTATTTACAATGTCATCAATAAAATAAGGGCTGCAATATACGAACAAAAAGCTGACATCTGTATCGGCTAAAAGGAGTCTTCGAGCCCAGGTATAATGAGCGATATAATTGTTACTGTCTATACTTCAAATTGCCAAATTACCTCCCACTGCCTCATCGTGTTGTTCCTCGTCGCTTGAAAAGTCGTCTGAAGACACATCGTCGTCAACAATGCCATTTTCATGCATACCTTCATGCTCGTCACTGTCGCTGTTGCCATCGCTGTCGTCCTCGCTATCTTCGTGGTCGCTGAAATGCAGCGACAGCTGGTCGTCGATATTGATGTCTTCATCTTTCATTTTAAAAGCGCTCCAGCCTTCATCATCGTCATCGAACTTTAGGAAGCCGTCTTCCTCCTTGGTATCAAGAGTATTCACAATGGCACGGGGTTTCTTACTCATATGCTCATCTGGACCACCGTCGTGTTCACGCTTAGATCCAGCATGGATAAGTTGTGGATTGACCCATTGTCTGACTTGAGTCGTTGCCTTTTGAGCTTGTTTCTTCTTGAGGGCAACATGCGGAAGCTTGCAAGTCGCATTTTCACATTTACCAGTCTCGGCAAAATCAGGGCAAACATGGATATGCTTGTTTTTGCAGTTCTCGCCTTTGGCACAATATCCTTCTAAAGCGAACGCTTTGCACACTGGAGCCTGAGGGCTGACACGAACATGGGGATATGGACAATTGACACGATCGCACTTGCCTCTCTGGAAGTGTGAACAATGGGGCATAATCTCCGGAATGGGGAAGTGCGATAACAAACATAGATGTGCAGGTTGTGGGCATTTGTGTTGAAGGTATTTGGGACATATGGCTCGATGGGATCGATCGTGCTTGAAAGGGCATTTCTTGCCATTCTTACATTTGCCTGTAGCGAGGAATAGAATAGATCGTTAGTAGCTCAACTATCGGAACGGGTCAAATGATGGAGCAATAGTTACCGTAGCGGGTGAAATATCCACAATACATTTTTGACTTGTCTTTCTGATTACCATTTAATACGAGCGATTTGCCATGTCTACCTTGTCTCACATAGCCTTCCGGTTCTTTCACATACACCATGTGGCCACCTTTACTTCTTGATATCTTCTTATTTTTCTTTCTATCTTCTTGTCGTAGCAGTTTCGCAGCTTCAGCTTGCTCCCGTTGACTTGCAGCCTTTGCTTCTCGTCTGAATCGTGAAGTTCAGTGTCAATACATAGCAATGAATATGAAAAATGGTATATGAATGTAACTTACAGCTTCGCTTTTTGTATCAAGCGATCTTTCACTAGTTCAGCACGAACCAAATTGCCACCTTTTGTTCTAACATATTCAACACCTTCAATTTCCGCTTTCTGGGGGGTATATACTGGCGTCGTTGTCAGAGATGGCTTTGTTGTTTGTAATTTAGCCATGAGACTGCTTGCTGTGGAACTTGGTATAAGGTCTTGTCTGGTGAGCTTCTTCCCTGAAGCGTCTGTCACAAACGTTACGCCGTTGATCACTACAGTTCGATTTTGTCTTGAGCTTGAGTTCACAGGTTCGCTATGTGACAGCGTCGATGTATGGTTTTTTGGTGTTTGTAAGATGGCTGGAGTAGTGTTGCTCTTGGCCGTAGAGGTTGAGGGTGCGGATCCAGGCTGATTCAATATTAACTTTTTGTTCCCAAAGGTCGGTGCTAAGGTGCCTCTTCCTCGACCCCTTCCTCTCGGCTGCCACACTGGCTGGGCTCTTCCTCTTCCCCTCGATGGAGAATAGAAGGTTGTCTGCTTGTGCTGCTCAATTGCTGCAGAAAGTTTCGAGATCTTGGCTCGCAGATCCTCTGGTGATGACATAAAAGATTACTGATCCACAGCAGTAGCTTTCCTTCCGCATTATTGTAATGCCGCTGGAAAATAGCAGTCACTTAGTTTGGTTTTGTTGGTTTCCAAGCGGCTGTGGCAAGTTTCTCGACGATATTGACAATTTCTATCCAACCTTGCAATGTCTTCAAGCATCGGAACTGAATGTACGGACCTTAAACAAAAATACGATACCTGCTTCAACAAGTGGTACTCAGAAAAGTTCTTAAAGGGAGACACCACTCCTGAATGCGAAGATTTGTTTAAGGACTACAAAGCTTGCGTCATGGTAAGTTTAGGCGTCAACTTGCCAAAGTTTAATGTTGTGTCAATGGGTTAAGTCCTAAAGGGGGCAGCAAAGATTATTGGCTAATGCCGGCTAATTACTGCCTATTACACAGGTAGCATTGAAGGAGAAGCAAATTGACACTTTATTGGCGGACGCTCGGAAAGAGTCTCCTTTCCCGCCACCGTCGTCGAGCTCAAACTCGGAGGCGTGAATGATTCTGTTATATAGAGAGAATGAAATTAATGGTAGCATGATATAGAGCAGACTTTTAAATTTTTACCCAAACGTAACTGGAGCTGTAATTCTTGCCAAAGTACGCTAGTTTTTTGACATTGAATTAACATACAAGGTTGAGGCGGAAATTCGGTGATATAGGCCAACAGTTAGAGGTCATGCATACTTGTAAAATGATTAATACAGATAAAATCGAATACTGAAAGGCGCTCTTCATGTGTGCTTGGCACCAGAACTTACTGTTTCCAGATGATGATAGTTCATAACCGATTTGCCGATGTGTCACTGGTCGGGATTTTAAACAGCCAGCGTATATAAAATCTCGAGGTATGAAAAAAAAGAAAAAAAAAAAGAATAATCTTGGCTTTATTTCCCTTTCTTGTAGCTGAGAACTTCTCGCTGTGATATCGTCTAAATGGCGGATGATTCTCGGACCAATGTAGAGAATTTCGGTCAGAGTCCAATTGAAGATAAAAATCAACCTGAAGATCATAAACCAGCGTTATCAGATCTTTCTTGGAAGTACAAGGCTATCATTATTCTTACCGTACTTACGCTTTCCAGTAAGTTATGTTCTCCATAGATCATGCAGTGACCTTCCAAAGCTTTTGAATTGATCGATCAAGAAACATAGTTGGTAGCCATTTCCTTTCGACCATATCTAAAGTTTTGAAAACCAATGTAAAGCGGGTAATTACTACATTGGTCTGTCGTAACCAAAACAAAAATCCCAACGGCATTCGCTCAAATGTCGGACCATATTTAATTTTGCCTAACAGTCTCACAATTTTTTTTATCCCAGAATCTCAACATCAACAATACCCAGTACAGCGTCTTGATATCATGTGTTTCAGTACTTAACACAATAATACCCTTTTTTGCTGGATCATTAGTCGATCGTTTTGGTCCAGTTCAAGCAACATTATTCGTCACTACTGCCATCACGATCGGCAGCCTGCAGCTTGCGTTATCTGCTACCTTCGACAGTTATGGCTTGATGATCTCTGGAGAGATCTTTTTTGGCATAGGTTCAGGTGTAATATCCGTCATCGAAGAGGCCATTCTGTCAAAATGGTTCCGAAATAACCATCTATCGCTCATCATCGGAGCTCAGCTTTGCATCACACGAATGGTCCAGTTTGTTGCCAACGTTGCTAGCCAGCCTTTGGTGGCTGCAGCACAGAATTGGGCCTGGGCATACTACGTTTCCCTTATATTGTGCTGTTTTTCCTTGGCGATGAACGTTCTGTTTGCTTACATGATGTGGCACTTTGGATACGTTACCTGGACGGGAAAACTTATAACAGATGACTTGCATCTTGATGAAAGGCGTATCAAATGGACGGCACCGCTGTTCTTTCCGTTGGTATTTTGGATGGTTCCGTTCATGCAGTTGACCATCTCGAGTGTATGGAGTAGCTTTGAGTCTCTGTCAACGTAAGTGATGTTACAACATGGAAAAAGGCCGTGACATATGGGGAACTGACATCATCCTATTCTTAAAGTGAGTACATTCAATTCCGATATTCAACCACTTCTGTCTTGGCAGCTGTAAGTATATCACTTCATGTTCAGTCCAAAGCGTTATTTGAGTGAGCGAGCGCATAAACTCCATCACTCAACTTCCTGATCAGCGATTTGACTAACATTTGGTTGGATATCAGTATAAAAGTAGTATCTCTCAGGCGGTGCCTATGGTCTTGGCTCCTGTTATGGGATTTATCATTGATCGATGGGGAAAAAGATTGTCATTCTGTAAGTGAACGCAAGCTCCTTTACGGCCATGATTCATTGTACTTATTTTTTGTAACCTTTTCTGTTTAATTTTACTTTGTACAGTGTTGCTCTCAGCTATTATCTTGCTCGTTTCTTTCCTTCTATTATCTCAAACATATGTGAATGCTGCCATTGGCATGACGCTCTTTTCTATCTCTCTGGGCATTGGATCCATCATGATCCTGACCAGTACCGCACTGACTCTTCCAAGAAAGTACATTGGTACTGGTGTAGGATTGCACAAAACGGCTAACAATATTGGTACAACAATCATCAGTGTAATTGCTGGATATTTACAAGACCATGCATACCATGACGGCGATACGGATTATGATGAGGATATTGCTGAAGAGTACAACGGAGTGATGAACTTGTACCTCGCATTGACTTCGCTCTCCATCCTACTTATAGTATTTTGGTGGGTTTTGGATCGCATCAAACAGCATGGCTGGCTAGAGGCTTCCAAGGCTGAACGAAAGAAGCGATTACTGGGTCAAGATGAAAGAGCCATGGAGGATACAGCAAATTCAACCTATTCTGACGAGCAGCTGGCTGCTACAGGAAGGCTGCTTTTGTCCAAAAAAACATACCGATACTGTGCTATATATATATTCTTCCTTGTTGTATCATGGGCTATATTTTTTGCCTTCGCTCTCATGCCCGTCTATCAACATGAATCTTCAGATGATGAAGGAACAGTGAGCGGTGGCGGTTGATAGTAACTCAGATATACCACTAGTAATTGGTTATTCCAGACATAATACCATGCAATATTAAAGAACTAAAAGCCTTCAATATTTAAAATCATGCTCGGCAGTTTATAATGGCATTGTTTGGTGATGAGGGATGGTTTTTTATTTTTGAAGCTGCTTGCATATCTCAATGTGATGTCAGGAGGAAGTGTGTCACAAGATGGATCAATGGGAAAACTTACCACCTTGGCTTGTGGCGTCGTCGTCTTTGAAAATGGCTAGTTAGTCCAGATGATTTATGCTTGCAGCGGCAAAAATGGAATAGCAACGCACTCAATATCAAGAAGATCTAAATATCTATCGCAAGCAAGGAGTTATTTGGATAGTACAATGTAAATGTCGCTGCGGTAAATACTGACCAATCGATAAAGACCCTCATATCAACCAAAAAAATGTCTCTGTGACTCTGAAAACCCAAATGAGAAAAAAAAAAAAGCTGTGTCCCTAAAAAAATTGAAAAGGTGCGACACAGTTGCAGCTTAACGCACCTGCGCCTTTTCTTTCTCCAACATTCCCTCAAAAGTGAACTCATCAGACGCAGTATATGGAAAATTTGGCTCGACAACCCCGCAGGCTCGACAGGGTAGCCTTCCGGGAGATCGCCTCACCAACTGTGACTATATCCCTGAGAAGAAAGGACGGTGAGACGCAACGTTGGAATACATACAACTGCAGCGCATGTTTACGGCCTGTATACCATCCAGAATTTGATTGGCTTAAGCGCGTTATAGTGTGGAAGCACTGTCCTGCATTTGGTCACGGTTTAGAATCCTTATATACAGGCACTTTTAGAACTGCCACTCAGTTTGAGGCTGACGATCAGACTGTGACTGAAGCGCGTGGTCCCAAAATTAGCCCTTTCAAAATACTGATGCACTTGCACTGTTTTGAGCAACTCATCAAAAACCTCGCTAATGAACCCAAGACATTGGAATTAGCAACCTACCTTCAAGTCCTACTATCCCAAACAGCTGATTTGATTACAGAATCAACAGTCAAAAAGGCTATGGCCACAAAGCTTGGTCTGATGTTAAAAGAACGAGCGGAGAATTTACAGTGTCTTCGTATAGATGAGGTAAACGTTGGTATTGTTACTGGTATGACCCTCACAAAGCTAACTAATAATCTTATCTCCTCTCTGATTGGCTCCAAATGGACGGCATTAGTATGAATTAAATAATCCATACAAGATACCGCAATACGTACGGGAAGGTAGTAGCCAGACCAACATGATCCATTATGGGTCTTGTGGCCAGCTTTCGCGGCTACCGGCAGAAATTTTGGATTGTGTCATGGATTTCCTATCTCCACTGGAATTTATGAACCTCAGAAGCACATGCACTAGATTACGACATTTTCCTTCGCCGACACGATGTTGGAGACGTATGCTTGCCAGTCGATATCCCAATTTTGAATGGGATGGGATTAGAGATTGGAAATATGTGTATGAACACCGCTCGGACGAAGAAATGCGGAACGTTTCTAGAGCACTGAGCCAAGTCGATCAAATCTCCAAATGGATAGGACGGAGTTGAGCAGCGAAAAAAGCGCATAATTTTTGGAGTGCTTGCATGTTCCGAAATTCAAAGCCAGACGTGCACCATATAAAAAGAACGTACCGCCGTTCTGTAACAAAGGTTTTTGCTATTCGAGCACTTTTTATTACTTTATTACTTTGCTCTTAACTTTTCAACGGGTTTTATCCTCTATAAAACGTTGTACCCTTCCATTTTCCTACACTGAATGATTAAAGGATTTACAGCCTTCCTTCTTCAAATTTTCGTATCCCAAAGCTGACTTTTGCTATACGACCAACACTACTTTTATATATACACACCATAGACATACAGTAACGTTTGATGGTGAACCAAGTATCACTCACCTGCGCTATTCTTGGCGGGTTTATCGTCATATATGGCCTTGTATCTGGATTTGTCAAGCAGCGATTATATCTCTCTGAAGCTTGTAGGCTATCATTTACACCTTTATGTTGATCAATTCAGGAGCATTTATTTACTTCAAGTTATTAGTCATTGCTACTGCTGTTGGGATTGCGTTTGGACCTCTCGGAGCCAATTGGTTTTCCCCCGATTCTTTCGGTAATGAGGAAGCTATCACCAGAGAATTTGCACGTCTTGTCATTGCCATCCAAGTTATGGCTGCCGGAGTGGCACTTCCAAAAGCTTACCTGTGGAAAGAGATTCGTAGCTTGATGATCTTACTCATCCCAGGAATGATATGGATGTGGCTATCAAGCTCACTGCTGGTTTGGTGGCTAATTCCGGGGCTTAATTTTGTAAGTCAGAGTGTGCCGGGGTAACCTTATCAACGGCAGAATTATCATTCTCATTCATTCTTTTCATATAGCTGGAATCTTTGATGATTGCGTCCTGCTTTACGCCAACTGATCCTGTAAGTCTCGTGCAATTGGATGAAACTTCGCACTTGGAAAATATGGAACTCATTGTCGTTCTTTTTTCCATTTTTCGTGACGGTGTCTCTTTCTTTTTGGCTGGATTTGAAAACGGAAAATTTAGGTGTTGGCCAGTTCCATTGTTCAAGGTCATTTCGCAGAACAACACGTACCTTTTCACATTAGAAACCTTATTCTCGCTGAGAGTGGAGCAAATGATGGCCTCGGATACCCATTTCTATTTTTAGCCGTCTACCTACTGCAAATGCCCACCGGCCAGGCTATAGGGAAATGGTTTTACTGGATTTTAGCTTTTCAGATCCTGCTCTCCACTGTCATTGGATTTGTCGTCGGTTTCATTGCTCGCAAAGCTCTCAAATTCGCTGAACAGAAAGAAATGATTGATAAAGAATCATTCCTTGTTTATGCTGTTGCTCTTGCGGTAAGTGAATGTAGAAGGATGTTCAAAAGTTCTCTGACATCATACTAAACAAGTTCATTTCAAAATGACAGCTGTTTCTCACAGGAACCGTCTCTATTATTGGAAGTGATGATCTACTAGCGTGCTTCATTGCTGGTAATTCCTTTACTTGGGATGATTGGTTCCGCAAAGAAACCGAAAATGCCCATATGGCCGAAGTAGTGGATGTGTTACTCAACTTGTCAATGTTTGTGTATATTGGTGCAACAGTAGTAAGTTGTCAACTTCCTTACCAACATGTTTAGTATAGACAAACGTAAAACTAACATCTATAATTATCCTAGCCATGGAATTCTTTCACTGACTCTGCCTTATCATTGTCGTTATGGCGGCTGTTTGTACTCGCGATCTTAGTGCTTCTATTGAGACGTCTTCCCATCGTTCTTGCAACCTACAAATTTGCACCGGCAATTCATAATTTCCGAGAAGCTCTCTTCACTGGATGGTTTGGTCCTATTGGTGTTGGTGCACTTTTCTATTATACCGTAGCTATTGAACAGTTTACTGAGGATGGCCCAGATGCCCACGCAAGAAGTGTAGTGAAACCAATCGTGTACTTCATGATCTTAGCATCCGTACTGGTTCATGGCAATACCATTCCCATGTTCTACTTGGGATCATTTGCAACTCGCACTCTCACCCGCACCAGCTTTTCCAGCTCTGGTACAAATTCAGTATCTCGCCTTCCAAAACTTGCGTTCGGAACAGATATTTTCTCGCGACATAGCAAGGATAAACACAATGTATCGGCAACCCGAGACGGTGTAGCGATTACCCGGGATGCTAACGATGTTCCACTCGATGTATCACACCCACCCAAGCAAACTGCTATCACCATTATCACTCCTGATAACATACGAACCAAGCCGAACATGACGCACAGCGAATCGGCTCCCAGCTTTAGTGGTGGCATGGTGGCGCAGAATAAGAACGCCGAAGGTTCTTCGTCTCGACTTGTTACTGAGCAATCCAATCGCGAAGAAAATCTGCATGCCGGGTTGGCTGATAGCCCTGCTCGAAATTCCAGTGAGAGTTTAGACGACATCATATAATTCACATTTGAATCTATCATTTATCTGTTTCTCATATATCCTACATTTTTTTTCGTGTATCACATTGTATTTGTACTTTAACTGTTAACCATTTCCATACAAGATAAAAACTTTTGTCATTACATCGTACCCCATCATCGAACGCTTAGTACGAAACATTTGTCAAACCTAGCTTCGTGGCTTTAGTATAAGCGCCACTGTTGATGAAGTCTCAACTTAAGCACGTTGTGTTTTTGCGCAATGACCTTCCACTGCACGTTCGTACATCGTTCTCAGTCATTCGTTGACGGCCATTTTTGTTCTCGAGAAAATCCCGTGGTTTTATTTTCCTCCAAGCTCAATTAACGACTAAAGTAAAAATCACGATATTAGATATGCGCTTACATTTTACTAAAACTATTAACAACTAATATCACATTAGATCATTCCATTTGTTGGTGCATCTGCTCCTCCTCCATCTCGTAGTCGCCATCCATTTCCAGATCACCTTCGGCTACATCTTCCACAGATGCTTCTTGATACTGTTGGTATTCAGCTATCAGATCCTGCATATTGGACTCAGCTGAATAACAACATTTGAGTTATCTTAAAACATGTGCATATAAAGAAAAACCACTCATGACATAACATACCTTCTGTAAATTCCATTTCATCCATACCCTCATCAGTATACCAGTGCAGATAGGCTTTTCTCCTAAACATTGGAGTGAATTTCTGGTTGGCGCGCTTAAATAGAGATTGAATGGAGGTGCTGTTGCCAATGAATGTAGCAGATTGGTTCGTGCCAGCAGGAGGAACGTCACAAAGACTGGTCTTCACGCCATTAGGAATCCATTCAACAAACCAGCTTGAATTCTTTTGCTGGACCTGTTGCATGGTTGTTTCAACTTCTTTGGAAGATATGTTACTGCCGCGAAAAATGGTAGCGGCTGTCAAATATCTACCGTCATGAGAGTCGAAGAGTGTCATCATGTTTCTTTTATCAAACATTTGCGTTGTTAAATCGCGAACGGATTGTGCTGAATATTTCGAAGAAGCAAGTGCTACAAGTGGTGCAACACCGACCATGAAGAAATGCAGGCGTGGAAAAGGTACTGCAACCAACGAGAGTCAATATTTCTTTTTGGTAAAATTGCATGCTTGGAAGTGGTGAAAGATTAAAATGTATGACAATTTTATACTAGGTGAGAACTTACCCATATTGACGCAGAGTTTGCGCAAGTCAGCATTCAACTGACCAGGAAATCTCAGTGAGGTGGAGACTCCAGACATAACAGTAGCAATCAACTTGTTAAGATCATTGTAGTCAGGAGTTTTGATCTTGAGAGTGTTTTGGCAGATAGAGTACAAGGCTTCGTTATCAAAGCAGAATGTGGCATCACAGTTTTCCACAAGCTGATGTACTGTCAAGGTCTCATTGTATGGTTCCACAACAGTATCAGATAGTTTCGCGGATGGGAAGACAGAGTAGGTGCTGAGCATACGATCTGGATATTCCTCGCGAATCTTAGACAATAAAAGTGAGCCTAGGCCAGAGCCAGTACCACCACCAAGGGAATGAACAAGTTGAAAGCCTTGAAGGCAATCAGCACTTTCAGCTTGCTTACGAACAACATCCAGAATGGGCTCGATAAGTTCAGCACCTTCAGTGTAGAAACCTTTCGCCCAAGAATTACCAGCTCCAGAATTCGCGTTGATGAAACTCTCAGGGTGAAATAAATGGGCTAGTCTACTGGAGCGGATAGCATTCATTGTTTGAGGCTCTAAGTCCACCAGAACAGCTCTGGCGGAAGTGGAAAATCAAGATCAGCACGCAAGACTTCTTCTTATTTCCAAAGATAAACTGCATGTTTACCTCGGTACATAATTTCCCGATTGACCTTCGTTATAATAGACGTCAATGCGCGCTAGTTCTTCAGGATTGTGTCCTACATGTACTCCGTTCTCATCGATTCCTGTAATAGGAAATGCGGTTGGTTACCTCCCTATTAGTCGCTGGTTGTCATTTTGATACATATTCAACAAAATACATACCGTGCTCCTGACTAATGGTTTCCCAAAATTTGCTACCGATCTGTATTGTTTAATAGTGTGTACAGTGATTCAACATGATTGAATAAGTAAAAATTGAACTCCGACAGCATTGACAGCCTACGTTTGACAGACCGAGCATTCAGAGATCCGTCAGAGTACCAACCTGATTACCACATTGACCTATGACCAGGAAGATTTAGTCACGTATCATTGAAAAATAAAGACGCTGAAAGAATTTCATGCATTACCAACTTGCAAATGAATGATTTCTCTCATTATGAGTTTCGTAGGCGAACAGTAAGAAACAATGCAAAAAGCATGACAGCGATTTTCAGAACAAAATTGCGTAGAATTCAGACTCAGTTGAATTCAGTAAAACACTTAAGGTTTTTACTAAAATACTGTTGTACGTACGGTATGGTACACATGTCTATATGAAAAGAAACAATCTACTTAAGTCAGCAAAAATCAGCTGAACATATTTTCCAATGAAGAAGCGAATCGTAATAGCCCAGTCAAGACAAGGTGCTATGCTTGGCCATAGGTTTCATATTCAACGCCATACTGAACAACAATAAAAAATTTGAGCCAAATGCGGAGGTTTCACATCTCAAGGCTTCTGAGCGCAACCTTGACCTGCTGGGCCAGATGTATGTCCAGCTTTCATAATGCAAAACAGTGTGGATGTCAAGAACGATGTCTAAGGTATATATTGAATAATGTAAAAGCATAATTGATTTGAGTAGGGTGTAGCTGATACTGTGACATAGTATAGATATTATAAAAAAGTTGAAAACCAAAGCGTATGTACAGAATGAAAAGACTATTCGAGAGCTATATAATCATTCGAGAGAATCATGACGGATTGCATCTATAACATCCCTTCCAGATCTTTTCTGGTGATGACACCTCGCCAACGATTACATTTGTCGACAACGGGTAATATTGATAGATTTCCCTCTCCATCGTTGCTTTCAATAAGTGCCAGTGCTTCGGATGCTAGTTGGTCGCTATTGCATGTAACGGGTTGTACAGACATAACATCGCGAGCATGTATTTCAAAAATGCGTTCACGAAATGCCAGTGCTCGACGGATGTCACCTGTTGTAATCACTCCAAGAATTTTGCATTGGTCGGCAGTCTGCTTGGGTTCCAAAAGAGCTCGTTCCAGACTCCCTTCATTCATAATATCTTCGCCAGTCAGAGGCGGAGTGGCCGGCGGAGTCATTGGTTCCATGACAATAACTCCGCGACCTTTTGGTTTCTTGGTCATCTCTGTGATAACGACATCCAGCGGAGCAGTGGCTTCGACCGTTGCAACTTGACTAGGCTTGATCATTACATCCTTCACTTTGAGTAATAGCCTTCTTCCCAACGAGCCTCCCGGATGATTAAGTGCAAAATCGTCTTTTTGAAATTTCTCTAGTTGAGCTAGAGATAGGGCAAGCGCATCCCCGAGTGCCAAGGCCAGTGTTGTCGACGAAGTTGGTGCAGGTAATTCTGAAGATGCCTCGCCTTTGACATAGCCATCTATCCAGGCATTACACTCTTTGGCCAGATTGCTCTTTGAATTTCCACCCAAACCAATGATGGGTACATTTCGATGTCGTAAACTAGGTATGATATTGAGTAATTCGTCTGTGTTTCCAGAATAGCTTAATGCTAGCACGCAGTCGTTAGATTGTATCAATCCCAAGTCTCCGTGTAATGCTTCGATTGGATGCAAAAACACAGCGCAACTTCCGGTTGATTGTAGTGTTGCGACTATCTTCTCTCCAATCTTTCCCGATTTCCCTACTCCAGTGACTACAACTTTACCACCGCTGTTAAGAGACTGACGTATGTAGTACAGGGCTGTGTTGTATCCGTCCCTAGCTGTTGAGTCTTGAACATCCAAACGATTAGCTGCTTCCAATAAGGCCTGTGCTTCAGCTCTGAGTACCCGAGATGCCTCGGGGGCCATTTCCTCCAATTTGAATATATTCATAGCCTTGAATTGTTGCTGTACCACTCAGGTGATGTAAAAAGAGAAAGCAAACTGAGATAGAAGGTGAAGTTGAGAAGAGAAAGAACGATTGAAGCCAGGGCCTTTTCATGTGTGTATCATTTTAAGCGGTCGATGCGGAGTCATGATTCTGCAATTAAAGAAAAAAAAAAAATATCGAAAATAAAATCTGGCAGTCATAGGCGCACTAATTTGATTTTCAGCTTTGTGAGCTCCCAACATACACAATATCTATTAATGACGCGATATCGCTTTGAAAATCGCCATTGTTCGTGTTACTAAAATTTGGAAGGGAAACGTTATTTTCAAAGAGATTTTGATGATATAGACATTCCTTTTGTTACGTACAAATGAGTTTATAATTTTTTTCGATGAATTGGCAAAGCGGGCCGATTCAATCGGGAAGTGCCATCATACAAAGGTATTTGAAACATTATAAATTGTTTCATGTGTAAACAACGTCGACAACGCTCGATTGTTGGGATTTACATGAAATTGGGAGAGACGTATGTATGTTATTGTTATTGTTATCTACCAGAACCATCGGTATGCAATCGTCCGTATTCGCCTGCCAATAAATAATTTATCCGTGGCTCTCACCCAATACGATCAGCCCTTTTTTAACCGATCATCGTTTACACGCTTTTGAGGCCAGATTTGGATCTGAAATCATCGTAAAATCGTAACATTTCGGGTGTGATGCGTTTCTTCATGGATCGAATCGCTCTGACAAAATGCTCCTGTCGTATCTGGGGGTTGGTTTTTGTGTTAGATAGGCTACAATCGGCACCCGATGAATTAGCGGTTACACAATGATAAACTCACAAATTGCGCATCGATATCGTCTTCCATTGCTTGCAATGCTGCTTCTTGGCATATGGCTACCACTTCTGCTCCGGAGTATCCGTCAGTCTGGTTCAGAAAAGAAGTTAGGAATCGGAGCACGTTCTCTAGCAATAATACCTTTCCGCTTTCTCGGAGGGGTCGTCCACTTACCTTGAGAGCTAATTCTTCGGCGTTAACCTCTTCACTGCATTGGATCCTTCTTAATTGTAGCTTGAAAATTTCCCGCCTTGATGCCAAGTCAGGCGGATTGACGTATAATATTCGATCAATTCGCCCAGGTCTAAGCAAAGCTGAATCCTATAATGCTTTTCAGTCAATAGGTTAAGTTAACCTTCCGCTTTATCAGATTTAAACCTACGATGATATCCGGGCGATTGGTGGCAGCTACCACGGTCACATTCACCAACGGTTCTATTCCATCCAACTCATTCAACAGCTGAGACAACACTCTGTCAGCCACCGAGGTACCGCCATCACCATCTGAACCTCTTTTGACAGTCAAAGCATCAATTTCGTCCTGCAGCAAAATAAATAACGTCAGCTCACGCAATAGGCATTGTTTAAGCAGCAAGTGGCTGTCATATGACGTACAAAAAAAATGATGGATGGCGATGCAGCACGAGCCTTACGAAACACCTCGCGAACAGCTCTTTCGGATTCACCGACCCATTTGCTGAAAAGCTGGAAAGTCTGTTAATCCTTTGAGCCGGTTTAATCAAAACATCCTTTGATATTACACACCTCTGGTCCTTTAACCGCAATAAAGTTAAGCCCAGCTTCGGTAGCCAGTGCTTTTGCCATAAGTGTTTTACTGCATCCCGGTGGTCCGTACAAAAGTACACCTTTAGGCGGACGAATGCCCATTCTTGCAAATGCTTCTGGATGCTATGGCTGTGTTAATTGCCGCAATTTTGATCAATCGTAAGAATATATCTTGCTTTACCTTCAATGGCCATTCAACTGATTCCTTCAGTTTGGACTTGACGTCGGCTTGGCCACCGATGTCACTCCAATACACTTTAGGTACTTCCAACATAATCTTGAAACGATAAAGGACAGGTAGAAGAAAGATGAGCTATAGATGTTGGACAATTACTCTTGCACACTGCACTAACCTCACGCATAGCACTTGGTCTAATTTCTGACATAGCCTCTTTCATGTCCTCGTATGTGACTACGACATCTACACAATACATATGTTGTTAAGTGGAAGCTAAACCAAGATAATAATCTAGTACGTCGACCCACCTTTAATATCTCGAGTCTTGCTCCATTTTTCGTCAACTGAGAGTCGGTTTATACACTTCAAACCAGCTTCGCGACATACTGCTGAAAGATCAGCGCCAACATAACCATGGGAAGTTGCCGCTAGAGATTGAATATTGTCGTCATCCAAACTATGGGGTATATTGCGTAGTATAGTAGAAAGTATGGAATAACGAGCCATAACATTTGGAATGCCTAAGTAATTTGATAAGCTTACACTACTAGATCATACATTAACACGTGGAGAAACACATACCGATCTCAACCTCTCGATCGAAACGCCCTGGTCTTCGTAAAGCTTCATCCAGAGCATTAGGTCGGTTAGTTGCTCCGATTACAACGATGCCAGGTCGATTTTGCGTTTGTGACGAGTCAGTGACACCGTCCATTAGAGTCAGTAACGTAGCGACCACTCGCTTTTCCATTTCTCCAGGAGCCTAGCTCATATAAGGTACACATAAGCTTGATTTCATACATGCGTATATAAGTATGAGATTCACATACCTCGTCTCGCTTCGGGCATAAAGCATCTATCTCATCGATAAATATAATCGACGGTGACCTTTCCTCAGCTTCGTCAAATATGTTGCGAAGCTGTAAATAAGCAAAATCAAAAATCATCAATATACAGTGAATGCGCAATTCAAGCAGATGAATGTATACCTTTTGCTCTGTTTCTCCATAAAATTTACTTAAGATTTCAGCACCATTCACTAAAATGACATGCGCCTTCGTCTCGCTGGCAACGGCTTTAGCAATGAGCGTTTTGCCTGTACCTGGTGGTCCGTACAATAAGACGCCACGTGGCGGTCGTACGTCTGTGAAGCCTCTTAGTAGTGAGCTTAGATCTGTATAAAGCCAGCCTGAACGAATCTTACCATATTTTCGGAAAAGCTGGGGGTTCTGCAAAGGGGTCTCTATCATTTCTCGTACAATACGTATTTGTTCTTCTAATCCACCAATGTTGCTGTACGCCACTTTTGGTTGGGTGGCTCTTTCGTCGTTCAGAGAAGCCTCAGAAATGATCGCAATTTTGGTATGTCCAGACATAGTTATGACGGTTCCTGCATCCTGTAAGATATCCGCATTCGCATCTTTGGCTTGCTTCACCTGGAATCTGAGTGGTTGTCCTCTATATGAGATCTCTATTTCTTGCCCAACGATAGCATACTTCAAATCAACTAGAATCCATGTAAGTAACCAATCACAAATTGATTAACGGCATAAAAATGGATTCAAAGCATTTACGTAGATATTCCTGTAGGTAGATGACAAGTTCGGTATCCACCGCATTGAGCCCAGCAACGGCAGGTGATAAATACATTGTCTTCGCAATGACTGGCGGATCCATTATTCGATCTATCTGGACAGAATCACCAACCCGTAGCCTCGCATTCTTTCGAAGTGCAGAAGGGACGCCAATGCCTGCCGAAGGTGTTACTCTGTGTCATAATAATGGCAGGGCAAACCTCAATTGGTCGTAGACAACTTACTCCCACCTTGTAAGGAAAAATCAACCCAGGCTTCTCCTATGCAGAACTCTGTCTGTGGACCCACATATTAGCTTAATACCATAGTATCTAGTTTAGTTCTAGTACCCTCCAAAGCTTTTTTTTCTTTATCATACCTTGACTTGTTGGTCATTGGTGTCGTCGTGCACAAGAACTACTTTGAGTACGTCTGCCACGGATATTCCGAGATTCGTCAAAGCCTCCAAATGCAACATGACGCGATGTGGTGCACATTTCGTGGACGCAGCCTGCACTCGATACTTCATTTATGTTCAGGATTGGGCAATATATCGTACTAACGCTGATTTTTGACGGCTACTTTTTTTTTCAAGGCTTACAGTAACGTGGAGATTGAATCTTTCTTATGACAGTCTTCAGCAAATGTAAGAACACACCTTACTCTTTCAAGACTACCTGTAAAGTCTGTTCCCTTATAAACGGAGATACCACAATTGTATTGAAATAGCATACTCAATTAGTGATGCATCGCTATATGAATGCCGATACTGTCTTGTCGGGGACGCTTCGTACAAAGAAGGTTTCCCCACATACTGTAAAACATGACCATAGGTATGCACCGACAATTCCATTTAAACGTCACTCGAATCCGTCACGTTAAGCGTTTCACAGCTGTACTTCGTCAATTGTTTAATATGAGGTTAAAGTAGATATTTGGTATAAATTAAATAAATAAAAAAGTTTCTATGAGAGGGACAAGGAGTCGTTGGGCATCCTTGCAACTGATTCAATCGCAGCACAGTCACACGTGTGGGCTTTGGCTGCAGAGACAAAATCCTGAAACCTTTATTCAGCCTGACGAAGTTACAATTCATTATCCTCTTTTTACGTCCAGTTCATACCAATCGGCACAAACGTATTCGAGTCAGTGCCAATCTTGAATAAAAAAGGTGGACGGAATAACTGAGACAATCCTCGTCATATTCAAGCCATAGACTGCTCAGCCTCGATTAGTTACCAGCCCTCGAATCTGTAGCTAAACGAAGGCTACAGATGAGTTCAATACCCCAATACACACAAGCAACTTATAACCACCTGACTATTGACACTTCTAAAACCGCAACGCAAGCGCGATTACCACCATCGCCGCAATTCTCAGTTCAGCAGCGTCAGAGTCAAGACACAAACTATGTAGGAATAACTATAAGCGAGGATCCCCCGCCAGACTTTGCCCCTTCAAGACATCCATATCATGGTTTTGATGATGGAGATAGAGTCAATCATCCAGAAAATAACGTCAGCCGGATAGCCCCGTCATATAAAGGACTTGCTCCAGCCAAAAGACGGCCAGCTAAACGAATATCGGATAGCTCCATCTACCAATCCAATATCACCATGCCGCCACTGGGTCCACCTTCCATCGCAACAATTCATGAAAAAGGATCTTTAGCACGGCATTCTTCTGCTAAGCTTCCTTCTATCAATGCCAATCTATCCCATCTACCACCAGCTCCCAAGCTTTCACATTCTGCTACTATATCTGGATACGACAGGCAAGCAAGCAAAGACTTTAGCCAGCATACCCAGTCACCTCAATCAAAAACAAGCGCATTCATACCATCTCCTCCCACACAATCAACGTCCTCTAATCATGTTGGCTCGCCTTCTTCTGCCTCCTCTCTTTCGCCTTATTCACAGCGTGACTACAATAAATTGAAAGGATATTCAGGCTCAGCGCACTCAGCTCCAGAACGCCAGTACACGCTGGGATCCATGCTTAGTCCAGCGCCGTTTGACCTTTTTCAAGACGATCATTGGAAAAGGAAGGACAATAGTGCGTTTAGAATTGTATCATCAAACACACCACGTTCGAGGGTATCAATGAATCCACCGTTCCGAAGATCAGATCTAAAACCACCATCTGCGCGGCCGAAGGTATTGTCGATTTTCAGATTGTATGGCGTTATGCGCGGGTTTGGGCAATTGTATGACTAATCTTTCATATAGCCACTGGTTGCCTTGACCACGCAAATTAGTGATGTTTATGAGTCGGCGAACCCAAAGTTCAAATATAACGCATCCAGTCGACCACGACGAGTGCTGACGAAACCTAGCAAGCCAAGCAAAAACGATGGTAACGACAATGAAGATTATGATTATATTCTTTATGTGAACGATGTTTTAGGATCTGCAGATGGCCACAGGTTTGTATCTTATGCAGAAGTCTGCGGGGTCATTGGCAACGTTAATGATTATTAATGTTATTTCGCATTCCTAGCTACCTCATTTTGGACGTTTTGGGAGCTGGTACTTTTGGTCAAGTTGTGAAATGTCAGAACACCAAAACAAACGAAATTGTTGCTGTCAAAGTTGTTAAGAATAAGCAGGCATATTTTAACCAAAGCATGATGGAATTGGCTATTTTGGAAATCGTAAGTCGATATAGGATTAAATGGATACAGTGAATGCGCGCAGGCTAATGAATGGCCCTCTCTTCACTATGAACGCAGCTCAATGAACGCTATGATAAGATGGACAAACATCATATTTTGCGTCTGAAGGACACCTTTATCCACAAAAAGCATCTTTGCTTAGCCTTCGAACTTCTCTCTGTCAATTTATACGAATTGATTAAGCAAAATCATTTTCGTGGACTTTCAACAAATCTTGTACGAGTGTTTACCACTCAGCTTTTAGATGCCCTAACCATTCTCAACGAAGCGAAAATCATTCATTGCGACCTTAAACCCGAAAATATTTTGTTAATATCGTAAGTAACTTGCCACATCCGATCATTAAGCCAACTTTTACTTACGCCGCATCCACCAAACAGACTTGAATCTCCTGCCATCAAGATTATTGATTTTGGTTCTGCTTGTCATGAAACCCAAACTGTATATACCTACATTCAATCACGTTTTTATAGATCACCAGAAGTATTGGTTGGGCTACCATATTCAAGCTCTATCGATATGTGGTCATTGGGATGTATCGCAGCTGAACTTTACCTCGGCCTACCTTTATTCCCTGGAAGTTCAGAATACAACCAAATCTCCAGAATTGTGGAAATGCTGGGGTAATTGTCAAGACATACGGCAATCCGTTGCGCTTATGAAACATACTAAACTTATTGCTTTTCTATTCAATAGCGTACCACCTAATTACATGATTGAAATGGGAAAAAATTCAAAGAATTACTTTCACCGGTATACAGATGAATATGGTCAGAAACAGTATCGACTCAAGTCGATTGAAGAATATAGTCTGGAACAGAACAAGGACGAGCAACCATCTAAATGCTACTTTACCGGTACGACTCTTCCGGAGATCATCACTTCATACCCAATGCCACGACGTGCTTCTTTCACAGACAAAGAGATTGCTAGGGGTAAAGAATAAGCATTTTTTACTAGAAGTTATTATCGTCGTGGATATGTCATCTAACCCGAGTTTCTGACTTTGTTTCAAAAAAAAAAGAGGAACAGAATAGACTGGCCTTTATTGACTTCTTGAAAGGTCTCTTGAATTTAAATCACTTTGAACGATGGTCTCCTCAGCAAGCAAAACAACATCCTTTTATCACTGGGGAACCTTTTCTCGGACCATTTGTGCCTTCCATGATACCAAAAAGTAATCCTGCTACCCCAAGAACATCGTCCAACGAATCATCCCCTCTTGGCTCGAATTCTTACAAAAGTCCTATTCTTCCTGTTTCTGCCTCATGTCAAAGCCAATCCTCGCAATATGACAGTCCCACTATTCAAGATCGAGGCGGCCAAATGTTTTTGAACTTGTCGCAATCACCATCACGGCATTCATATCAAGGACTTACCTCTGAAGGAAATCTTTCCAAGAGTATTCCTAAGACTAGCGCATTAGGCGCACCACCGCTTAATACGTCGTACGTACAAACCGGAAGTTCTATACTGCCACCTACTCAAACCGAGCTGAAAGATCAACAGCATCAACATACCCAGCCAAACAGTGGCCTCGGCATAACACCTCTGTACGAGAATTCTCTTAGCCATGGCTACCAAGACCATTCTAATCAGCAGTGGTACTCTGGAATGACTCAGAGGAGCGGCCCTTCCGAGTATCCTCAAATTTCTACTCAGGCAAGTGTACCTTCACACGCGAGCCATACTGGATATTACGATTTGGGCAGCGTGGTCACCATCCAAGAGCCTTCTAGAGACATTGCCAAAGCTCCTATCGGTACAGACGATAACCACATTCGAAGTAACGTACCTAACGTTACTCATTCTTCGTCAAGGTGGAACGACGTTGCAGATCTTGAGAGAAACGACGCCGAAGATTATGGACCTGGTGCTCCAAGAGGCAGTGGCAGCCTTAGTGCAGGTACTATCAGCAACGTTGCAAGCTTTCATCGACGAGTGCGCAGACCATACAATCAACAATATCAAAGACAAGATCTGGAATGGGATGGCAGCGGTGGTTTATCTCCTGATGAGTCTTATGGTGCGCAGAACGTTAGACCCTCGAGTTATCAAGACCAGAGTGATCAGTCCTGGACTATGGCGTGATGTTTTAAGTGATGGCAGTCGATTACACCATTTCACACCAAAATTGAAAAAATTAAATAAAGAGCGATATCAAGATTTGTTAGTGAACAAAGATGTAGTGGGCTCGTCTATCTACCGACGCACACGTATGCAGCATGTGTAAATTGCCAAAATTTGTCATACTTGGTTATACTGTTTATTGCGACGCACAACCATAGGAGAAGGGAAAAAAAAAATGCAAATAATTTTGACAATGTAAAAAGCGAGAACATAGAACAGCCGAAAACTCAAAAATATTGGATTTATGCCATCTTCAAAATACCGGCAGACATTAACTTGCGAATATTTGCTGCAACCTGAGGGTTCTTAAGATGTTCTTGGGCAGCCTTGGGATCCTGTTGCATTTGTTGCAAAATCTGCTGCATAGCTGGGTCACCGAGAATGCGCTGAACTTCTGGATCTTGAGCAGCGCGCTTCAAGACTTCTTCTTGTGATTCCTCGCTATTGTCATTACCGCCACTGTAAGGGTTCATGGCGGTGTAGGCCTTCATCAATTGTTGTTGAATTTCTCTTGAGCTCTTGCCTTCTGGATCATAGTTTTGTGCCTCCTTGCATGACTCTATGCACTTTTCGTATTCCTTACGGGCAAATTCGATTGCTGCCTTGCGTAGATGACCGCGAACTGTAAGGTGAAGAAAATCATCATGACTTTTTAGCAACATCAAACTAAGCCATTGAGTAATGTGTAGAATCTCCCTTGGTACTTACTGAATGTTGGCTCAATTTCGATACACTTCTCAGCATCCTTCAAGGCTTCGTTGAGGGCCATAAGCTTAAGGTAGCATGCAGCACGGTTAGAGTAGGATTTGTAGTCTTGCTCATTACGCTTGATAGCTTCAGAGTATTTTGCGACAGCACCGGGCCAATCGTTCTTCTTGAAAAGCACGTTTCCTTCTTCTCTTGCCTTTTCACCAATCTCCGGGTTGAAATATGCCTTCTTTTCAAGTTCCTTCTTGAGCTTCTCGGCTTCACGCAGCTTAGTCAAAGTTTCGGGGGTGCGATGCTCGGTCAATGACTTCTCATAGAATCGAATGGCTTGGTCGATTTTTTCAAGCTTGAAATAAGAATTTCCAATACGTTGGTAGGCTCTGTTGGGTAATATGAACAGCTATGAATTATATATATCGGGGTCGCCCTTGACAGCAAAGTCAAACTTACCTTGCAATCAGCTTGTAGTCAGCTCTTTGGTCACGACCAATATCAACGGCTTGTTCACAAGTCTTTATGCAATCCTCAAACTTTTCTTGCTCAAATAGGACAGCTAGTGATTTGAAGGTAAATGTCAGTGTTATGCATGTAGGTATCTGATCAAGTAAAGCTGCTATGATGCTTACCAGCCTTGTTGGTCAAGAAAGTCATGTTGGTACTGTCCAATTCCCATGCCTTGTCATAGTGTTGCAAAGCTTCATCGAAATCGCGCTTCTTATAAGCGGCGTTTCCGAGCTCTTTTTCGGCTAAAGCTTGTTGCTTATGATCGTCAGACATAATTAACTTTTTGTTCTTTTACAAGAGAGGTGGTTTGCCGCGTGAGTCGCAGTAAATTTCTACGTGCAAGATTTCTGGAAAGTTCCTGTGACGCACAATTTTCGACGCCTTTCTACCCAACCATAAAATAATTAGAGCCCTTTTGAGCCCTTTCAAGTTTATTACCAGATCATGAAGAACTTCTTTCGTAGCAGATGATCTTTTAAATAGTTACTCTTATGGGTTGTATAAAAGAGTCATGAAACATAAAATAATCTTTCGTCGTGCTCTCGTTTGTGGAGTGCAGGCATTATCACAATGATTGATAGCTAGAATCGAAGCAGTGAAAAAAAGAAAAAAAAGACCTACAATAAAACTGTCCTCTGCTGCGTTTAATGAAGCATTTATATAGACACTCTTCGTATGTCTTATAACGGTTGCTATGAAGCCAGGAGAATACATCGCATCTGCCGAATAGCTACAGAAAGTGCTTTGCGTACTCAATAAAAGCATAAGGTGCCTGCTGTGGCCAAGGCTGTTCCTTCGAATTCATGCTGACATCTCACGCTAGTTCATATTCTGCATCTTTACGTGGATTTCAGTGCTTTGAGAAATGTGCAGCAACGCGATCGTTCCAGATTGCACAAATCTCGCTATGCTACGCATTGAGAAGCACTTGCTCTTTTACATCTTCCGAATACTATTGCTTTATTACTGAGCTCTCATCACAATCATACACTGCAAAGAGGCTTGAGTCTGAATCTAGCTCATTGTTGAAAGCGGATTAAGCGTGGAAAATTTAGTCAATGTGTCCCAGATCATCCGTTACATATGATGCTAGTTCCACATAACTCCCCATAGGCATGCTCTTCCTTTGGCACCGGTGTAATCATTTTTCATAACTACTTAAAATCATATCAAATGTAACAAGTAAAGCAAACGAATTTATTTTCAAAAGGTGAGGGAAAAACGATATTGGTAACGATGTAGGAAGGGATGTTGTTGAGTAGGGTGATCAAATCACTGTTCTCCAGGCTTCTTAGCGTTACATGCCACAATCTTTACTCTTTCCGTTGTAATAGTTTCTGTTTCTAATTTGGCATTCATGGAGTCCACAACAAATGTCCATACATCGTCGCAAAATCGGTATGTGTCCAAGTGACCCTATAAACTCGTTTAGAATGATATGAAGATCGACGGAAGGAGTACGTAAGAATTCAGTCGTAAAAGCTCACCTTGAAAACAGCTTTGCTTTTGACCTTACTGGTAAGCGCTTCTGTTATACTCTTGTCAAATGTAACCAACACCTTCATTGCTAGTTGAGGGTTGATGTGACCGCTTTGAATGAGCTCGTCCAAGGAATCGGTCAATGCCATTCCAATGCTATACAAAATTAGTATAATTACCGAAGGCGCACAAAAATCAAGTAACTTGACAAGGAGTTTTACCTGCTACGCCGATAAAGCTCATAATAGTGTGAAGTAGACATGACGAGGTGTAACCTGAAGAGCTCTTCCGCAGCAGAAAGACTGTCCTGCTTATAAAGTATTTATACTTGTCACGTGATCTCTTGACAGCAGGAATTGTACCATGTTCGATGACTTCAGTGTCCCTTTGTCCCTTGGTAGCAAGTAATGGCGCAGAGAAGCGCATCGAGATTACTTGATCTTGATCCTGTGGATCACCCTGATAAACATGATGAGGTAGATACAGAATATAAATTTTATATTTAGTAAAAGGCTCTATTCACTGACAATGCTCCTATAGGAAATGGGCAAGTGCTATGAGGAGTTCCTGATCAATACCAGTGCAATGTCCACCAATGAGTTACATGCGTATGTTCACGATACTGTAAGTTGCTTTAGATTTATTGTTATAGGATCTTTACTATCGCAAATGGCACTAAAGTGTTTGTATTAGGCTGCCGTACGCGCCACTATGCTGGCTTTACTATACTCTGTATTGACAGATCGAACGAAGGCTGATTCCGTATGTATTTCGATAAATACGTCAGTAAACTAAAATACTATAACCTCAACTGATTGCTATTGGCGCTACAGGACTTTGAGCTGCTCAGAGTTTCAAACCGAGATAACTATGGAACGATCCTACGAGAATTAGAACATCTAATCGAAAGTCCATATTTTCCTCGAATGAAAACCGACGTACGGCGACAGGTAAGAACTATAGGAGACTTCTTTTTAATATGTCATTTGCAAAGATTGAGCATGTTTCAATATTTTCATTAGTTGTTCTGGATGGTGGATAGACTCACGGCTGCCAACGTCGCAGGAGTTGAAACTCTACATCTACAATTGCTCAGACAAATTCCCGGAGGAGATATCTCGCAATCGACAGCTACACTTTGCAAACTACTGTTGGACCTCTGCGAAACCCACAGGTCTGTTTTACTAACTCAAATCACCAATATAGCTACTTAATTCTCAACTGCTACAACTTTCAGGACATGGGTAGAAGGCAGAACCAGAGTACTTCACGCGTACGTCTATATTTTCCTTCGAACTATAGCGGACCATAAATCAGCAAGCCTAAGAGAGCTTCAGCAATCTGAAATATCCCTTATTATCAAGTTATTGCGGCATAACGTTTGTATCAATTGACTACACCTATGCTACGTACGTTCATCAAACTAATGAGTCTGCTGATAACTAGTGGCTGTCTTGTTGTTCGATGGGAAGAGACCTTATAAGAGCGTTACAAGACGTATCGAAAATACCGGAAATTGCCAGCCTCTGGGATGACATCTTAAATCGACCTCAATCACTACATAAATCTTTCGATGGTATGCAACGATATCCTGGGAGTTGCATTATCATTTAACGAGGTACTAATGTAATTTCCAAAGGCATGCTATCAATACTTCAAACACAGACGCCACCAGAGTTGCTGAGATTTCGCCTAACACCTCAGATGGAGATGTCCTTGCGATGGATTTTTGATAAGGTGCATATGCGAATCATGCGTGACATCCATAAGAGGCGGTGTATTCTAATTCCATTCGTACTTAGCTTACTGCAAGTAACTATCAGCGGAATTTGGAATGGTTCGTTAAGCGATGGTTGTCATCTCCTGCGACCGAGCATTTTTATGCCGATGTCATTAGATACATTGTAGCGGGCTGGTATCCATCCAACGAGCTTTTACAGAGCAACAAAGTTCCCAGATACGCCATCATCGGAACGTTATTTACGTACATAAAGGTACGAACACAGCAGAATAACATATTTTTGTGGCATTGCTAGTACTAATTATGTAAACAGAGTCATGTTACGGCTGCGAATGTCAAGCTATCTCTCTTTCTGGATTGGCTATTTTTTGCCGATGACTCCAATATTATGCTCATTGGTAGGCATCGTGAATAATCTCTCTATTTCAAAGGAAGAAATGGTTCACTAAAATCTTGATTTCATAGAGCCGGCTATGTTGCTTATGGAAAGATCCATAAAGTACCACCCATACATAACGGGGATGCTGGTGGAGTTTCTAAGGTTCGCTGTGGACGACTACTATCCTGCACTAAGTGGTCACATAATCAAATGTGTTGGGACAGGCATGAAGAATTTGTTGAGGAAAGGAGTTATAAAGTTAGTAGCATATTGCAATTGACCACAAAGCTAAACATTGTGACTAATCTCTTCTTCAGACGACTCACAACCATATATAACTACCCTACTATAGATGATGTAACTAAGCGACAGCTGATGGATATGTTTGCAAGCTCATTAGATTTCACTTCCAATTCTAGACAGCCGACACCGCAGCAAGGAGATTCCATATTACAAATCTCAAATGAGGATAATGTCATGACTGATGTAGCATATATGAACAGTGAAACCAAAGCGAACAGTAGAGCTACTACACCTGCAGCACCTGAAGGCGAAGACCAAGAACTGGATGAATACCTGTATGGCACGAATACCATGATTGAAGAGAACCATGTTGTGCTGGATACAACTGCTGGGGATCAGATCATGGATATGAATGCTTTGTCAGCTATTAACGATTTACCTCACACTGAGTCTGATCGTGATACTATGGAAACACCTGATGCGCACACACCTGGTATACACACTCCAGATCCAAGTCGAAAGTCAGAAGAGATGGATACCGCCAGCACGCATGATTTAAGCGCTGATAAAATTTCAGATTTTGAAGAGGACGAAGATTCAGACGATGATGTGGATAGCCGTGAACAAAATCAGCAATCATTTTGGATGTTTGCTGATCTACTACCTCGGTTTCAAGACGCTTCAAGGACAATTAAATCAGCATGCCAAAATAACGACATCGATGAAATTCAAGCGCATTCGTACATTTGTAAGAAAAATCTCCGGGAGATACTGAACATATATTTGAAGATGGTAAGTAGAAGACTCTATATCCGAGAAACAAGAGTTTTGGAGACTGTGACCAACTCTAATTTATTATTGAAAGGCTATTCCTGCAAAAAATCTTGTACCAAACCTTGCGAAATACATTCGCGATGGCTCCTGTAGCAAGTACGTTAACAGTGGAAGATCAGAAAATGATCAGTTTACATTAGATCAAGAAGAAGCTGTTCAAGTGGAAACAATGGATGCCATGGATCTGTTATTTGTCACGATTTGGTCCTTATGGGATTCCGAATCGCAAAGAAAAAAAATGGTGGATTTTATTTCCTGCGTTATGCATCTTTCAAGACGAGGTGGAAAGCACTTAGTGGGAATGCGATGGTGGTCATTCTTTTCTCGGTACGCGAATTATTCATGTACTGCCTTGTAGCTAAATGTTATATCACTTCAAATTACTGACTCCGTGGAATATAGAGTGCTGCAGGCCGAGCAGCTATCTATAGCACCGTTGCTTCCAGAAATAGGCGAATCCATCTGCGAAGTGTACCAATCCATCATTTTGTCGAATCCAGACGTATCCACGGAGAGCATGAACGAAGAGCATTCAAACGAACTTCGATCCAAAGAGTATCTGGCTAAAGACTTACTGTCTTTGCAAGATTTCGATTTATTGGCTGTTCAGCAGGTCACTCCGATAATCTTTAAGTTCTTGCCCAGTCTCTGTGTTGGTAACAAAGAAATTATACGAACATTAGTGTCGTCACTCCTTCCGGACAAGGTAGAACTATCGATTACAGCAATGGGACATATGTTTACATGAAAACTGATTAGACCGCATGTCAATGTGACAGATATCGGTTCTTTCTAGCCAGCTCAGCTGCAAGTACCTACAACTATTTGGGAGCGAGGACCTGGGACCTATAATTGGTAAGTCGCTTTTCCGAATTGCTCATTGACCTCCATGACACATTACTTGACATCAAACACTTTCCTCAGTTCAGTCTCTTTCGTGGGAGACGTTTGAACAGATTGTATTTTGGCGATTGTTGCAAGCAGAAATCGGATACTGTGCAGATAAAATTGATAACTTGATGGATGCCATCGCCACCGAAAATGTATTGGCAATCACAGGTTAGTAGAGAATAGGCATGGCATCGCGTACATGACCAGTTACTGATTTTGAATATTATAGACATTCCCGAACTGCTTATTTCCTTACCAACAATAATTACAAGCATACCTCCAAACCCATCTGCAATACGCCATTTGATGTCAATGCTGCCGGAAGTAGCTAATATATCAAGGGACATCATATCTACAGTTGTAGAAATATTGAACCGATGGAAAGGAAGGTATCAAGAAGAACTTCGAGATGCCGTCATGGGTAGTCTCAAGGAGCTGGTATCAGCCATCAAGTCTGACCCAAATGATGCTGTGATCAAAGTTGGTGAGCACATCGCAACTATCTTTGTATCCTGGTGGAAATTGCAAGTGACTCCGGGTGAGTATCTTTACTGATTTCTGTACAATGCTCGGTTTAATTACTAATGTATGAATTTTTAAGACGAAAGCTTTTGGTCAAGAGCCTTGTTTTCACAGCTAATTATTCTGGGAGACCTTGTTCACAGCGAACTTCCTCCTGCATGGCGAGGTACAGTGTTTACATTTCATCATCTTAAAACTTGAATATTGTATTAACCATAGAACTTCGTAGTAGATACAAGTAAAAAGTCAAAAAAGAGGCAATCTATAGCAGTGTTTTCAGATTCAGAATAGATATAACTGGAGCCGTGTATATATGACAAAGTCCTAAAGATACCCAAAATGCGAAGTAATAAATTGTAAAAAAAAAAAAAAACTGAAAGTCCGACGCTCATGTTGCTGAAAGCGGGGAATCCCCCTGGCATTGCAACTTCTTCAGGATAATGTCGACAACCACGACCAAATTCAGATTCTTCAACAAACAATTTATAACTTCGCTAGATAGTACAATCAAATCTCGTATTTATGCAACACACTTGGTGCGAACACAAAGGCTATATGTGACGGAATCATCGGCAGCTACTGGTAAAACAAGTGCAACGACACCATCAGCAGGCAAAGACGGTTCGAAACCCAACAATGGCACACCTTGGACTACTGAAACGTATAAAGGTGTTCAACGCTTGAACTCCAGTCTTTCTCCGGTCGTATCTCGTCTTCAATATGCAACGGCAAGAATGAAAACGTTGGCAGAAAATGTTAACAATCCTCAGGAAGCGCTGCAAAAGGCGTCTACGGCGCTCAATGAGCTAACTGGATATACTCACATAGAAGATGTAAAGAAGAAGGTCTTGCATCAAGGTATGATAATTTATTAAATTGATACCAAGATGTTGTTCGATTACTAATTGTCAATAGCCGAGAGTTTTGAGTCTTGCCGTACAGAACTACGCAATTGTAAAGCGGCATATGAAGATGCCGTCGATGTTCGATCTAGTACCCAGAGAGAAATCAATGAACTATTGCAGCGGAAGCATACTTGGACTGGAGAAGACGTTACTCGATTCACCGAGCTTTATCGACTTGAACATTTACACTCACAGCAAGAGATGACAGCGAAAGAGAACTATCGTCAAAGTGAAAAACATATGGACCGCCAATACCTGGAATTAACCAGAGCGATAATGGAACGTTATCACGAAGAACAGCTTTGGAGTGACAAAATTCGAAGTGTCAGTACCTATGGTACTTGGGCACTCATGGTTGTCAATCTTATCCTATTTGTTGCAGTACAAACTGTGTTCGAACCATACAAGAGAAAGAGACTGACAGATAGGTTTGAGGATCTTTTAGTACAAAAGGTTGCAGAGGAAGAAGTCAAATTTCAATCTGCATTAGATCAGATGGATTCACGAAACAATGACATTTTAGAAAAGCAAGAGACGTTACTGAAGGCTCTAGCAACATCGCCGTATAACAGCGAGGCCACGCCAAACATTATTCCGGTCGTACAGGATGTTGAAAATGATGCTACATTATTGTCAGATAGTCTGCCTACAGAACTTCTGCCAGTGAAGGAAAGACATGATCAGCCGTCACACATCCTAAACGCTTCTTATAATGACACTCTATCGATCACCAAGAAAGATTTGATTATATATACCATAGAGGGCGCTTTGGTTGGAAGTGCCCTTACAGCACTCTTACGCCTGTACTTTTAGATGAAACGTGAACCCATAGAATAAAGTGATAAACATAGAAAGATAAAATTTGGCTCCCCCTAACATCCATGCTGGAATTGGCCAACTTAGGCATTATGGCTGATCAGTTTCTTTTGCGTCGACACTAAGGAAAATCAAGTCAGTGTGATGGTTATGATAAGGCATACAGCAGAGACAGCTCACTGGTTATGGATTATGCTTACGACATAGCATCCTTTGCATGTGTATATGTAGACCCAAGAATCATTGAATTCAGTTAAAATGTCAATTATATCACCTGATGTATGAGTTCCTAATTTCTGTTATCGAGTCTTCGAAATCCTTTACCGCTTCGTTCCTCAATTATGATGTCTAAAAGCAGTTCATTAGATGAAAAGGTCTTCGCCACTGCATCAATTCGTTCATACCATGAGTTTTCAGGTGTTTCCTAAGGTTACCGCCATTAAAGTCGCTCCTACGGCAAACATGACAACTTAAGTGTAAAGTGACAATTTGACGCGTTGTGCTCGACATATTGGTAAAACCCACCTACGCTACGGTATGAGTTTCCCATAACATTTAACAGCAACGGGAGATGATTCTCATAAGTTTTACCATCCAGTGTGCGGCTTTCAAAGCACAACTACATACCATTCCAATGCATTTTTATAGTCACTACGGTTGCTGTACTGTACAGCGTCTTCCGCAAACAATATCGCACGAAGAAGACAATAGCATGTCTGATCCATACTTGACAGCCAAAGCTACCGACTCACAGATGCCATCATTTAACTGATCATCAGTGTCAGAACATTGTTCCTATACTAGCCTTGATCTGTGCTCAAAATCCTCAATGTAATCCAGAAATGGAGAGTACAGCGAAGATAAAAACCATCCGTAATTCCTACTCTTGAACAGCATCATATTTTAATTCTGATTCGATATTTATTTGCTATAAAATTCAATATCTTGGATATCAAAGACACTGCAAAATCTCTATTCAAGTGAATTGAAGCAGAAAGTAATGTCCATCAAGAACAAGAGCATTTTTAACTTACTACAAGTGATTGCTGGCAGATAAAGAAAGAAGATGGATCTGCTTTACAAAATATTCACAAATTGCCTCTGTAGTCTCTTCCATTCTAATTTTTTTTTTTACCCCGCTTGTGATAAGTTGACCTTCAAACGCTCATAGAATTGCGCAATTGTCGACAAATCTTACGCGCTGCAATTAAACCAATGGATTCCGATGCGAATCCGGAGGACGACGAAGTCATACACATTGCGACCAATTCCTTCACTGTGAGTTAGCCTTTGAATTTCCTCCGAAGAGGATAAGTGTACAAACAATGGTTGCAGTGAGCTCACAATTGCAATGCAGAATGGCGCAAGACTTCAACCAACAACACTGCGAAAGCAATTTAAACTGATAGAGCATCGGCGGAAAGTCAGGAAGGGAACACCTATCCATTTACCCTCTGTAAGTTAAATACCGACTCTCAAATAATTCCTGTCGCTTCATTACTCAATCACAATTCATGTAGACCAACAAGACAGCGTCAGCGAGCCAAAAGCGACCCGCAACTATAAGTAGCGGATCTCAACTCCATCCTTTGTTACCTGAATCTAGCCGCACCACTCTTCTTCCTTCTAACCTTAACAAAATTGTGGGGTCAACTTCCAAGCATGCTGGTAATGAAACCTCTGTTAATTGGCGGCCTAGCTTGTTAGTCTTTTGACAATTGATAATTAATAACCGATGTATGGCATTTGACCCACCAAAGACAATATCACCTCATCTATCAGCTCTCTTTCTGTTACAAATGCGGATGCTCCCATGTCTCGAAATACTATTACGACGAATAAGTTGGTATGTGATTTGAATGTTTGGATATTTTTTCGATTTTCGAGCAATTGGCTAATGCTTTTGAGATAGGATGAAACAAGCAACCACAGTAACGAAACAAGAAAGGCGAAAAGGAACTCAATGGTGGAGATATCTAGTGATGAGGATGATCGACCAGGTATGTAGCAATATCGCTTTATTCAATAGGAAGTTTTGCTTCCTTGAGGCTAAGCAGTTTCTCCATGCTGATTGAGCCAAAGATCATTATCGTCAACTAAACTCGCCGTACTCTAAATTTACTGGTCCAGCACAAAAGGATTTGCACACCTATGGGAAGAAAAATGTAGTTGAGAAGCCTAGTATGCCAGTGAGGCGCAACTCTATTGTTAGTCGGATGGTAATTTCTACTTTAATCTTCACGAAGGCTGAACGAAAAACTCACAACCACTAACTTCCTGGTACATAGAAGCGAAGAAACGGAGCAGATGCTGGGCCATCTGCTATCTCAATGTCCAAAAAACGACGATCAAGTTGGGATGTACGAAGCATCGAATCGAAGCAAGACCAAAGCAGCATGTCGCGACAACCTGCTTCAGCATCCAATACCACGAGCGATACTGTTAACAACGATATAGCAGTTTTACCATCGCTTTCATTAAGCAACATAGTATGCGACGGAAAAAGAGTTCCAAGCTCGCCTTCCCAAGTTCAGAAAATGTTCATCACCAAAAACAATGAAATAGCTCTAAGATCTCAAAGCAAAGAAAACAAATTTGAGAAAAATGTACCTCGCCGTACTATCCGTACACTGGAGGTAAGACTTTTCTTTTGATCCACAGCTGATTTTCCAAACTTTATACATAACTGTCCTTAGTATTACGCTGGAAATTCGAGTGGATTACATATGAAATTGGAAGGTATGTCCTTGTTGATTAGCCTATCTATAAAATAAGTGCTAATAATGCCTCCAATCAATAGATGAAACCAGAATTACTGTTGTACTTTCACCAATTATAGAAGCAAATGAATTTACACGATTTCTTACATCCTTGAAACTGGATAGCTTTTGCATTGCGCCATTTGAGTAAGAAGGAGTTTCAGGATATACATGTCTTCCGAACGCATTCTTACAGATCTTTACAGGAAGGCTGAATGGGAGAAGATTGTTGCTAGCGAAGGACTTCCATTGTTCACAAAGTACGTATACAACTTGACATACGATGTAACAAGTGGAGTAATAACGTGTTGTCTTTCAGCAAGCGAACACATGATGCTCATAAAGAAGCCAATTTGCCGGAGGATAATACATCAAAAGAAGAGACCTTATCTCAAGCTGTACTGCCTGAAAATACTGGCGCTGATGAAACGTAACTATATAATTGATTTTGACATCGCAATCATTGCTTGGCTAATATATTTCTCATTACGTATCAGATTATTTGTTTATCCCTTTACTGGCTACGGAGGTATCACTGTATCAAAAGCTGACGAAGCGCGACTGGATGATGGTGAATTTTTAAATGATAACATAATTGATTTCTACATGAAATGGTATGTGCATCATTGCTGCAATAGTGCCGCTCCCTGTTACTAATGATATGATATGCAGGATTTTGGACCAACTTCATAACCGCGATCCCGAACTAGCAAAGCAAGTCCACATCTTTAACAGCTTCTTTTATAAACGCTTAACTCAGCGTAACCGGAACTCAAGGTACACACTTTGATAGTAATCTTTTGATGGCCTATGACGTACTAAAGCAAAATTTTACAGGAAGGAGGAAACTGTATATGACCGTGTCAAAAAATGGACAGCAAAGATGAACTTGTTCGATAAAAGCTATGTCTTTATTCCCATTAACGAGAAGTATGTATTAAGAACGTCCAAAAACCTGTCGGACACCTGTACTAACGAGGACTTTAGTTGGCACTGGTACTTAGCTATAATATGCAATTTGAAAAAGATGATACCACCTGATGTAATTGGATCTGAAGATGTGAAGGAGGAGGTACTGCTTGCCAAAGACACTGCCGCTGATGCCTGCAATAGCAATCCAAACCTGGAGCAGATTGGCAACGAACACACACGATCACCAATGGATCTGGACAAGCCCAATGATACCCAGATCCGACCTACATCTCCCCCAGCTTCTGAATCGGTTTATGACTCGGTAAAGAGGCCCAATTTGCGATCTAGTGATAGCCCAGACGACACAGGCTCTTCACCAAATAGGTTAGAAACATAACTATGCCTTATGCCCTAGTCTAGGTAGTATTAACACAAACGTTTGCTTTAGCCCTTGGATATTTTTGCTGGACTCTTTAGGAAACCGCCATCCTAAATCATTTCAATGCTTACAACAATACCTAGCAGCCGAAGCGAAAGAAAGGATGAACGTAGATTTAGACCGAGCAGGCTGTAAGCCTCTGAGTTGTTATGGAAAGGTGCCACGGCAACGGAACTACTGTGATTGTGGTGTTTATTTACTTCACTATGCTGAAGTCTTCCTGTCAGATCCGCGAAAATACTTGACATTGTTATCTGTAAGTGGATTCCGATTGCATTGAAGGAACGATATGACGATGTTTAATTTTTGGCTGCAGGGCAAGCGCGATCAGCAGCAAGAATGGGCACCAACAGAAGCGCACGACAAGCGCCAAAAAATTCGGCAAGTCATTCATGAAACAGCTGAGCTACACAAATCTATGTCGAAATAATTTCGCTCGCCATTCCTTCTTCGTTTCTTCAATTAGATATCCAGTGTTCTAATAGCTGACGCTGGTTGTACATAAATCCATATTTAACAACTCTTGCTGCTTTATTTTGCTTTTTTCTTTGTAATATCATTTTCTATTCCATCTTGTGATGGTGTCACAGCCATTACTGACCAATGAATCTATTTGCATATTGATGGTATGTTGTACTTTTTGAGTTCATAATACTTTGGCAGTATGCTCATACTGCAGACTGATTTGAAGATGGAAACAAAAATCACTATGTCAGGCGACTTCAAATCGACCCTAAGATGCAATGATTAGAACGCATATGCATTATTTCTTTTGTTAAAGAAGATGACTTACGTCAAAGTCGGAGGAAGAGAAGGTGCAATGCATTTTATGATGTCCTGCCTCTTTAGTCGTTCATTGTTCCGAATCTCGCTTACTATTGCGATCTTTGAATGCAAGGTGCCTTCATTGACAAAGTAATCACTTTTGACTTGTTCAAACGTTTTCGATATATCTTCCTCAAAGCTATTGCAAATATAGTCCACTGGAATCCATCGCTGCAAATACAGTCATTAGTGAAACGAAGGATTTGATCCTACGCTTGTAAAAAGCAAAGACTTACACTGCAATAACTTGTTTTCGAAATCACCTTTTCTCGATCTTCTGAGGATAGGCTAAGCAAGTGCTCTGAAAATTTTATCCGTTAGGAGGGATTTCTTTCACAAAGACAAGGTACTTAGTTCATACCAATCAGTTTTCGAATAAAATGTGTTGGCGTAACATCGACACGAAATCGTAAGAAAAGTAGCCCTGAGCATCCACTATCGACAGCTTCGAGCATTTTATCCTTCTTCCCTTCTTCGTCACCACCTTTTTCTTTTTTTGCCTGTTCGTCGCCACTGTTGCTCTCATCAATGAATGACTCGTCTACATCCAAATCATCTTCAAGCCGCTCCCACGTAGATTGCCGATTTGGAAAGAGCTTAGCAATATATTCCAAAAGAAATTGTTGTGCTTGTCCCTAGTATAACGTTTAGGTGCTGTGCTAGGTTCTACTAATTTTTTTGTTGAAAATTATATTTATTCACTTACCAGTGCCCTCGTTTCGCTTCCAACTACGCAAGATATCTAAAGGCGGAACTTTAGCTTACCATCAAATGAGAAATATTGCACTAAATACTTTACCAATAATCCTTGTGCATTTCTTGACCTCTTCAAAAGACTTGAATGCTTGCTTAGCCATCTTGATTTGAATTTGCCTCTATGAATGGGAGTAGTGTTCTTTTTCTGCTTGACATCTACCTCTTGCTCGTTATGAACAACAGTAGGGGTTTGTTCCTTCAAAGGAGAAATAGGCGTGGATTGATCGCTATTGATTTTTTTATCCTTTGTTGATTGAACGATGCTGTCATCCACAGAGAGCTTTCTTTTATGTTGGCTGCCCATAGTGTTCGCAATACTCTGTGATTTTTTGATCGCTTCGATCAAACAGTCATGACATACCACGTGACATTATGCTAGATTTTTGTGCCTGCTTTCTGATTTCACCTGCAGCCTATTGAAAGTGCTCTGAACCGTTACTCACACTTACCCACGCTTTTCAGATGGTTGTCAATTGGGGCATTATTGGCACTGGTAACATTGCGAATGCATTCGCAAGTGCTTTAAAGCATGCTAAGGAGGCAAAGCTGGTTGCCGTCGGAAGCAGGTCAAAGCAGAGCGCTGTCAAGTTTGGGACTACGTACGGAATACCAGAAGAACACTGCCACCCTACATACGATGATCTGTTCAGTGACCCCAAAGTGCATGCCGTGTATATATGTACACCTCATCCTTATCATTGCGAGTTGGCTTTGATGGGTGCAAAAGCTGGAAAGCACCTACTAGTTGAAAAACCTATGGCAATGAACGAAAAGGAAGCCGTCCAGATCATTAATGCTGCCAAAGACAACAATGTTTTCTTAATGGAAGGGTATATGTATAGGTGCCACCCTCAAACAAAAAAGCTTTGCGAGATCATTAGTCAAGGTCTTATTGGAGATGTAAAGCTCATTAGAGCAAATTTTAGCTACAATGGCACATCGTATGGTCCCGAGTCAAGAGTTTGGAACAATGAACTTGGCGGAGGGGCACTACTAGATATCGGCGGATGTAAGTATATTTGATTTTGAACGTTCTCCTCCTAAACTAGCATATTTACCACGTTTCGTTGTCAAAGACCCTTTATCGCTTGCAAGGCTGGTTGCAGGTGCCGCCAGAGGCTTACCCTTTTCCAATGCTGACAGCCTACAGGCTACGGGTAAACTTAGCGCAACCAATGTTGACGAATGGACGATTGCAAGTTTAAGTTTCTCAAACAATGAAATCGGAGCACAACTGTTTACCGGTATTTTTGCTGATAGCGATTGTACAGCGGAGGTAATTGGGAGTGAAGGAACTGTACGGTTGAGCAGTCCATGGAGACCTGATGTCCCTGAAATGGGTAAACCGACTATTGTTTTGACGAAATCTGGCGAGGAACCAACTACCATCGAGGACTATGCCACTCTGGGAACAAGTATCTTTGTCTATGAAGCTGAGGAGGTCTCTAACGCCATTCTAGCTGGCCAAAAGGAGTGTCGCTTTATGACTTGGGAGGATAGCATTGGTCAAGTCAAGGCTATGGATGAGTGGAGACGTCAAATTGGCTTGAAGTACAATGCAGATTAATTCATTAGAATTGATTTTAGACGTTTTAAGCTATTTGACCTGACTTCGACGATGCCATTAGACTCTCATGCACTATTATTTCTGTACGAATCTGAACCGTGTTCCAATAAACTCAAGCCAACCTTTGTCTTTCACTTTTAATTGGTTGACCCCCGCGCTTCATTTGATAATATGGAATCTTGCCCTCTCAGTCTAAAACGACAATTCCAACAAGATTATTCGGAGACGATTGTATACATCTTTCGTACATGTCGATACTCTGTTTTCAACACCTGACAGTTCCTCTGTTGGCACCTTCATATCAGCTTCCGTAGAGCATCTCAGATATATCCTTTATATCGAATGTCAGGCACATCAGCGCCAAAATGGTGATTGTCGCCCAGGCAAATCTTAATGAGTAGTAACAATTAGATCGCCTTTCTGTACGTTTATTAGATTTATGGTACTTAAAGGAAGTAGATCCTGAATCTCTATAATAGTCAAGTTTATCTCCTATTTTGCCTGAACGCCTTTTCGAAACTCTTCACTTAAAATTGAAAAAATAAAGAGTTTAGCTTGATTGATCCAAACAAAAAAAGTGAATAACTGAGTCTTACTTGTATTCACGCCAAATTACAGGAGCAGAAGTGCAGGGAATGAGTCCGACTTCAGTAACAACAAGTGTAATGTGTTTGGAAGGTGTCACATCGTAATGCAAATTCAGAAGTCGAAGATTTGGTACGTCGCGCCAGTTCGTTAATGAATTGGAGCTATTTTCATCGTTAGATTTCTTGACAACAAGTTCGTCGGGATTACCTATGAAATCAAATAATGGTTTGAGCACTCCATGACTAACTTCGTCATCACCATACACAATATTTACCCATTTCGTTCAACACCAGTGAATCTACTTGCGTTCGATTGACGAACTTGTATGTCTCACAGCATACCATGACGGGAATTTGTTTGTCGCTGGCCGCCATGGCAACCATTGCTGTACCGATTCGAGAATATACTGCCCCGTTGTTGAGCAATGCATGCGCCCCAAGAATGACTTTGGTGACATCCTTCAAAACTACATATATGCTGGACAGAAGAACATATGTACAATCTATTCCAGCAGATACCAGGCGTCTCAGCAAATGTTTACCTTTTCGTAATTGTGAGTAACGTGAATCAGATATTAGTTGGTTAACATGATGAACCTTACCTTCAAACATTGGGCGGCTATCGACAACAACAACTCTAAATTCGTAACCACTCCGCTTGGCTTCCAATAGCAAGGCCTCCACAACCGATGACTTCGCATATGTCAATATAACATCGCCATTTTGTATCTTTTGCATGCCATTTTCGACGATTAGCCGATCAGCAACTGTTATTCGTTCTTTAATGAAATATTCGATGCGTTCTACTAGGCGGTTTCGAGCCTAGAAAAATTTCATGAGTTTACGTTTCTCTTAACGAGTGCAGAGATGTAGATACTTACACTTTCGTCAGTCAGTGGTGGATCCTCTTCCACAATTTCTGAAATCTCTTTTTTGAGCCAACGGATACACTCTCGCATGCTGAGGGACATTGGGCGCACGCTTAATAAATAGGCGATGTGTGGATCCAAATATTTCTGGATATGTCTGGAGAATGACGCATCAGAAGGCGGCTTGTGGTCTTGTATAATCTGGTTAACATTAGGTTAGCACACTCAGTCCCATATATGAGGAATGACACTGTAATAAGTACTGCGCTATACCTTTGCAAAAGTCATCAGCATTGCTACGCATCTCGCATTTGAACCAACCATTTTATGCTCTGCAAATCGAAGGCCAAGAGCAAGAACGGCTGGGTGCAAGTCTTTGTTGGTGTTGCTGGCAGTATTTGGCTTCTTGGGCGGATCCAAGTGGGATAACCAAGGAACTTCATTCAATCTTTTCTGTTGCTTTTTTGCTTGTTTTTCAGCATCGGGAGCAGGTGACTGTGGGGTATTGGCAGTTGATCCAATTTTAGGTGAAGCAACCTTTCTGTGCGCCTCCTGTTCCGACGCCTTTTTGGCAGAGGAGGGTAGGCCAGCCGCCTTTCGATCTTGCTTTTCCAAGACTTTTTGCTCCTGTAATGCTCTCCTTTCTGCTTTGGTCATGTCTTTCAGCGACTTTCGGGCACCAGATTGAGGGTGACCCAGTGCAGGAGAACCGCTCGATTGTCCTAAAGTATTATATCGTTTATAAACCGCTTTCCTGCTTGTTTTCTGATTTTTTCGCTTACCTTCTGATGTCGAAGCGGATGCTTTGGAACCGTGCTGGCTCATTTCGTGCGATTGCTGCAAAGCCCAAGTATAGCAATGTTAGTTTTATAAAATATGCGCATTTCAAAAGGTTTCAAGATGTCAGCCAAGCGAACAAATATAGTCAATTACATACGTTTGACGTACTCATCACTTGTATCTTTTAAGCACTAGTACTTAGCCTACAGATGCTATTAGTTTAGCTTTACAGGTGATAGTTGCAAGTAAACAATACTGGACGTGCAGTGCCGAAGGAATTGCTCAGTAGGGAGAAGTTTGCAAGTCACAGCTTAGCTCAAATTCTGACTCACGGTGGCTTTGACCAAAATTTGCTGTGGAGCATCTTTTGCCTGTCAAAGAAACATCACCAACAATGGCAGCAGTAATGCGATCGTTGCAAACCGCCAGCGTTCCTCGTCTGAATCTGTTGTTCAGACCTCTATTTGCAAACACCCTTGGTACTGCGATTCGGCAAAATACTTTTCAGGTACCTGCCTGGCTAGGTCCCATCCTTTGGGCTGTCCCAAAGAAGAAAACTTCTCATTCTAAAAAGCGCATGAGAGCTTCAAACAAAGGACTGAAGCAAGCCGAGAATATAACCAGCTGCCCTGCATGTGGGAACGCAAAACTTATGCATCACGTATGCCGACACTGCTATCAAGAGATTAAACATCGCAGTAAACTTGCATCTCCTTAGATTGCTAAGGTATCGTCAGGATTATCGCTATTCAGTCTCGTAATACAGAAACATACTTTTGTTGTAAATAATTCCCTGTTCCTATTCAATTGTCGGCCGATGTACCCATAGAAAAACATTTGCGAATAAAGTATCCCTCGCCCTAGAATTAAAGCTGAAAATCGCATTTGTCAACCGTTCCTTTCTATGCAGTAATATTTTTTAATTCTCACATAAGCATATATATAAACTATTGATAGAATCAGCTTGACAAGGACTTCAGCTTGCCAAATTGCTTAGGCTCACAGATCGCAGGCGAATTTCTGGTTAAAACCGATGATGTCAACAAATAAAGTCAGTCACATTTGTTTGCACAGATGTCATTCACGCTCGATTTTCAGTTAGCGGCAGCCTTTTCTCACTCAAAATGGACTACGAAAAACGACAATTGCAACAGAGCCAAGAAGGAGAAGGCTTCATCGCAGCCATCAAGTCAGAACTCTTTGCTCCCGAAAAGCGACAAGGAAACATCAACATTGCTTTGTCGTTGACTGTATTCACTGGAGCAATCGTATTCCTTAGAAACTTTGGTGATCTTTTAGCGGTCTAAAAACGAACACCTAGGCCAATCTGCAATCTCGCTGATCAAGACGCGAAGGCGGATTATAACATTTTATAGATCTCTTGTAATTCGAAGGAGGGTTTTGATTTCATTTGTATATTCATTCAATGCAAAATTATAAAACCTATGTTGTCGTTTCTGGCTGTGTTGCACTGCTTACGATAACTAATATGTAAAATTATGTATACATGCGGTGATGATCCGCATCAATTCTACCACTGTCTTTGCCGAACTTTCTGCTTCGTAAAATACTTTGAAGGTTGTCATAATCTAATGACGGGCAGGTCACATCGAGATCTTCTAATGCAGTCGCGAAGGCAGCCGTTGTTTCATCTGTTATCAATGCTTTTCCTAGTGACGATTCTTGCAATGTAAATAATGCTACGCAAGGTAATTGGTGCAGCTCACACTTCCGGCAGGTATTGATTAGTGAGTGGCTTTACACAAAACCTCTCATTTAAATACGGAGCTTACATATGTCAATATGGCAGCAGATATTCCGGTTGTTAGGTTCGGTGCACTAAGCATATCAAGCTGGGATGACTACGAGTAACAAAAAATAATAATCAGCAAACCAGGACCAATGATAGAGTTTATGTATGTCAAGGCATGGAGTGCTTTTACCTTCCTGCCAAGAGAGGACCTTAAATATTTCACAATTGGAACGGTTTCGCGCTCCTGTCGATTAAATGTGATGTAGTTGGAAGCTAGATACGAGTCAAAAAGTATCACTCTGACGATAACCTTGGTTACTTCTCTGCAATATGCGATACATTTAATTGTGATGCCTTACTCTTTACAAGGAAGTTGTTGGAAAAGAGCAACGGTCGCAGCGAACACCATTTCATCCGGTATTTTCTCCTCACTGATGATAGCAAGATCGGTACTACTATTGGAGCTCGCAAATATAGATGCTATAATCTTCGGTCAAAGGTTAGCAAGCGTGTATATTAAGTGGTAGCAAACACAACTGAATACCTTGTCTTTCAATTGAATGCTTCCCACTTTCGTTCCAGTAGAATAGGATGCTTTAAGAAAGACTTCACCCGGGCCATATGTTCCATAGAAAATTGTGCAGCTATTCATAGAATCTTCTTTAACAAGTTTGACTTTTATAGTATCGAGATCTAACTTGTCAACAACCTCGGCTAAATCTTCGTCACTGGAATCCTCGTCGAAAGCATATCGGGTTGGAATGGTTGGAAATTCGTCACTAAAGTCCTATTTGGAAGGCTTTTCAATAAATGCTTGAGTATAGTTATGAAGATGCACTTTAGTTTACCATAGTGTATTTATTGCAGGTTCAGCGTGTACGGAACTTCTTTGTTCGTTTCGTGGACCTCGTTCGCATCGCGTGCAGAGTGATGTCACACTCCGCTCCATCGCATTTGACATTTATTTAATGGTACAAAACTATAAGCTTTTTCTTTTTTAAAGTTTTATCGCATTCTCAAAGCATACTCAAGAAGGGCATATTTGCGCAGGATGTCAGCTTCAGTCGAAGAACTTGAAACACTTCAGAATGAGCTGAATGCTCTCAAGCTGGAAAAAGAGAAAGAATCGCAAAAGGAAAAAGACGTCATGAGAGGGCTAGTTGCCAAAATTCAGGAACTCACCAACGAAAACAAGCAACTGAAAGACATCACCAAGATTGAGCAAAACTCGGTTAGCACATCACCGAATACCATCGTCAGTAATGTTAGCAAGACAAATGACAATATCAACAGCAGAGCAGATTCGACAACACAGCTTGACACTGAGAGCGTTAATCTCGAAAGTAAAGTAACATTAGAAAAGGAGAACTCCAACCTTAGGTCGGACTTGTCTAAGATGCAAGCGCAAGTATTGAAATTGCAAGATGAGCTTAATACCACTCGATCTGCCAACGAGGAGCTTAATAATCGGTATCGAGACATGGAACAATCATCTAGCGGCCAAGTCAAGGATTCAGAAGGATTGGCTGAACAACGGCTTTCAACTATTCAGGATCTTAAGGCGGAAATGATAGCCTTACGCGAAGAAAACAATCAATACAAAACTGCGATATCTGATGATAGTGCGAGAGCAACTCAGGCCAAGGAAGATTCTGAAATGAAAACCAAAATTGAAGAACTATCGGCGCAAGTTGCCCATAAAGACACAGAACTTCACAGCTTACAGGGCGACCTTTCGGAATTGAAAAAATCACAAGCAGAGTCAGAGGAAAGAGGGAAAAAGTATATAGCGGTTTTAAGCAAGACAAAGAAGCAAATTCTCAAACTGGAAAAGGAAAAGGCTGAGGCAGCAGAGGAACTCAGTTTGTTCAAGACAGCAATGTCAGATACCAAGGAAGATCTAGCTCAGGCTACGAGAAGATTAGCAGAGAGAGATTCAGAAGTTGCAACGCAAGCTTCAAGAATTACCCAACAGCAATCGGAAATAACGAATTTACTGAGAGAGAGAAAAGAAGCGAACGAAGCACAGATGGAGTTGCGAGACGAATTACAGCTAAAGCAAGCTGAATACGAAAGTTCACAGAGTCATGTTGAAGACCTCGTAATGAAAGTGAGAGAGAGTGAACGACAACTGGATGAGCTCAACGACAAAATAGCGGCACTGGACGAACAGTTGTCTAATAGCGAGGCGCGACGAGAACGTCTGCAGGAAAATGAGAAACTCTTAGTGCAACGTAATGCTGACCAGATATCTGGAATGCAACAGAAGTTGGAAACTGCATCAAGCAGTGCGAAGGCTGAAAAGGACAAATTGGAACAAATGAAGACCGATTTTGAAAAGAAAGCAGCAGAAGATATTGCTGAGATTGACAAGTTGAAAAATGACTTGGACTCTGCTATGTCTCAATCGCAAGAAATGATTAAGCTAGCATCGCAGCGCACGGATGAAGTGGAATTTGCCCAACGTCAAAAACAGGAACTCGCAACCGCCTTAACCAAAGCGCAAGATGATTCGAAATCGCTCTCGAGCAAAGTGGAAAATTTAATGGAGGAACTGGTAAGCCCACTGCTGATAAATGAGAATCGGCCAGTACATGATCCTTATCATTCACATGTAGAATCAATTAAAAACTTGGGCTGCTGCTATCCGCAAAGAAAAGGAAGATATTGAAAAGCAACTGGAAGAAAGCAAGGTGAAGGAAATGCATGTGAAAAGTTTGAACAAAGTAAGAGTCTTCTATGACGCATTCATCTACAACAACACAGCAGTAAATACTAATATATTTCGCAATGTGCTCAGACCCTGAAAGAGGAAATTAAAAAAGTGACACGAGCGACTCCAATTTCGCAAGTAGCGGCCTCGCCATCGTCTTCTAGATCCGTGTCTCCAATTACAAAAGTTGCATTGCCACCAGGCACGTATGGAATACGAGAGGATCTATCTACGCGGAACAAGGTAATGAATGCCGATAGCAATGACATTCAATCTAGCGCAAAAGCGCCTCTGAATATGGAATACTTGAAGCACGTAGTGATTGGTTTCATGGAAAATAAGCAGGCAAGAGTACGTATTTTACCTTTTGTCGTTAGAAATTATGAAATTTTACCTCTAACTCGTATTAAAACAGACACAGCTTATACCCGTACTATCAATGTTATTACAACTTAGTCCAGAAGACATAAAGCGGCTTCAAGCAGCGGGATGATCGGCATACTGCATTCAAGAGCCTATTATGACCGATTTTTTTAGAATATAATGATAGATAACCATGACAAGAGTAAAACTAATGTACATTTAACCTGATTTCATACTATATCGTATCTCATTAATGCTGCATTAACGCGTCGATGTTGTTCAGTCAGCATCAATAATGTTTCTGTAACTGGACAGTCTGCGCTATGGTTTTTCTTCTTGTTTTTGTATTCGGGTTTTAATTTACACTTACAGAGCAAGTGTATTCATTTGAGAGAACTTTAGGTAGTCGGTGTAAGCCGATCAAATTAAATCACAAAGAGAACAGAAATACGGACACATGGTTTTTTTTTGTATTCAGTGAAATACGGATATAGAAATTGAAACAAAATATCAAAGACAGAGGCTGTTAGAGAGGTAGAATTAGAGAGTGGACCAAAAATTCGTAACCAAATGAAGTCTTGTAGTAAATGCAGTTTTGCATCTTCAACAGTTGCAGTGATGCAGCGGCCCTTGGAAGTGTGTGATTTTAATGATAGTCGAATACCTAGAATTGAGGCTGATTATGAATGTAAATTTAGTATGAACTGCGGAGCAGTTCTTTGAAAGGGTAGGCCAAATGAATTTTTTATCTTCATAGTAAGAAGTGTGTTGTGAACAGCAGAGGTATCTTGTAGGCATATTATATCAATTTTTTGACCAACGCTCAGCGTATATTTTCAAATGTTTTTTGTGCATTTTTGAGCCTCCGAGAAAGTTACGAGCAATCACAGTGGCGACACATTTTCCTGTTTTCATTCATTAAAGTAACTTTGGTTTTGTGCTCATGCAGAGCTTCCTAATTTCTGCTATGCTGCTAGCCGATTTGATGTTCACCAGGATAGGGCTGGAGTGGGTATCATGCGGCTGACGATTTTAGCTCATTTCACAACTGCTAATCAACATTTTGCTTTTTAATTTGTCTAACTGGTTTAATTTTATGTTTCTAGCATTTTTAAAGCCTCTTTACTGATAATTGTCTTTTTCTTCGTGCTCGTATAGTTGAAACTGCTTAAAGAAGGCTCTTGTAAATCAACAGCCACATCTTTACTTGCTATATTAACATCTAGTGACGACTCGTTTGATTCATGCACTATTAGTTTGCACGTAATGTTTGCGACGCGTTCCTTTTGCTCTATATACTGTTAGTTGGCGGAATGAGGACGAGGATGTGGTTATAGGCTCTAGAGCCACGCTTTTATTCTCAGTCATATAAATAATAAAAATTTTCTATCTAATGTATCCCAGATCTCTATGCCACGCCAGCATGTTCGCCTTTGTGGCCTGGGAGGGTCAACTTCTAACTTAATTTTTTGTGATCTTTCTTTTGTTTGGGAGGGAGGCCACCACATCCTCGTCCTCATTCCGCCAACTAACAGTTGCGTGTCGTTCCTAACACAACTGTAGTGTGGCTCCATTCGTCCTCAGATGTGGTTACTTTTCCGTACTAGGCGAACATGGTCTCTAAAATTTGTTGTCCACGGACA